TTATGATTCTAAATAATGTTGCATTATGAACAACAATCAGTTGTTATTGTTTGCAATACAAGTGATTATTGCAAACAAAGACAGCCATTATTATAGAATGACTGTCTTTGATGCAACTTTTTTCAAAATCTTTTATGATTCTAAATAATGTTGCATTATGAACAACAATCAGTTGTTATTGTTTGCAATACAAGTGATTATTGCAAACAAAGACAGCCATTATTATAGAATGACTGTCTTTGATGCAACTTTTTTCAAAATCTTTTATGATTCTAAATAATGTTGCATTATGAACAACAATCAGTTGTTATTGTTTGCAATACAAGTGATTATTGCAAACAAAGACAGCCATTATTATAGAATGACTGTCTTTGATGCAACTTTTTTCAAAATCTTTTATGATTCTAAATAATGTTGCATTATGAACAACAATCAGTTGTTATTGTTTGCAATACAAGTGATTATTGCAAACAAAGACAGCCATTATTATAGAATGACTGTCTTTGATGCAACTTTTTTCAAAATCTTTTATGATTCTAAATAATGTTGCATTATGAACAACAATCAGTTGTTATTGTTTGCAATACAAGTGATTATTGCAAACAAAGACAGCCATTATTATAGAATGACTGTCTTTGATGCAACTTTTTTCAAAATCTTTTATGATTCTAAATAATGTTGCATTATGAACAACAATCAGTTGTTATTGTTTGCAATACAAGTGATTATTGCAAACAAAGACAGCCATTATTATAGAATGACTGTCTTTGATGCAACTTTTTTCAAAATCTTTTATGATTCTAAATAATGTTGCATTATGAACAACAATCAGTTGTTATTGTTTGCAATACAAGTGATTATTGCAAACAAAGACAGCCATTATTATAGAATGACTGTCTTTGATGCAACTTTTTTCAAAATCTTTTATGATTCTAAATAATGTTGCATTATGAACAACAATCAGTTGTTATTGTTTGCAATACAAGTGATTATTGCAAACAAAGACAGCCATTATTATAGAATGACTGTCTTTGATGCAACTTTTTTCAAAATCTTTTATGATTCTAAATGTTTGCATTATGAACAACAATCAGTTGTTATTGTTTGCAATACAAGTGATTATTGCAAACAAAGACAGCCATTATTATAGAATGACTGTCTTTGATGCAACTTTTTCAAAATCTTTATGATTCTAAATAATGTTGCATTATGAACAACAATCAGTTGTTATTGTTTGCAATACAAGTGATTATTGCAAACAAAGACAGCCATTATTATAGAATGACTGTCTTTGATGCAACTTTTTTCAAAATTTTTATGATTCTAAATAATGTTGCATTATGAACAACAATCAGTTGTTATTGTTTGCAATACAAGTGATTATTGCAAACAAAGACAGCCATTATTATAGAATGACTGTCTTTGATGCAACTTTTTTCAAAATCTTTTATGATTCTAAATAATGTTGCATTATGAACAACAATCAGTTGTTATTGTTTGCAATACAAGTGATTATTGCAAACAAAGACAGCCATTATTATAGAATGACTGTCTTTGATGCAACTTTTTTCAAAATCTTTTATGATTCTAAATAATGTTGCATTATCAACAACAATCACTTGTATATACATAGATACCAGATGACTATTGCACAAAAAGACAACTATTGTCTATAAATTGCTGTCTTTGATGCAACTTTATTATGAATCACAAATGATTCTTCGCAAAGTTGTACTATCAACAATAATCACGTGTCATTGTTATCAACACATAGTATACTAGTAATTCCCCTATATTAATCATAATATTCTCTAACTTTAACACACACAACAAATACAACATCTTAATTTAAATCAAATATATATCTACAAGTGTCCAAAATACATCTAACCATTTTATAGCATATAAACTCTATCTCACAAATCCTATTTCAGTCTTTTTTATATATTAATAAATTAACTTTCATATTAATTCTTATATCATAATGATCATTCATATTTAAGATTACCATTTGTCTACTCAATCATATCAACATATTCAAATGTTCAGCTATATTCATATTTTATATAGTTTCTATAATCATTTTCATTTGTCGGTCCCTTTTTCATTTGTTTACCGAATACATTATGGTCAGATATATGACCATTCTTAATTACAAATTATTTACTTTAATCACGCCCATAATTTTGTACGAGATTTTGTTCGTTTATTGAATTTTTCCTCCATTCATATATCAAATATATTATAATTACATGATTCGCTTGAAAATTTATAAATCAATCTTTTATTGCTTGTTTTGTCAAAAATTTGAATTCAATTTCTTCCATTTCCAAAAGACAACATTACCACTGAATGGTCAGATATATGCTCAATCTATTTGTATTTTTATTTCTTAGAAATTCCTTTTCTTTAATATTTTTGATTTTTTCCCTTATTATAAATCATATTGTTACATATTAAGTTATGTCAAAATGTAAGCTATTGAATTTTTTGAGAGGGAAATAATCGTCGAGGAAGTAAAAAGTGACGCTTTAGGAAATATTATTAGAAATATGATAATAAATATATTTGGAAAAAATATATTTTTTTCAAAAATTGAAATGTTCATAGAATATTTTGAAATATGTAGGGAATTGAATTTGGTAATATATGATAAACAGGATTTTTAAATTTCAAGGAAAAATAGCTTTTGTGAATACTTTTGAGAACTCTTCTCAAAGATCATGATTCAAATATATTAAAGAGCCAAAATATTAGAGATGAGTTCATAATCAAAATTTTACATTTTAATTATTTAGAAAAACGTATTAACCTCAATAAAAAATATCTCAAAGATTAATAGTTAATTTAGGGTTTCCTAGCTATCTAGAGGGAATTGTTCCTGATGATGTATATATTTATAATGTATGCATCATAAGGAACAATTCCCTCCTTAAAACGAGAAAACTTGTTCGAAATTGTTTATCATTTCGAACAAGTTTTCTCGTTTTTAATAACAAACTAAAGGCTATGAGGCACTGATTATATACTAGTGCCTCATACCCTTTAGTTCCCAGTAGATAGCTGGGAAACTTTCTCCAAATGATAAGTTATTTAGAGAAAGTTTCCCAGCTATCTAGAGGGAATTGTTCCTGATGATGTATATATTTATAATGTATGCATCATAAGGAACAATTCCCTCGCTGAAGTGAGAAAACTTGTTCGCAATCATTTCGCATTGCGAACAAGTTTTCTCGTTTTTAATAACAAACTAAAGGCTATGAGGCACTGATTATATACTAGTGCCTCATACCCTTTAGTTCCCAGTAGATAGCTGGGAAACTTTCTCCAAATGATAAGTTATTTAGAGAAAGTTTCCCAGCTATCTAGAGGGAATTGTTCCTGATGATGTATATATTTATAATGTATGCATCATAAGGAACAATTCCCTCGCTGAAGTGAGAAAACTTGTTCGCAATCATTTCGCATTGCGAACAAGTTTTCTCGTTTTTAATAACAAACTAAAGGCTATGAGGCACTGATTATATACTAGTGCCTCATAGCCTTTAGTTCCCAGTAGATAGCTGGGAAACTTTCTCCAAATGATTGTTTCAAAACTGTTGCGTAAGTTAACTCACCACTTTCAAGTTTTTCATACATATATCTTACCCATTCATTTGGAATACGAGGTCTCGAGTTTTCGTTCATTTTTTTACTTTACAAAACTGTTTATTTTTCAGAATTTTTAAATTTGAAAAAATTCATTCTAGATCTGATAAATAATATATTATTTTTCAATCAAAATATTTTGATTATCATCTCAAAAGTGTTCTCAAAACCTAGTTTTTCTTATTTTTGATAATCTTAATAGTTATATTATTATAAACTAATTGAACACCATATGTTTTTGTATACTTTTACAAAAAAATTGATAGATTTGTGATACTTCCCCCGACGATAGAATTGAATAGCTTACATTTTGACAGAACTTAATATGGAACAATATCTTGTTTGATCATATAATTAAAAAGCTATTTTATTATTTTCAGTCTTCATAAAAAGAAATTTTAAAAAATTAATTTGAATTATTGAAAAAATGGACTTGTATTGGAAATTCATATATTACATACTATATAGATTATGATAATCCAATAACCTGGGAAAAACCAGGAATTTACAAAATAAAAAAATCTCTTCACGTTCACTTATTTCTTATTTTGAATATATATTTTAATTATATAATCATTACCCTGATTGTATTCAAAGTTTTATATAAATATCACAACTAATTTAAGATCAAATCTGCGTGTGAAATAGATATTTATAAAAACAACATAGAGTATTTAGTTGACCTGTTATCCACGTCATTGCATTAATTGCATTCCAAAAAAATCACTATATAGCGAGATATTCAAATACGAACTTTCGCCCGTATAAAAAAATTTTGTAAATTCCTGGAAAACAAGGGTATTACCAATTTCCGAGATATGTTATTCTTTGAATCATCCCTCAGTAAAAAATTATCATAATAATGGGAAAATATGGTTTATTCAAAAGGATATATATGAAAATCCAATGGTATTTCAAAATCTTTGGAAAAATTTTGAATATTCCATTAAAATTAATTCATTTGATTAACTCTTAGAAAGAGTTTTCATGATTTCATTCTTTAGTAGATTTTTCCAAACAAAATTTGGAAAATTTTCAAAAATTTTGACAATATCGAAAATTATGCCAAAAATGAGACATCTAGATAAACTCAGATTTAGAGAATCAAATTCCATTGGAAACATCGGTCACAAATTTGATTCATAAAAATTCCGTGTAAACTATACAATCAATTCAAATTTTCAATAATAAACGGATATATTTTGAATTGGTCTTTTCATAAACGAAATTTTTTAATGTCAGATTGGTATTTTCTTATATTCATATTAACTAACAAAATTTTATAATAAAATCAAAGAAACAATTATAAGGTTTATCAAAAGTGACTAAAAAGTGTCTTGACAGTCCCACCAATGCTACGCGATCTATGTACAGTTGTAGATCGTGTTGATGACCGCTTCAAACATATAGAGAACATTGGCACGGGATCTTTCGGTAGTGTTACCAAGTCATTAGATACAAAGTTCAAGCGCATTGTTGCCTTGAAAAGATTAAAAGATAACTATCAGCATGAAATCGACGAAAAGAAGGTCGTCAATGAAGTCACAATTTTACGAAAGCTCAATCATCAAAATATCGTTAAACTCTACGATGTTTTTTACGTAAAATCTGAAGACGCTTATTATATCTCAATGGAGTATTGCGAGCAGGACCTCCTTGCATTACTAGAAACAGGTAAGCTTGATGCTACCACCATCAAATTCTTCATGAAACAAATACTTGAAGCATTATCGTATTTGTCCGCACATAACATTGTTCACCAAGACATCAAGCCAGCTAACATTTTAGTCCAGGGAGGGAATACAATCAAATTTGCTGACTTCGGTTTAGCCACGGCTGTTGATTCATCCCTTTCCATGACAAACTGCGGAACTGCCCCATATATTCCGCCAGAAAAATTCTTTGGTGCAACCAATTTCGATCCATCTGCAGATATATGGTCAACAGGTGTATTATTCTATCAATTAATCAAAAAAGAGCTCATTTTTGGTTCGAACATGCAAAGCGACCTTATCATTAGAGAAATATTAAGGGTCTGCGGAGCACCAGATACAAAGGCTTGGCCAGAAGTTCTTTCCTTAGAAAATTATGGAAGATACAGCAAATATGCCTCAGAAACATCTAATCTCAGCTCAAAGTTCACCGCTGAGATGAAAGCAGACTACGGACAGATTATTGAGCACATTAAGTCAATGCTCAATCTTGTTCCTTCCCAGAGGCCATCCGCTGCTTCCCTTTTGGCCACAAATGACTTTGAAACACCTTTGACCCATGTTCCAGTCACAGAAGAGTTTCATATTAGAATAAGAAACAAATCTGTTTCTCCTCTCAAATTCTCACCTGTTGTCAGACCAGTTCTTCCAAGAATCGAATTATCATGTTATTAAATTACAAATTCCTGCTTGTTTTCAAACAAAATTTATTTGTTGTTGTTAATTGATATTAGCTTTGTTATAAAGCACTTATAATAAATTATAGAGTATATTATTTTAACTAAAAACTTATCTTTTTTTATTAAAGTCTGATTTTTCTGATTTTATATAAAAATTTTAAGAATTGATGTGTATTCCTACCCTGAATCAATGTATTGGCTTTGTGGCTGGAATCTAGTAATGTACATGTCAACTTCTTTTTAAATTCAGAATCTCAATCAGAATAGTATATCTCAATCAGAATAGTATATCACTTGCTATAATTATATAATGCCTAAAGTTTGTAAATTATATAATATTGCAACATTTTGAAATAGGATAGTATATAAAAACATTCTAATCACGCATATTCTTGACAATAAATGCAATATATTGCTCTTGTTATTAATGATATAGACATGAATTATACAATAATACGCTTACATCATGGAAATTATCCTAAATTATATGCTGAAATCGTGGAATTTGCTATTTTGATCGATTGATTGTATTTTTAAAGCATAGTCCGTCTGTTATATTAATAACAATAGCTGGATGATCGAAACAATAAAAATTTCGGATAAAAAAAATATAACGTATGAAAATGCATGGAACAGTTACCATTTTAATCCTTGTCCAAAATCATCAGTCACAAAATTTTATTCCCAAATGGGTGATGAGATTGTTCAGAATTTCGAATACGCGGGAGCTCACATTAAAGAATATATCGATGAAGATAAGTTGTTTTCTACGTTTGAAATAGAAGACATCAAAAAAAATCATCAATTTTGCAAAATTATCAGCTGATGACTTCGTTACTCTTATGAAGCAAGCCCATTCTGCACTAAGTGCAAACAAGACATATATCTGTACTCGACGAGCAAATGTTTCTGTACAAAATATGGAAGAAGTCATATCAATTCTTCATTCAATTATGAAATTCATGAAACTGAAATTTCTCGAGGGAGTTATTGATTTTTTAAAGAATTCGGAAAATAAGGCAATAGTTAATTCAATTCCAAATCAAACTCAAAAAAGCGAACAACAAATAGAACCACAAAAATACAATCAAGAGATAGATACATCTAAATCTCAGAGCAATCAGACCAACGAAGTAAACGACAAATCAAAAGAAAACCCCCAAGAAAATCAAACTATTGAAATATTCAAGAATAAGAAAGAAATACTTACAAGAATTAATGAACTTAAGGGTGCACCCGTATGTACGTTTATTTGAGAGGAGGAGGATTACCCTCTCAATTTTGAGGGATTCGTTAGTTTATTTTCTCGATAAATATGCAATAAAATTTGATTTTTACCTTATCAATATACTTCATATAATATACACATGTTCATGTAAAAACTTTTTTCCAAAATCCTCAGTAGAGATGCGAGTTTCCGAATTTTTTTAGCCCTGGGATGTCATAACCGCTGCGGTTTTGTAAAATTTGGGATAAATTTTGACAATCCATTTTTTGTGGGATGTACGTTTATATCAATTTGCTCGGCGTTTGCCGAGCTATTGTACAATCCTACTCGAATTCATTACGCAGCCCTGGTCACTCAAAGGCCAGGGCATACAATTACAAAATAGTAGAGTGAGACTCTTCTAATTTCTTCCAATCACAAGGAAGATCTTAGAAGAGCCTCACTCTACTCGAACACATTACGCAGCCCTGGTCACTCAAAGGCCAGGGCATACAATTACAAAATAGTAGAGTGAGACTCTTCTAATTTCTTCCAATCACAAGGAAGATCTTAGAAGAGCCTCACTCTACTCGAACACATTACGCAGCCCTGGTCACTCAAAGGCCAGGGCATACAATTACAAAATAGTAGAGTGAGACTCTTCTAATTTCTTCCAATCACAAGGAAGATCTTAGAAGAGCCTCACTCTACTCGAACACATTACGCAGCTCCTGCTCAACAATGAGCAGGTCTTACCACTTTGAGAGGCTTTCGTTCGAGTTCTGATGCAGATCCCAACGCGAGCGAGAGTCTCTCAAGCAAGCTTCTAATTCGTAGCTAGAGTTTCACTCTTATGAACTGGCAGCCAATTTGAGAGACTTTCGCTCGAGATCTAATGAAAAATCAGAACTCGGCCAAAAATTGCCCAAACAGGCTTGTAATTCGTAGCTATAGTATTGATCGTATGGATGTGTTGCCAATATGAGAGACTTTCGCTCGATGTCTGATATTGCATCAGACATCGAGCGAAAGTCACTCAAAACAGCTTAGACATGTCTATTTTGACGGCATTAAATGATTTCATAGGAAATGTCTCAGTTGTTAATTAAGTTCACGTGAGCTTTTATGAATGAAAATAAGTAAAAAAAAAGAATTTTCTCAAAAAAAATTGTGTACGCATTGAAATTTTTATCTATAAATTTAGATATGTCATCAATAATATAATATAATTTTAAATTCGTGGAGTACACTTGGGATAATTGAATATGGGCTACCCCATCCCAACCTCTCAAACTTCCTCTGAATTTGGACAAGGTATCCCAATCCCAAAGACCTATCTGAATAAAATGAAATAAGTATATTATATATATTATTTATTTGCTAATAATGAGCATAAATCGCTAAAATTATGAAGAAATTAAAAATTAAAAATTAAAATTAGAAAAAAATGTTGATTTAATGAGAGAATATTGTATAAAAATAGAATTATTAGCTAAAATACGTATTAATTTTATGATATTTCAATCACATTAACGAAAATCGCCCATTTTTAATTCAAATGGGCGGGAAAAAAAATAAAATTCCAAAAAAAAATTGAATTGGGGAAACGATAGGGGACGGGATATGAGAAACCCCATATGTTTGGGAATTTTTCGCATCACTATCCTCAGGAATTAAGTGATTTTTGAATTTTAAGAATTTTTTTCGAATTTTTTCGAAAAAAAAATATTTTCAGAACAGCCTTAACGGCTAAGATTTAGGAACAATGTTAAGTATCAAAAAGAAAGGAGGTCTGATATAGACAACATATATCGTTGAAGGTTGAAAAAATCTCTAATATTTGAGCCCAAAATTTCAAATTTAAAATTTGAAATTTTAATTTTTTGAAAAAAGAGGCCACCTGTATGTACGTTTATTTGAGAGGAGGAGGATTATATTTTTGAAAGGGTGAAACATTATGAATATGTTAATTATATAATAATATGTATTATTATAAAAAAGAAAAAATAAAGCACGTTAAAATTTTTCTTTCTTGATTTTTTACAAAATCTACTTAGAATTATGCAAAATATGACTAAATAATTATAAATTTCAAGTTAAATTTTAATTTTGATAAATAATTTAAATTTCAAAATATCAAGTTCAGTTCGACTATGTATGTAGTAATTCCTCAATAAAGTGCCAAAACCCTATTAAAATATATGAACATTTTCAACATTTTAATGTTTTTATTTAAAAATTTGATGGAATATGAGCTTCAAACAATTATTATGTAAATAAAAATAATTAAATATATGTATTTATTCGTATTACAACCGTAATAAGTCGATTCTTCCTTTCTTCTACTGAGTTTTGAATTTGATTTCGAATTGTAAAGAGATTCAAAGGGAAAATACTAGCGGATAAAAACTACCTCCATGAAAGGGTCATAATGGAGTCAAGTTGTATTTTTTGATATTTTTTGTTTTTCGAGCCTAAATAGGTAGCCAAGATAATGCCTAAAAATAAGGTTCTAAATTCTGAAGTTTACATGATCCTCTCGTGTGCACCCTTAAAGAATCTGATGATATCAATATTGAAAAGGTCTACAATTTCTATCATTCACTTGAATATCAAGAAAATCAAAAAATGATTGCAAAAGCTTGTGAAGAAGGACTTGCTACGAAGATATTCACAAATCAATTTAATGATCATGAAAATATACTTCATATTGCATGCGAAAAAGGAGATATGAAACTTGTTAAGATTTTAATTGACTGTGATTGCGATCCAGATTCAAAGAGTAGATATGAAAAAACTCCACTCATGTGTGCATCAGAAAATGGTCATCTTGAACTTGTTAAATATCTTATATCTGAAGGAGCTGAGAAAGACTTACAGGATAGAGATGAAATGACTGCATTCATGTACGCATCTAAAAAAGGTCATTTTGATATAGTTCAATACCTTTTATCTGAAGGAGTTAAATACGATTTCAAAGACAAATATGGAAATACTCCATTGATCTGTGCTGCACAATTTGGTCACCTTGAAATTGTGAAATGTTTTAAATCTATTGGAATTAGTATTACAGCAGTGAACAATAACAAATGGACTGCACTGCATCGTGCATCAGAAAAAGGTCATCTTGAAGTTGTTAAATACCTTATAGCTGAAGGAGCTAGTATATATGCAAGGGAATATTTTGGATGGACTCCACTCATGTGCGCAGCAAGTCATGGTCATCTTGATGTTGTTCAATATCTTGTTTCTGTTGGATCTGATAAAGAAGCAACAAATAAAGATGGATATACTCCACTCATTTCTGCTGCATTCAATGGTCATCTTGAAGTTGTTAAATATCTAATCTCAGTTGATGCAAATAGCGAAGCAAAGACTAAAGATGGATCCAATGCACTTATGAAAGCATCGGCTTATGGTCATCTAAATGTTGTCCAATATCTTATTTCTATTGGAGGTAATCTTGAAACAAAGAATATTAGAGGAGAGACTGCACTCTCAGTTGCAAAAGACCAAGCCATAATTGATTGTTTGACTTCTGCTGGAGCCAAATAATCTATATTAAAAATAATTTATTAATAAAACAATATTTTTCTTTTTTCTAATTATGAAAATGGCAAGGTAATGAAGTGGAAATGCAATTTAGATAAATGTTGAGACATTTGGGATAAGGTCGACAAACAAAAGTGCGGAAATGAAAAGCCACCGTTTGAGTACTTTCTGAGACTCTATTTGTCAGAAAGTTTACATTTGTAAACTTTCTGACAATGAAAAATGGCCTTTCAAAGTTTTTGACATTGTGGTTTTATTGTGTCAGAAAGTACTCAATTTCCATCTCAAAAAAGTGGTTTTTAAAAACTCCCAATTTTTTGTCTGTCAAATATGAATTTAATTTTACCAAAATAGAGTAAAAATTGAATGAATGAAGCGGTTTTCAATTTTTAATCTATTTTGAAAAACATATTTATAATTGTGAGCTGTACATAATATTTCCCAAATATTTTGTAAAGCTCACAATTATAAATATGTTTTATAAAATAGGTCAAATAACAGATAATCATCATTACATATTTGTAAAGCTATAAAATACTGAATCATTCTTAAAAGCTCTTGACACAAATTTTATTACTGATCAAATAAAAGCATATGATGAAAACATTAAATTGTATTAACGTAATTTGAAGTTTGATGGATACATTTGGTCTCATCACGAAGCCAGAAACAGACACAGATTATCTATGTCAATGACGCTATTGCCTGGCAAACATCATGTATGCAACACTCAAGATAAATGATTTCAAGCGCATCGTCCCCCTTGATCGAAGATAGGTTGAGGAAACGTAGGATACAAACATTTTCGACGTGCATCGAACACTGTCTTGTGAGATTCTCAGACATGTCGACAGGTACACAAGGTGTGGTTAGGAGTAATGCATATGCTGTTCTGCTCTCCTATTCAGAACGGCCGAGGAAGATGACGACATCTACAATTGCGCTCGTCAGGAGAAATGAACAGAAGTACAACACGCTTTGCTAACATACTCTACAAAACTGCCAACCAAGATCAGGACCTTATGAATAGGCTTATCATACGGACATTTATAGCAAACAACAGCTCCGGTTTGCCCACATCAGTTTCTCCTTTCATTTGTTTTCAAAAAAAAATTATTCTCACATCAAAAAGCATCATTTTCGGTATGGTCTCAATCAGAAATCATTTCGTTCTCGTGTATACCCTGCTTGTTCTGCTCATTGTTCCATTTTGTCTCAGCATCATCACTCCTGTTGCGGTTTTCATCTTCGCTTTACTCTTCGAGGTTTGAGTTTATAATTATTCTTCTTTGTGTCACATTTCTAGTTTATAGTTGAACTATATGAAAGAAGAACTTCTACTTTTTTATTATTATTATAAAATGCTGCAATATGGAGAGCGGTATTTCCATAATTATCTTTTTCATTAATATTTGCACCATGTGCAATAAGATGTTCTGCTATTTCTTTATTATTATGAAATGCCAGAATATGGAGAGGTGTTTTTCCATCTTTATCTTTTTCATTGATATTTGCACCATGTGAAAGAAGAAGTTCTGCTAATTCTTTTTTATTATATTGTGCTGCAATATGGAAAGGTGTTTTTCCATCTTTATCTTTTTCATTGATATTTACACCAATTGAAAGTAGAAGTTTTGCTGTTTCAATTCTATAATACAATACTGCAATATGGAGCGCAGTGCTTCCATCTTTATCTTTTTCATTGATATTTGCACCATGTAAAAGAAGAAGTTCTAATATTTCTTTATAATTATAATTTACTGCAATATGGAGTGCAGTTCTTCCATCTTTATCTTTTTCATTAATATTTGCACCATGTGAAAGAAGAAGTTTTGCTGTTTCAATTCTATAATACAATACTGCAATATGGAGCGCAGTTTTTCCATCTTTATCTTTTTCATTGATATTTGCACCATGTGAAAGTAGAAGTTCTGCTAATTCGATTTTATTATATTGTGCTGCAATATGGAGCGCAGCGCTTCCATCTTTATCTTTTTCATTGATATTTGCACCATGTGAAAGAAGAAGTTTTAATATTTCTTTATAATTATAATCTGCTGCGATATGGAGCGCAGTTTTTCCATCTTTATCTTTTTCATTGATATTTGCACCATGTGAAAGAAGAAGTTCTGCTAATTCGATTTTATTATATCGTGCTGCAATATGGAGCGCAGCGCTTCCATCTTTATCTTTTTCATTGATATTTGCACCATGTGAAAGAAGAAGTTTTAATATTTCTTTATAATTATAATCTGCTGCGATATGGAGCGCAGTTTTTCCATCTTTATCTTTTTCATTGATATTTGCACCATGTGAAAGAAGAATTTCTGCTGATTCTTTTTTATTACATTGTGCTGCAACATGAAGAGGTGTTTTTCCATGATCATCTTTTTCATTGATATTTGCACCATGTGAAAGAAGAAGTTTTAATATTTCTTTATAATTATAATTTGATGCAATATGGAGCGCAGTTTTTCCATAATTATCTTTTTCATTAATATTTGCACCATGTGCAATAAGATGTTCTACCATTTCTTTACTTTGACATTCTGCTGCAATATAGAGAGCGGTTTTCCCGTCTTTATCTTTTTCATTGATATTTGCACCATATAAAATAAAAAAATCTGCAATTTCTTTATTATTATTTTCTGCTGCATAATGAAGAACAGTTTTTCCATAATAGCCTTTTTCATTGATATCTGCGCCATATGAAAGAAGAAATTCACCAATAACTTTATTATTCAATTTTGTAGCGTAATGGAGTGGAGTCATATTCTTATTATCCATACAATTGACTCTAAATTTATTACATGAGGCAAGTAATACCCTGCATACATCAGAATTTTGCGATTTACACGCAAAATGTATAATATTCCTATAACGATAATCAGTTTTATCAGGAAATTCATTGTTTCTGAGAATATCTATTGTTTGTGGAAATGCAGAACACCATGGAACAATAGAATTTTTATCCTTCTCGAAAAGCAAAAATACGGCCTTTAGGTTTTGATATTTGATAATATATTTAAAACCATCAGATACTTTGATGCTTTGAATCCATTCTTCAAATACGAAATATTTAAATTCAACGACATATTCAAGCATTTCATTATTATGTGAACTTACAATATATTTGAGGCAATCATTATTTATTTCATTATCTTTTAAACATTCGTTGATAATATCTGTATTTCGGCCAATTATTGAGTAGCAAAGACAATTCTGTGTTTTTTGGCATATTAGATTTGAAAGTAAGAAATGGAAAATGTTAACGGATCCAAAATAGGCGCATACTTCAATCAATGATAACTTTATTGGATTGTAATCAAATTGTCTTGACAAATCAGGAATTTCAAGAAAATATGGTTCCTGCTCTATTCTTTTATGAGTAATATATTCCTTGAACTTATCAATTTGGTCATGCATAACTATAAATTCAATTGAATCCTCCATTGGGAATTGTTTAACCGAAATTTTATAAAAGCTAGCACCTATATGTCTGAGTATTCTGATGTAATTCTCTCTAGAAGAATAATTGTATTGAAATGCCAGGAGGATAATCTTTGTAAGTCGCTTGATTGAAAGTTGATACTTCGTAATCAAAACGTTTGTAATCATATTGCACATATCTTCAATAGATTCGTCATATTTGATTTGGAAAAGCTTTTCAAATGCTTCAATAAAGTCGGCATACTGTTTTGAATAGTCTGGGCCAAGTGAACTTTGGATCATTTGATTGCACTTGACAAAAAAAATTTTAATAATTTTTTCTTCAGGTACTAAATATTATAGTCCTATGACAATTCTGCAATGGAAATCATGTTACAAATGCTATTTTAATCTTCCTTCTGTATAACAGATATAGAATTTGACGATTTTTTGCGAAATCAAATCTAAAAATTCAAATATCATCTTTCTCTACTTGAGTTGCAAATAATAATCTTCTTGAACATGTCGTTTCAATCAATATTTAGTAAGCAGAATTCCAATAAAATACGTATTGATTGAAAATGATGTTGTATTTACAGATCAACAAACTCATATGAACTTAAACTTATGTTTTTTGTAAAATACATGAATATTTATCTGTAATTATTCAACAGCTTATTTTCTATAAATTTAAAAATTATTATTCGAATTAATAATGATTTGCAGATCCAAACTAGCATAAATATTTTTACATACTATTATTATTTTAGTGTCATACATTTATACACCTGAAATTACTTCACACACTTCATTGTGATAAATGTTTGAAAAATTGTTTTCACCAGCGGAAACATTTTGAAATATGACTCTTTGAAATGATTTTGCCATTTAACTGTGCTTCGATATGTATGATGAAGCACATAATTTCGTGCAGCAAACTATTATAAAGTCCATATTGGAATTTGCTCGAAATTATGTGGTTTTGGAATTTTATTCTCATAGGCATACTACCATTGGCATTCACTATATTTTAGACCCAATTTCCTGTTTGATAAATCAAATGCACTTCTGTTTTCCATAATCCCAAAAATTTTAATGGAAATATCGAAAACTCTTACGATACTGTCTTACAACGTTGTAATATTAAAGATACAAATGCAATTATATTCTTATGGCTCGATTTTTTGCAATATTTTCTAATGATATCAAAGATTATTAGCAATATACACTATTTAAAGTATGTAAAAAATCAGCTACATATGATAACTGTAATGCTTTTAATATTTTTCATGTATCTCTAAAAATGAATCTCAAACTCGAAAATTTTTTTGTGTTGTCACTTTTCGAAATCAGCACGTTTAGTTATATATGAGTGATTCGTGGGAGGCGGCGTGCTCGTTATTAGAGCAGCTGTCCTCCATGACATCTGATCCAGTACTAATAGATTTCGGTGGTCTCTCATATTATACATGTGGAGTTCCTTTGAAGCCGTTATCTATTGAAGAATGCGCAGAAAACGAAGATTTTCAAACATTAGAAAGAGAAATAGATATTTTGATTAAATTCGATCAAAAGCATGCTGCGATATTATTCCAAAAATGGAGAGCTCGAGCAAAAGTTAAACGTTTAAATCATTATCAAGAAATATTCAATCAATGGCACAGAATGTATACGTATAGGATACAAAAGAAACAGCATGAAGCTAATTTACTTCGAAATTGTGTGAGAGAGTGGCATCTTTTCATTTGCGAGAAAAAGACACAGAAAGTATCATCAAAAGTTGTCATGAAGAAATGCTTTGCGACATGGAAGAAGCAACATCAGATATTTGCACTTACTACACGTATCAATAAAGCATCTTCGAAAATTAAGAAGACAATCTTTTTCAAAAAATGGAAATCAAGGCTCGCTCGTAAACGAGAGATGAAGAAAAAGCAAGCAGTTGTTAATCTTTTTAAGACAAAAGCACTACAAGAAAACTTTTCAATTTGGTATGAAAAATATCTTGCAAAAACACGTATTTTATCAACAGATTTACATAAAAAGAAGCAATTCTTCCATAAATGGAATGCAAACTTTGAGCTTTCGCAAAAGTTATCAACATCAGAAGTCGCTGTCCGCTTAGAACATAATCGTTTAACACAGACAAGATTTTTCCTTGTCTGGAGACGCAAAGCACGCATATCTATTAAGAAGAGATCGCGAAAGATGGTTGGAAACTGGTCAAAGTTCACAAAGAACATAATTAAGTATTATCAAGTCAAACAAATATCAGCTTTATATGCCGAAAAACGCGTATTTGGTAAGATGAAAGAGCATCTTATTTCGATCCAAAATGTATTCTTGCAACAGTACATCGAAAAATGGAAAAGATTTGTTGATCTTCAAAAGAAGAAGAAACAAGCCATTGCTTCATCACAAAGCTTCACCTTATATAGAGCTCTTGGTCGCTGGTATATTACTTGGCGTGCAGTTGAAGATTTGAGATTAACAAATACAGTTCGTGAAACAGTTGTCAATCCTCATCTCAAAGAACGTTTCTTCCATGAATGGATCAGGAAGGCACAGGAATCTGTCGATACAAAGAGGAATATGGCCATACTCCAAAGAAAGAAATCTCTTGAATTAAAGATTTTCAAGGCATGGCATTGTCATGTTGAGATGTTGAATATTAGAGCTGAAGAACACTATAATAGGACACTTATTACAGGTGCCTTCGCCATTTTCGAGCTTGGAACAATTGGAAATTCAAGAGAAAACGAAATTAAAGCTGAAAAGTTCAGAGAAATGAAGTTAAAGAAGAAATACTTCAAGAAATTCAGATCATTCAAGGCTTTCAAACCTGTTGTCCCTGAAGCACCAGTTGATAATAGTGCACTTGCTCAAATTATCTCGATGTTGAACACAGATGTAGGTATGATAAAGGCCAGCTTACTCTGAGTTTATATATTGTTTTTATTGTTATTGTTTATATATTTTGGAATAAAATGTTTAAATTATTTGTTAGAGATTTAATTCAAATTTATTTTATTGATTATATATGTCATATACAAATACCCATACAGAATATAATTGCTTTTTAACTATTTTAACTTAAAATAATGATTTTTAATTGAGAACGAATACAACTCATATAACGGATACTATATCGAGGCCATAATTACCGAATATTTAATTAACAAAGCTATAAATTTACTATATTATTATTTTCAAGCATAAAATAGTTTATTATTTTTTCAATAATGACTTTATCGAGTTCCGAGGAAATCGCTCGGATCCTAATGAGAACTGGATATAAGCCAGTATTGGAAGAATATTCAAAGATGGCAAAAGAGAAACAGAATACCTCATATGTTCCACGTTTTTTTACATCTTATCGTGTAAAATCCCACGAATATACAAATATTTTCAACGAGATGGCAACAGAAGAAAGCCTTTCTGATATACTGAACAGTATTCCAACAACAGAAGATATAAATAAACTGCGCGATGAATTTGAACAAATGGTATTATCTCCGTCAGGACTTCCTGTTCTTGGTGTTAAACGTGAAAATAGAACAATGAGATACATGCAATACCAACAACTTCGTTCAAAATGGCCAGAAAATCTTCAGAAATTATTATCAACAAAACTCTTCTTAAACATAGGTGGGAACTCTCTTAACACGATGTTTTACGACAAATTTTTCGATTTTCTTTACTTTTTACCTCGAGCTGCATCTCATTTTCTCGAATTACGAACTTATGATCCCTACAGAACGGGAACTATCAGTGACATTGCTTTTTTAAAGTATGCTAGACAGTTTGCAAGTCAAATGGCTTTTGTCAAATTACAACAAGAATCAAATCCGCATTTTCTCGATCAGTACGTAACTATAATATTCAACTTTGTCTTTATGTCGATTGATTACCTCAAAACTGGCATTGCACCCATCAAAAGTCTCATTAACTCTCCATTTTTATATTATTTCATCAGTCTCGACCCAGATGACGAAGATTGCAACTTTGACCGCAACAACATATTCTCTCTTAGTTCAGCCAACTTCATTATTACAGAATTCCACGAAGCAGATACAGATGGTGATGGAATTTTAACTTCTGACAATTTAACTCATCTTTCAACTGTTCATTTGAGCCATGCCTTTGCAGATTCACTTGTATCATGTTGTACTAACAGAGCTACGGACTTTTCCTGGTTCGTGAGGTTCAGAGCGTCATGGGAAAACTTAGGAACTGTTTGGGCAAATTCTTTTATTTTCGACGCGTTGGATGTCGACGGAGATGGTTTTATTAGCAATGAAGATGTTGATTTCTATATCAAGGAGATAGTACATGAAGCAAGAATTGCTATTTGTAATGATGATATACCAATTAAACCAAATCTTCCTGAGATTTATGATACAATGAAATTTGAAGATTCGAAACTTTCGAAAGAAAAGTTTTTGCAGACAAAGAATGCTGATTTCTTGGTGAAAATGCTTGGTGATGTTAGGTATTTTGTATTGGCTACAACAGGTATTGATTTGTTTTCATCTTCTGATTCAAACTCTTTTTGATTTGTATATTTTTAATAATTTTTTATCTTTGCTTGTATTTTTTAAAAGTTGTTTTATCTAAACTTACATTTGTTTTATTTTCTAATGAATCCTTAAGAGGGCGCATATTTCTGACAACTGTTTTGAAGCACCATTGAAAACCCTCATTAAACAACAGAGTTGAATGTCGTGTCATACAGACAAAAGGTCAACCTTAATATAAATCAATAATTAATGTAGAAAACGCAGATTACTAATCATTATTTACCTTCATTTGTCTGAAAACATTTCAATTTAAAGAGATCCCAAATGAAAATTGAAGACATAATTACATGACTTTCGAAATATATAGGAAATGAAACACTATTAATATTTCAAAAAAGCAAAAAAAAAACTGGAGGAGAATCCAAAAATAATGATGTCGAAATTCTCCTAGCTGCAGATATCAGAACAACATTTAATAATAGTTGTGATACTTTTTACTGGCTTATAAATAAGCCCGAAATTTATCTGAATAACTTAGAAATTCTTATATAATCCTTCTTATAATATATAATTCTTTCTAATTCTTACATTTATTTATATTAGTAATTAACATTAACTATCGGAGATCATATATTGTATAATTTTTAAAAAGGATTTTGAATAATAGCTGGAGAATATACACATTCTTGAAATGTGTAAAAGTGGTCATAAAAAAGATATTATTGCAATTGAATGATGGAAGAACGTTCATTAAAGAACTAATGATAAAGTATAGTGGAATATCAATCGCTTCAAATTGTATTCGGATCTAATGTTTTTGGGATCATTGATGAGTATTTTTATATTTTTGTTAATGCTCCTTTGAAATCAAAAACAGAAATTTGTAAATAATCACGATCTAATGAATTCTTTCCTGTTTGAGTTATTTTGAAAGATACAAAATATTCGTTTGTGTGAAGTGGAAATTCTTTGATTTCTCTTTGTTTGAATTCATAATATTTATCATTATCTAATACAACAGTTGTTCCATCTTCTTTGATTCCTTCTAACTTCCATCTTCTCAATAAATGAGTATCATACTTAACTTTTGATTGTAAAACATAAGATATTGGTTTTAATTTATATCCTTTTATATCAGCTTTTATCCATGAATTAGGAGAATTCTCAGTACAGAAATCAGCATTATCTCTATAAGAATTTATATCTGATAGCTTTTCAACTAACTTAGATGAAGCTGTAAATTTCATTTTAATTTCTTTAGAAACCAACATAGAATCAAATGAACAAATAGGTTGACTTGATATCATAAATTTATTGTTAGTTAAATGTTTTTCAAATGAACAAATAGAGTTATTTGAAATTGTAAATTGATTGTTAGTTAAATGTTTTTCGAATGATAAAAGAGATTGATTTGAAATTTCAATATTTTCTCTTATGTTTGAATGATAATTCTTTAGTGTTTCGTTGTATATAGTGAGAAGATCTCTTTCGAATGAATGTTCAAGGCAAAAGTTATAAATTGAGTCATATGTTTCGGATGAGCAAAATGATAGTTTGATATATCGAAATAAATCAAAGAATGTATCATTCTTTTTGCAGATTGATAAAACTAAAAATGATAAATGATCTTCGTTGTCGATTTTTAATTCTTTAGAAGTGATGATTTGTTCACAAAATTCATATCCATTTCGTGTGAAATTGTCAATGATATCATTGTCATCGAAACAATATAAATTGGATGAGATGAAATAGAGACATTCGTTTTCTGTTTTAGGATCATTTTCTAAAACTGAAACTTCATACTTCGAAAAAACGTTTTCTTTAGTAATAGATTTGTCGATTTTAACATGATCGACGTACATATGGATAAAGATTTCATTTCCAAAATATTTACCGATTTCAAAAAGATCATGATAATGATTTTCATCTTCTTCAAATTCAAGTTTTCCTGTTTCAAGAAAATTAGTGAGGATGTCTATTGAATCTTCGCATTTAAGATCTATGTTTGCTTTAAATGATGTTATTGATTTATCATAAATGCATCTTTCGTGAATTAAATCTGAAAAACAAACTGCTGTTGACTTCATCGTTTTGATTATTCGTCCATTAATATTGATATTTAATCGTCCACATTCTTTCAAAATGCCAACACGTTTTAATTCTCTGCATGATTTTGTAATTTGAACCATTTTGAAAAAAAAAACAATAAATTTTTCAATCAATTCTATCGGCGCGAAACGCCGATATAATTAAGACATTGTATTATTTTATTTTTTGCGCAATAATCTTTGAAATCGAATTAAATTGGCACTCACTCATTATAAATATATGTTTATTCTGCTGAGAGTGGCTTGTTTGCCCAAAGCGGAATTATAGACATCTGAGACCCGAAATTATATCATATTTGATTTTTTGGCCTTTAGAACTGTTGTAAGTTAATATCTTCAAACGAGATACAGCAAAACTTTATTTAGAATATTCGGACAAAAAGAAACATGATGTGCTTGTTTTGTAATCCGGAATTTGTAAAAAAAAATCCGACTATTTTTTTTTCGAAAATTTTTCCTACCCAGAAAAAAAATTGAGGATGTTTTATTGTCGTCTGGGAAAAGTGACAAAATTATTATTGTCGTCTAAAAAGGTGACAAATTATTATTGTCGTCTGGAAAAGTGACAAAATTATCATTGTCGTCTAAAAAATAGATTTTTCAAGCATGTTTCGGTACCTAAATAAAGGAAGAACATCAATTCCATCTATGTATATAGTATGCAAACACGCATGATATATGGAGTAGCTCTTTATCTGGCTAAAAATCCTATTATTTGAAAATTCGCATTGTCGTCTAAAACCGCCAGACGACAATAATAATACCCCAAAAAAATTTATCATTTTCATGAGTAAATTCCCATATGACGCACTTATGGATTCTGTCAAAGAACTTAATGATATTTTTCATAGATTGTATAGACTAAAGATAACAAGTGCAGGCGAAATCAATGCTTTTTTCAAAGAAATTGATAATAATTTTGGTGATTGTCTTAAATCTGACCTTCTTCAAGCAATTTCAAGTGCTTTAAGAGCGAACAATCGTTATATTATGACTTATTTGACTTTAATGCAAAAGTTTTACCAAAAGTATCCAGATTTAAATAGTCAACATGATTCATCTCTTGGAGAACACATTCTACAGAAATACTTTGGAATTACTGTAACTAAACCATACCAATTCAAAATCAGTAACTTATTAAAATCAATCATTTATGATGACGTGAAATTGCTTGCTCCTTTCACAGAACAAAATGAATATTCTCATCTTCAAGAGATCGACTTTTCTTATTTTCCATGCGTGAAAAATAAATTAAATCTTCTTGAAACATGTTGTTATTACGGTTCAGTTAATTGTTTCAAGTTTTTAAGATCAAAATTCTCTTCAGGAGTCACAAAAGTTTGTCTTCAACTTTCATTTTTAGGAGGAAATCCCGATATTATGAGTGAATGTTTGAAATATCAAAAACCAAATGAAAAATGCATGAAATATGCAATTATGTCTCACAACGTCGATTTTGTTACATATCTAATGAACGAACATAATATTCCAATTGACATCAACATGTGCATATATTACGATAACATCCAAGCATTTCTTATTCATTTCGATCAATCAAATGATATGGAGAGATTCATTATTGGAACAATTGATTTACTACTTTGTTATCCAAGATTTAATTTATCTGTAATAACTAAAATTGTTTTTTCTCTTTTACCTAAAATTATGGATAAAAAATACCAAGGACTCCTTAATAGTGCAAAAGCAATTCTTTTCAATGAATTTGATGATGTAGATTTTAATTTCATTGATGATTACGTGAAAACATTTCTTCATTATGTTGCAGAATACTTTCATTGGTCGAATAATGTTGTACTTTATTATAATGAAGAATCTATCCTCAACAACCAAGACAATGAAGGGAAGACAGCTCTTCATTATGCAACAATTAGTGATAATATAGATTTTTTAGACCAATTGAAATTTTATGAAATAAATACTGAAACACAAGACAATGAAGGGAAGACAGCTCTTCATTATGCAGTAATGAATGATAATGAATATTTTACAAAACGATTGTTAAATTTTAATGACAAAAGTACTGAAATATCCGACAATGATGGGAAATTACCTTTACATTACGCAGTAATAGGTGGTAATGTCAAAATTGCGTTAGCAGTCATAGAAAGAACCAGTAGGATAAGAAAAAGGGATAATAATTCGAAATTTCCTCTTCAATATGCTGTCGATGATCCAGAAATGTTTGAAAATCTAATTTATGACCCAAAAACATGAACTGAATATTATAAAATAGAAGATGCATTGGAATGCGAAAGTATGGCATCTAAAGGGGTTAGTTCAATAATTCATAATTTGGTTCATGGTTTTTGGTGTCCTGGGGATGACTAAATCTTTTAGAGTGTTGCATGTACACGCAAGCAAGGCTCCGATGTGTTATTTTGTCATTTATATGACTTATATATATATATTACAAGAACGTTTGTTTCCTCACATTTTTGGAAAAATATATTTCCTTCTATTTGAAATTTAGTAAATTTCATCAGACTTTTCAATCTATGCTCCAGTTTTAAAAGGGTTTTTATAAAAATCGAGCATTGAAAAGTGTGATGAGACTGACGAATTCTTCCAATCGATCGTTAATACAGCTAATTGTCTATGTATCAACATATCCCACAATTCTTTTAAAATAACTATGAACCATAGTTAAATGATAGTAATTAAAAAAAAATAATTATTTTTTTAACAAACATAAATAAAAACAATATAAACAAATAAATAGTATGTCTAAAAATTATCTCTTTGCGGCCAAAGGAGGCAAAATCGAATTGCTTGCTGTCATATCCAAACTTTCTGAAACATTTTGCAGAGTCTGAGCGATTTTATCTGGAAGATAAATATCCTGGCTATGCATAGTGAGATATTTGGCTGTAGCATCCATGTTTTTCTTCTTGTAAACTCTCATTAAATTTACATTCTTTCTTCCTTCGTTTAGAACAAGTGGCTTCATCCTTTCAAGCTCAGATTTAAGTTCTCTTATATCTGCTTCTAAAACTAAAACTTCCATCTGATTCTTTTTGAAATTTGCCTCAGCAATTGATAATTCTTCTTTTAATGGGTCTTCTCTGTCAACTAACGCTTTAAGTTCGTCTTTGGCCATGGTCAGAGCTTCTTCAGCTGTCTTCTTTGTTTCATTTAATTCGGATGTTTGGGTTGCCAAATCATCTAGCTTTGCTTTAGCGGCCTGAGAAACTCTTACGGCTCTAAGTAACATTTTTTGCTCATTAATTTGTGTCTTCATCTGATCTGATTTCCGATTATTTGAATCAATTTCTTGGATAAGAGAATCTGTAAGCGCAACCTTAGTTTTATAACTCTCAAGCAATTCTCTCAACTCTTTAGATTTAGAAAGATCAGTTCTGAATTCAGCTGCGAGATTTTGTATTTTCTTTCTTTGGGCTTCGACTTGTTCTCTCATTTGAGAAGCCTTATGTAGAGCATCATGTGATATAAGTGAGAACTGTTCTGCAGATGATAATAATTGAGCTTTATCGTCAGTCCATTGAACTTTCATTAAATGGAACTTATTTTGTTCTGAAAGTGCTTCTTCTTTATGATGTTTAGCATTTAATGCGAAAACTTGTTCGCTTTCTATTGAAGAACTCTTTTTGAAGTTTTCCATTTCTTCTTGTAAATCTTTTAACTCTTGTTTTGCCGTTTCTGTTGCTCTTTTGGCATTTTCTAGCATATGCTGAGCTGTTTTGACTTCTGCGACTAGTTTTTCTGGAGATAATGAAGATGTATCCGTTTTTCCTCTTGCTGTTTCAAATGAATTGACTAAAACTGGCTGCCCCCATTTTGCAGGCTTATTTCTTGTTTCTAATGTTTTAAGTCTTTCGCGTAATACTTTTTGTTCGGCTAATGCATCTTTTAAAGCTTTCTGAGTCTGCAAATATGAAAGTTCTTCATCAGAAAGCTCACATTCTCTGAGATCAGTTGGTTCTAAGTGAGCAACGGATCTCTGAGCCCTCATCATTTGCAGATTTTGACAAAGGAAAAAAACGTTATTTTTCGATATTTGACAAAAATAATCTCATATGTCAAAAAACGAACATAAGTTAATTTATTTTAATGATTATGGTGCAATATATATGGCAACTGATAAGGCACAATAACTAACTAATTCTTCACATATATCCATTTTGAATGTATGATATCGAATTTCATCATATTTTAATCACTTGGATAACGAGATATCTCATATTCTTGCTCATTTTAATCTAAACAGCATATTGACATTTCGATTTTTCTAATTTGGAGGACAACATTCAATTTGAATTTTGAACAAAGAAATGAAATCTAAAGGTAGGTCAACAAAAAATACGTTATTTCGCAAGAAAAATAAATTCTCATGAACAACTTCAAGCGGATTTTTCTCAGTAATAAAACTCCAAACTTCTCTTAATTGTGGAGAGAAATTGAAGTTTTCTTCATGCATAGTAATTTATTACTTTGTATTTACATTAATTTCAGAAACAGTGTTGACATATATGCAATTTAAAATCGATGTCATTATACTTAATAAATATCCAATCGTTCTATTCTTTCAAAATATAAAGCTCTACAATGGAAATTGTATAGCTTAAAATTTAATAATCTGCCCCGATACTTTGAACGATGAAAATCGTAACCACTGCAATAGATTAATCCTCAATTGTTGTATAATTGATATCTTACTCTCATAAAAATCTGCAAGACGTTTTCGCGAAAAATCATTTTACATACATGCGTTACTTAGTTAGGCGATTGTTCTAACCTCAACCATAAAAATAATGCAAAATACTGAAAGTCTAGATATAATTAATAGACTCTAAATATTGCTGCTGCGCTTAAAACAAGATTTAACAAATTTGTCGATATTCACTCAACAAATTGAAATTTCATCAATAAAGCAAAAACAAAATGAGTTACAAACGGGAACATGACTAATTTATCTACTAAAAACAAATTTAAACTAATATACAGCAAAATTCTCGATTAATCCCCGAATTGCAACAAATAACTTGAAGATATTGTTTTACGTTGCTTACAATAGCAAACTACATAATGTTTTTGAAATAGAACCTTTTAAATACGCTCAAATAAAAATCTATACTAAACCTTTTTCTTTTTTAAATAAATATATCTCATTCATTCCATAACAAACCATTATATGAATATCATGAAATATGTCATTAAAAATAAATTATAATAATAATCCAAAATATTCATCTCAGATATGGGGAACAAGACAAGTTTTGGAACAAGCATCAAAAATAAATAATGTTTGTAATTCCAAAAATTTTTCATTTTGCAAATTTTTCTTGGAAAATTCGTATTTCTTCTCTCCATTTCAAATTTTTGAATTTTTTTTGGAATTTTAAATGAAAATTGAGAAACCTAATATAGATGGTTGTTATCATATGCGAATAGTTCGTTTATTTCACAGTTTGGAATTTTCCAATTTTCTGGTGAAATTGAGTTTCTATCACAAGTTTAGATAGCATTTTTAAGGACAGATTACATGAATTTATATTTTCATCAATATGGTATATTGAAATAGGAGACGCTCAATATTACAATGTCTTTCTTAGAATTCCAAATGTATTCAAATTTCCTGAAACTACAATTTCTGTAGTTACTAGCCACACGTAGGAAGCAACACACAAATGTCTAGTAGATAGTATATCATTTTATCTCGCAAAATGAGTATCTTAGGAAAAATTCTAGATACTTTTTCAAAACATACAACAACGCAAGATCTATTCTGTAAAACCGATTAACAGTACAAATATATTTATTTGCAGGTCAAAGAATCGAATGTTAATTTTAATAATATTTCCTCGAAATTGCTCTTGCAGTTTTCTTCCATTCTTCGTCTATTAGTTACCGAGTACCTACATAGTCTAAATCCATTACCAAAATCAAGAAAGCATCGTTACGATTTTGTTGACCTACCTTTTGAAATCTGTTAAAATTTAAACGTATCTGAAATATCATCATGAATTTTTAGATAATGAGAACTCGTTCGATAATAAAAATATGTTTTTTTTTTCAAAATGGTTCAAATTACAAAATCATGCAGAGAATTAAAACGTGTTGGCATTCTGAAAGAATGTGGACGATTAAATATCAATATTAATGGACGAATAATCAAAACGATGAAATCAACAGCAGTTTGTTTTTCAGATTTAATTCACGAAAGATGCATTTATGATAAATCAATAACATCATTTAAAGCAAACATAGATCTTAAATGCGAAGATTCAATAGACATCCTCACTAATTTTCTTGAAACAGGAAAACTTGAATTTGAAGAAGATGAAAATCATTATCATGATCTTTTTGAAATCGGTAAATATTTTGGAAATGAAATCTTTATCCATATGTACATCGATCATGTTAAAATCGACAAATCTATTACTAAAGAAAACGTTTTTTTCGAAGTATGAAGTTTCAGTTTTAGAAATATCCTAAAACAGAAAACGAATGTCTCTATTTCATCTCATCCAATTTATATTGTTTCGATGACAATGATATCATTGACAATTTCACACGAAATGGATATGAATTTTGTGAACAAATCATCACTTCTAAAGAATTAAAAATCGACAACGAAGATCATTTATCATTTTTAGTTTTATCAATCTGCGAGAAGAATGATACATTCTTTGATTTATTTCGATATATCAAACTATCATTTTGCTCATCCGAAACATATGACTCAATTTATAACTTTTGCCTTGAACATTCATTTGAAAGAGATCTTCTCACTATATACAACGAAACACTCAAGAATTATCATTCAAACATCAAAGAAAATATTGAACTTTCAAATCAATCTCTTTTATCATTCGAAAAACATTTAACTAACAATCAATTTACAATTTCAAATAACTCTATTTGTTCATTTGAAAAACATTTAACTATAAATCAATTTATGATATCAAGTCAACCTATTTGTTCATTTGATTCTATGTTGGTTTCTAAAGAAATTAAAATGAAATTTACATCTTCATCTGTATTAGGTTCATGTGAGTCCTCATTTATAAATTCTTATAGAGATAATGCTGATTTCTGTACTGAGAATTCTCCTAATTCATGGATAAAAGCTGATATAAAAGGATATAAATTAAAACCAATATCTTATGTTTTACAATCGAGATGTATAAATGGTGGTGATTTATTGAGAAGATGGAAGTTAGAAGGAATCAAAGAAGATGGAACAACTGTTGTATTAGATAATGATAAATATTATGAATTCAAACAAAGAGAAATCAAAGAATTTCCACTTCACACAAACGAATATTTTGTATCTTTCAAAATAACTCAAACAGGAAAGAATTCATTAGATTGTGATTATTTACAAATTTCTGTTTTTGATTTCAAAGGAGCATTAACAAAAATATAAAAATAGATTTTATCACTAAGATCTGAATCAGTCTTATACATCTTCCATCAGATGCCTACAAATTGTTTAAATATACAAAATAATAAAAAAACAAACAAATTTTTATTTTTCAGATATTAACGCCATCTTCGATTCCTTCTGCTACATGAACCTTTCCCCAGAGCTCAGCTCCTTCCAAATCTTCTATTTCATCAGGATTTCCGAATGGATTTCCTCCAAAAAGAGGTTTTCCGTCTTGAATCGGAACTTGGCCCCATCCATTGGTTCCTGATCCGTAGCGGCATCCTTTTGGTAATGGAGCATTCAGTCCTGGTATTTTGAGGTTTGGATATGAAGGAGGAGGACCAAATCTTTGCATGTTGAACAAATAAGGAGGTGGAGATTTTTCTGACATACCGAGTGCATCTCTGAGTGTCTGTGATAAATACCCGACACGCATTCCTCGTGTATTTGGTAAAGTTTCTCGATATTCGTAATAAATATCGCCATATCTTGTCATAACTGGTTTTGTCTGCTGGTGGAAGAAAGCGCTGTATAGTACTTCGGGTTTTACATCGAACATTCCCATTTTTGGTCGAGCTCTTTCTCTTTGTTTGCTTGCAAGAGATTTTTTCTCGTCCATGTCAAGTAATGCTTGTCTCATTTGCGGAATATTAGTTTTCTCTAAGTAAGGAGGCAATCTGTATTTTGATATCTCGGATCCTTTCTTGTAATTTAAGTATTTCCTTTTTTGCGACCAATGTGAAGGAACTGGGACGACATTGCGAGCATTCTTTATTTCTATGAGAGTAAATGGATCTGGAGAGTTTGTATCGCTTGGCTCAACAAGTTCCGGTCTTCTGGAATCTTGTTTTAACATAGCAACTGTTGGACGGCCATATTTTCTGATTTTACGGCCTGAAACTTCTATATCTTCTTCTTCCTCTTTGTTGTCTTCTTCTTCAGCCTTTTCTTCAGTTTCTGGTTGAGGAGCTGTTTTTTGATCGAATTTCTTTAAGATTTCTTGATAGAAGTCATCAAGTTCTCCATTGTCTTCGACTTCTTGTGATTTTTCGACTGGCTTTTCATCAGTTGGAAGGATAATTGTTGGCATCTCGAATTTCTGTATTTTATTCTTCTTCTTGTTTTTAGTTTTCTCCCTTTTAAGCTGTAGTGCTGATTTTTGAAGTGAATTTTGATTGACTTCAGTCATTTATGTTGAATTAAAATGAAAACAAAAAAACAATTTGAGTTGTCACTTTTTTATCAAAAAAAATAAGAATTTTGAGATTTATTTGGGTGTTTTTATGGTATAAAATATATCGTTGATATTTGTTATGTATATATTCACATGAATTTATTCATTTATTACAATATTCTCCCTTTTATTCACCATCGCTCTATCGGTGAACAAAATCGGAAATTATACATTTACAATCAGTATCTGGTCCGGAAAAGAGCAAAGAACCAAACTAGTTGCGCAAGCTCAGTCTTGGTATCGAAGCTTTTCTCACGTAATTGTTTTTTGCGATAAAATGAAGGAATGGGAGATTAGCAAAGTACAATATGAGGCATATCCATGCAATGTACAATTTGTAATACTCGGTTCAGAGACATCAAAAATATTTCGACAGATAGATTATCCTGGGCAATGGTTTTATGCCCAAACGAGATTTCTTCCTGCAATGTATAAAACGCAACAAATGTACCCCAATGCAAGTTTTTATATTTTCGGCGATGATGATACTTATTTTTTCAAATCAGCTCTAGTTGACTTCCTTAAGACCAAAGATCCAAACCAAGTTATTGGATATGGAAAATCTTACTGTTCATGGGATTTTGTTCAGTTTTTACAGCCAGCTCCAATATCTTGTCATAAATTTCTCCAAGGAGGAGCAGGTGTCGTTCTTACAAATAGGCTGCTTTCAACAGTCGCTCCCCATTTAATAAACTGCTCAAATAAGTTCAATTCAGCACGTTTTGCCGGTTCAATGAGATTTGGCATCTGTGCTGCGAGATTCCTTCCTAAGAATGACTGGGAACTTACTGTTGCGAGAGGTCTTGATGAGTTATTCTATAGTAAAACGCCAGAAACAGAAGTTTCGCAATTTGGTCTTTCAGTTTCCCCAATTACGTTTCATAAGCTGAGTGTGAAAGATTTTGAGTACATTAGAACCGCCAGGTATGTAGATTTTCAAATAAAGAAACAGCATTACGAAGCAGATCTTGGAGACATTGCTTTCACTGCTCAGGAGCTTGTATTGACAATACCACAGTATAGGCTGGGTTATGTACCTGGAATGAAGATAATTTGTCCATTTACTCATGAAGAATTTAACGTTTCTTCAAAATGGAAACCTATTATTAAAAAGAAGAAGTTAGTAGGTGCCCAGCAAATATATGGACCATTTACTGTTAAATTGATGTTCAAAAACGATATTTCTCCAAAAGAAGTTATTCCAAAGAATTATGATCCAAAAACTCATGAGTTTACATGCGAAGCGCGAACTCCTGACATAGTTGCGTTGAGAAAGGACCAAGGAATAAGCATTTATTCGATTATTATTAATATTATTGTTTTGTATTTCTTATATTATTTGCGATATAAAGTGTAAAGTATCTATCATGTTTATTTTTAATATTTAGATTCTTCATTTTATTTTCACTAAAATTCGTCACTTTTGGACTTAACGTACATAAAAATGGCGGCGGAAACATCTCAAGCAGCTGTTTCTGCAATTGCAGCCTTACAGAAACGCTTAAGAGAGCTTGAGGATGAGCAAAAGAATCTTCAGTCGCAAATTGAACAATACAACAAACACTGGTCTTTCAATAATGAAGAATTTGAAAGGCGTGAAAAATCTGTTGCTGAAATTACAGCTAAAGCTTATAAGATGACACAAGAAAATGCACACGTACTTGTTCAAATTCAAGAAGAGAGAAAACGTAAATTAGAATTGAAAAATCAGATCTTAGATCTTCAAGATGAGATTGATGAATGTGGAGATTTAGAACAATCTACACGAGTTAAGAAAGGCTCTGTTAAACAAGTTTCAATTAATTATAACAAAATTCTTGATGATTACGAAACATTGCTCGCATTGTTATTTGAACCTCCACAATTAGTTGGTAGAAAGCATGATTTCAAAATGTGCAAGTCAGATTATGACATTGATCTTTTACCAACTACTATGAGGCGAATTGCTCAGCAGTTAGAAGCACTTCCTGATAACTACAAATCTCAAAATCTTCCTACCAAGAGAGCTATTATTCAAGGCCTCGTTTATTCAAGAGAAGAAACAAGAAAACTTAAAGAAAAGATATATGCATTAGAAAAGAAGCGTAATACGTCAACTACACCTCGCTCATTAACTTTTGAAATTAATAAGTATATACAGCAATTTAACATTTTATCTGGTGAAATGAAACGATTTAAGTTTTAATTTCTCTTGTTTTGTTTGAATAAATCTCATATCTATGATATTAACTCTTTCTTTCTATTCATATCGATCTTAATTGATCTTTTTTTAAGTAAATACTACTTCAATGAGTAATATTACAAGTATTATGATGTTTGGGCTAAGTGGTTTTGTAAAAAAGCGATCTTTATTCTATATTTCTAAATAAAATTTGAAGATAAAAAAAAATAATAATATCCAGATAAATTACTCCTTTGGAGTTTCTGTTGAATGTTTCCTACGATGTTTCTTTGGTTTCTCCTCTGTTTTCTCCTCGGCTGGAGCCTCTGTTTTATCTTCTGTAGCATTTTCTGTTTTTTCTTCAACTTTTGTTTCCTCTGTAGTTGTTTCTTCTGTTTTTGGAGCATCAACAATATCTCCTTGGTGTAATGTTAATTCTGATAAAATTAATTGGATATTTTTTGCAGTTTGTTGGTTGTTTTCTTCAATAAAACCATCCTTTGCAATTCTCTTAAGGAAATGGTGAGCCTGCTTTGGTGTAAGATCTTTTTCTGAAACAGCCTTCATAGTCTTTTGAAAATCTTTTGTCTTTCTATCGTCCTCTAAATTTGTATTTTCCAAATTACGTTTTTTAAGATGCATTTCAAAGTCACATCCAAAATATAGTCTAAATTCCTTTATAATTCAACTTGAATTCAAATTTATAATGAAATTCTTCCTTGAATACAAATTTTAACCTATTATTTAGCTTAACTACGTACTGTTGTCGATATGTACTTCTTTATATAATTCAAAAAATATTCGAGTGATCAGAATATATATTGAAATTTCTACTAAATTCAGATCAAATTTGAATTTTTGCAAAAAATTTGGAAATTTTCGTGAAAATCAAATCTAGAAAAAGAATAGATTATTGGTAAGGATATATATTTATGTTATAATATGTAAAATGGACAAATCATACACTTTATTGTTTTTCAATAATTGATTGAAGCTCGATTTATTCACGTAGATATTCCTCATTCAATTGTTATAAGCACACAATTTCTATAAAATCTCTATATACCATATTAATACATTTTATATTTTTATCTAGTAACTTTTCTCAAAGGATATCCATGCATTAAAAGGGAATGCCTGAAAATAGCTTTCTCTTACCTTATGAAATAGTCTCACAAGTGATTTTTGATATTATATTTCTGTTATTTAATTGATATCTCCAATTAAAAATAACACCAGCATGACCATTCTGTATTTTAAATATTAATAACATAGGATAAATCCGAATTCTATCTGTCAGGAGTTCGAATCTTCCACTTTCATGTCAGATCACAGGAGATAATATTGAGTTCATACGAAAATAACGATATCAAACCACGAGCAATAATTTATTTATATTTCACTTGAAAATGAAAAAAAGTATTGGCCAAGTTTTTTTTATCCTGAATTTTTGTGAGTCACTTTTTTTTGGAGAAGAAAAAAAAATATTTTTTTTGTAAACTAAAATAAATGAATTTAGACTACCTTGCCTCCTTTGGTGACCATGTTGCGCTCTCCCAGTTCAAGACCGAAGATACGATATCTGTCTTATCCTTCAGTAAGAACGGAAGATTTTTAGCATCAGGTGACGCCGCCGGACGTGTAGTTATATTTCAACTAAATCCGCCTAAATCTGCGGGTGGAAAATCGACCGTTTCTTTTGTTGTCCAAGTCCACGCACATAAGGCTTCATTTGACTATTTCCGCTCCGAACTTTCCGATCCAAAAATTAATTCATTGAAGTGGGTAAAGACAGAAACAGTCAACCCCCTACTTTTAACATGCAACAGCCATGATGCAAAGCTCTGGAAATTCACGCAGAATAGCAAAATTACTTGGAACCCTTTGAATACAGATGTTCCAATAGACCAGTTTGTTCTTCCAAAACCAAGACAAGTCGAAGCTAAGTATACTGCAGAGTGCGTCAAATCGTTTACAGACTTGCAAACTGAGTATCTCGTCGATTTGCATTCGCTCAGCGACCAGCGTTCCTTCGTCTTGGTTGATGTTGGCTGCGTTAAGCTTTGGGACATGGAAAGGGATGTACCATCTGTTTCTCTCTACCGCCTTCCTTCAACGAATTCCGAGCTCATGTGCTCTGACGTTCACGATTCTTTACCATCGGCTGTCCTTATTGGTGATGACTGCGGTGTCGCCAAAATTATTGATATGAGGCAGCAAGCGGAAGACTTAACTCCATCAATAGTTTTCAATATACGCTCAAAGCTCAGCCCAGACAAACAATGCGCTGACTGCGAATCCATCGGATCACTTGCCTTCTCACCCGATGGCATTAATTTTGTCGCAAGAACATTCGGCGAGTGTCAAATTTGGGATGTCAGAAATCCCTCAACTCCGGTCGCCAAGATCGAAACTCAATGGTTCCCAGATCAAATGGATTGGCTCGCTTCAGAGGATATCGTTAAAGACCAGTTCAGAACTTGCTTCACCCTGAGTGGTAAGGTGGTCACTGGCTTGTACGGAGCTGATTTCATATCCTGGGATCCAAAGTCAAACGAAGTCAAGCATCATCGCGCTATTTCAAGTCGTACTCCAAGAGATCCTCCGGATCTTGGAAGAGATTTTACAAAGAGAGTTACTGTTTGCGAAGCACATCCGAAACAGGATATTATTGCTTGTGTTTCGACTGCCGCTTTATATATGTTTTCTGCACGCCAACAAACCAGAATATAATTCTTCTGCCTTTTTTATTTATTTATATAAAACATTTTTTTTAAAAACAAACTTACAATTACATTGGCATTCTGTAAATCCGAAATACAGATTTGCATTAATTTTTTTTTTACCGTCTTCTTCCAATACTTTTATAACATAATTTATCATTAGTTGAGAAAGAATACGAGGCTCAGATGGGTAATTTTCAGCAAACCTTCTAAATTTGAAGTATCGATTCGTTAAATATTTGTTAATGGGCTTCTTCAATGCAGTTTTCATGGTTAGCTGGCCATTGATACATATATACATGCTGCGTTTTAACTCTTAATTCCATGAATTTTTATTTGAAATCTTTACACTCCTTCATCCTCGCTCAAAGGAACTTCCATTTATTTTTGTAGGCATTAATTTTATATTTACCAGACTTATTAATGAAATGCCTTATCTAATTGTTTTTGAAATTTGTAGATTTGGCATGACATAGCTTGTAATGAATCATTACAACATGTCAGCCGAAAAATGCCTTAAATATCCGCTAGTAATAAAAAAATCAAACAAATATGTGATTTATAAAACATACAAACAATTATTATTAACAATAATATTATTGTTCAGGTCTGAACCTTTTCCGAATAGATTGACTGGTGATCCGTAAGTCACACCATTTCGAAGTACATTTGCAAAAATCAGAAACAACAAATTTTGTTGTTTGAACCTTTACAAATGCTGGTGTTTCAGGGAAAATATCTAAAAGGGCAACCCAGTCAGGATTGTAAGGTGTGACGTGAACTATCATTACATCTCTGACACTAACTCTTTCAATATCGGGACTACATTCATTTAGATCATCCCATGATCTGCGCTTAAATATCTTTAGCCAGTTGGGATGAGGTAAGGCCACAAGTGACCACGGATTTGCCCAAAATCTTAGTTGTGAGTAACTTTCTCGTAGAACAAGTCCCATAGCAATGTCATCTGTAATGTATGATTCATCTCTATTAGAAGTGTCTTCTATTGAAATTTTTGATTCAAGAAAAGACTGTATAAAATATCTCGAAGCAAGCCAACCAGGCCCACCATGAGGAAAACTAACATTGTGCATTTGCTGCAAGTTTCCTGCAAAGATTTTTGTAGTATAAGGATCGTAATTTGATTCAAGTGCATCTAATATATGTTCAAAAGCATTGAAATTTACCCACCCATCATCTCCACCTAGATAAAACCATGGTTCTGTGAGATTGTAATAGAAATAACGAATCGCACAATCAACTCTACAAGGCAAACCATGTGTTGAAAGGCGCTCATCATTACAATCACATGGTAATTCTGTTGGGATATCAGTTACAACATCTTTTGATAATATTAGAAATGGATGAAAGTTATCTGGTGGATTAAGAACGTGTTTCTTCGAAAGATTATGAAATTTATATAGAGTATTATTTGATCCTTGAAATCCAATTGCACATCTCTTCGTTTGTTGATTGCGAAGTGCTAAAAAAGTTAAAATTTCAAGAATCATTTGATTACAAAAATTTTTGACAAATTTGGTGTAATCATTGTGAAATCTGAATACACAAAGAAAAAGTTTAAAGTCTTACATAAAATATACAACTGCTACACATATAGTAGGTGACAGTTATATGATCCAGCATTCATCAAGAGTTGTGGCTAGATTTTTCAAATCAATCTATGGATAGATACCATATTGATTGAGTTGACAATAAAATTATTGATTCAAATCACTTGTTATGTGCGTTCTGTGAGGGAACACATCAAAATAAATGTAAAAATTATCATTGTTTTTATTAATCATGACTTGTTATATAGTTCTCATATGAATTTGAACAATGCTATTTCAGGTTAATCATTGTATTGACAAACAGTGTCTAAATAAGTAAATGAATAATTTCCGAAATCTACATTTTACTTTATAAGCTTATATTTATGTCAATTAGTAGCCAATGAGGTTAGTATATTGTTTATAAAGTCAGTTTTCTTATTTAATAAAAACACAAATATAAATATAACTTTATTCTATTCAATACAATTTTTTGCGTTGCTGATGAATGTTTCAGCAGCCTTCTTGTATTTATCATATTGAACCAAGTTCTCGAAATACGGAACTAAGCCTTTTTCAACAAATTCTTTACAGCATTGAGGATATCCACTGAGTGATACAATCACAGTAATGGCATCCGCAGCGTGTTGTTCCGAAGACAAAAGATCAACTAAAGGCTGAATGAACTGGAGATATTCCGGAGAATAAGAAGCTCTTGCGAGGCAATCCATCGTTAATAGGGCGATACTGTAGAACCTAGGATTCTGGTTTTCAATTGTTACATCGATATACGTTTTGAGAAAACCGTTCATTGATAATCTGTTGACCAAAGATACATTTGGCTCAGATCTTCTAATTGTCTGGGAGATAACGAAGTGCATGTGCTTCTTATCAGCAAGGAAAGCGGATTTGAGAAGAGCGGGGAACTCATTTAAGGCAATTGCTCTTTGTCTGTACTCGCTTTGCTTAAATATGGCCATGAACACTCGGAATATATCTATTGGGTGCTCATTAAAGCTTGTAAGCCATATAGAGCTGTTTTCTAGCATGAATTCAGCACCTTTCTTCGTGGAAGCAATATTTAATATGACAATCCACGCTTTCGTAGTGCTTTTTGTGCGTTGGAGAAGAGAACTCAATAAACTACGTGATGGAGGAATTTTCGAAATTCTGAGTAAAAGTGACAGGACCGATTTGTAAAGTTCATCATCTTTCAAGTGATTTGCTGCCCTTGTGAAGTCAATTCCGTCGATGTCGCCGTAGAGAATCGACAGGCCATTGTAAGCAGCTTTCACGGTTTTGATATCTTTTGAATTGATGAACATCAAAAAGATGGATCTGATATGAGCAGTTCTCTCCTTCGCGTAGAGATCGTATGTCGAAATAAGGTAGTGGAATATGGTAAGATATAAATATCCGCAGTTACTTGTCGAAAAAGACCTTACGACCGAAAAAAGATTATCTACGATTGGCCAAGGATTTGGCATCTGGTAAAAATGGCGTACGTAGTATGAGTACAAGATAAGCATCTTTTCAGGCCTCTTTTCGAGCAAAGCTGTAATTTGAGCGCAATGAGACTGAGATAACAATTTAGGAGAATCAATGAAGAGCGCGGAGAAGCAGTCAACAAGTGGATCGGCTGTTTCATCGTTTACTGGGCAGATTTCGAAGAATTTACACTCATTAAAATGCTCTATGAACTGGCGATTGCGTTTCATGAGAACTTGGAACGCAGATAGTAAGCAGTTAGCGACATTCTTCGTAATATGAGGATTTATGTGCTTTTTGACTGCATCATAAAATAAATTGAACTGGGATGGTTCAATTGTCTTCGAATAGTACTCAACATATCTGCTGAAGAGAGGATTTTTGTAATCTGCGAGAATATCTTCTGGATCTTGTGATGATGACGAAGATGAATAAGAATATTCCGATTTTTTGGCCGGAGTCTTCTTTGCTGACTCTTTCTTTTGTTGTTGCTCCTTCTTCTTTTGTTCTTCGCTTGCAGATTCCTTCTTTGGATCTGAATAACTTGAATATGAGTCAGAATCGTATTCTAGAGGGACTAATTCTGGATCCTGATCATCAATCTTGATATCCGATGAACCATGACGCTTTTCCTCATCTTGTTTAATGATCTGGAGGAACTTTGTAATATCATATCGATGAGTATCAGGAAAAGCTACTTTTCCTGAGGCAAATATATCGAAAATCTCATTAAATGTAGGACGAACTGATGGATCCCTATCCCAGCATTGCGTAATTAGCTTTTGCATTTGAGGAGATGTTGCTCTTGTAAATTCTGGACGTTCATCGTGCTGAACAACGGCATGAAATACTTCATTGACTTTCATTCTATTGAATGGTCTTGTATTTTCACTCATTTCGTAAAGAATCATCGCATAAGCATAAACATCGACTTTTCCATCATAATCTCCAGATTGAATGAGTTCAGGAGCCATGTAGTTTGGTGTGCCGATTTTAACTGTCATGCCAGAAGCGCTGTGCTCTTCGAAACGAGCAATACCGAAATCGCAAATTCTGGGGAAAAGTCGCGAATCAAGAAGTATATTTGCTGCCTTGAGATCTCTGTGAATGATTCCATTCTCATGCAGGTTTTTCATGCCATGAGCAATACCAATTGCGATGGCTGTTAATTGTGTACCAGTTAATGGGGCAACACCAGGTTTTCTACGAACATATCGATCTAGAGCGCCATTTGGCATGAATTCTGTAACAATTGTGTAAGGTGGTGTTGGTGTAAAACCAATAAATGGGACTAAAAACATATTGTTGCATTTAGCGAGTGTTTCAATTTCTCCGATGTATCTTCTTAATCTGTTTCCTTCTAATCTCTCTGCAAATATTGTTTTAACTGCGCATTCTCTACCAGTTTGTTTATTAATTCCGCGACGAACTTCGCCAAAACCTCCTTTTCCAATTACATCGCCGTAATCAAAGTCATCGAGGTTCAGGACGAGTTCTTTTTTCAAATTAGTGAATTCCTGGAGCTTCCTTTTATAGGCACTCATCCCAGAAAACTGACAATACTAATCTTTTTCTTACTTCAAAATGATTTGAATGTGGATTAGGAATGTGCATTATTTGAACTATCTGAAATCTGTGAAGTTTTCCCTTTCTAATTGATTTTTTTTTAATTTCTGAGATTTGTTAGATGCTATTAAAGCAGTATACACTGTTTAAACATGCAAACATACTTATAGGTGATTCAATTACAGTATTGCTGAGCATATCTATTAAAAATAATTTATCAAAATTATTTTCTTCCTTCACAACTACTTAGATTTCTCCAAAACATTTGCCAGTATGTACCCTTCAAAATCAGTAAAAACTTACATTTCATGAAATTGCAGATTCTATTTCACAGATTGCTTGAAACTTTTTAAAAGGCAATCATTGAGAGTATTAAGTTCAAATCATGACAATGTTACAATTTTTATTTTCTTGATGTATGAATCCTGAAAAAAATAATCGATTTAAATCATGTCGTTGGCCTTATCATAATGATGGCAACAGCTATATACAGAAGAACTTCTTTGAAGAGTGGTTTCTTAAGAATATGGTGTGAAACAGATAAAGACATTCATTATCTCATTTGATTCAAGAAATAATCAGATCAACAAATGATTTCGTGAAATTTATAAACATCATTCAATAGGGTTTGAAATCATCATATCTTTGCACATTTATGAACTATATAAACATTATTCAATAGGTTTTTTTTTCTAGAATGATCTGCCTTTTTCCGAATTCCTCAAAAAAGTGGTTGAAGGTATATCGTAAATAGGTCTCAAAGTATACTACAACAGAGAGATTGTTGCAGCAAAATACAAAGATGAGTATTATTTTCGTGTTTTCGAACATAATCATACTATTAGTCCATGTTTTTCTAACGAAAGTGAAGCCCTCGAAGTCAACGTTTCAGGTAAGTATTCCATCCTTTCGCATCTCAATGAAAGCAAATTTGTTAGTGAAGATGGATATCGTTACTTCATTCTTGAATATCCAAGCGAAAACAAGTTCAACGTTTGGTCACAACTGCTTCCACCATACTTAGATACAAATCGCACTGCATCCAAGAATGCCTCTTTCTATCATCCAATTGAAATCCAAGCCGACTATGATAAAAATGATATAACTTGGAGATTTGGAGGACTTGTTAAAAATCCTTCTAAAGAATCACTTCTAGATGGACAACCACAAAGAGGAGATTGGTGGTTTGCAATTGGAATGTATTGTGATTTAAATTTGATATATCGTTTTTATAAAGATGGAATTCCTGGATTTAATGAAGCTGTTCCAAGAGTTAGATTGTTCGCCAAAGTTAATTCTATTGAAGTCCCTCTGAGCTACCTATTTCATGACATTTTGTGCAGTCAAAATATTTGTTACCAAAATCAACTAATTCGTTATTTCCTAGCATCACTGTATGTTATGGTGTCAATGTAACTAACTATTTTAATATATAAAGTATCTTTCTAATAATTTATCTTCGAATTCTTTTTTATCTTTTTTCTTCTAAAATATGTTTCCAATAATTAATCTTTTAGCTGTATGCTTTGTTGGGGTCAAGCACAAGACTGTAATTTTCACTCAAAATTAAGTTGAGATATTAAATACTGTGTTTGAAATCAAATTACTTTAAATTTGGTTCAATTTTGCGTGGTATTAAAGAATAATTTAGTCAATTTTCATTGAAAGGTATTAATATTTCAAGTAATAATTTTTTTTCATGAAACCTATCTACTGATTGCGGTAAATGCATTTCTGCCTCAAGATAAGCATATTTTAATATAAAAAAGCACTATATTTAATAAAAAGCTGAATTTCAGATTAAATCCTTAGGGTTCATGCATAATAAAACATGGTTATGTCCAAATCAAGTTAAATAAGCAGAATTTATATCACGCGCAATGTTGGAATGTAATCACTATGAATGATGATTTTTCTCTAAATATCAGTGGATTCAAGCCAAATCCATTAGTGGTGTTCTCTTCAATATATAGTATATTTAGATTTACAGATTGTCAGTTTTATTCTTTTAATATACAAGCGAAATCATCAATTATTAGAATATCAAGTCCGAAAGTCAAGTCAATAGACATCATCACATCATCATTTTATCGTATTACTGGAAATGATGACTTCCTATATTTTAACTCTTCCAATTCTGTAAATACAATGAATGATATTGAATTCATAAATATGAATCATCAAGACTTACCATCAAAGTTCTATTATAGCTCAGGAAATAAAGATTCATTCACAAACATACATTTATTTAAAGCATTTGAAACAAATTGTATTTTTCAAATGAAGAGTAAGACTGAACTCAGAAACTTCAATTCAAGTATAGTTCAACCAAAGTTCAAATTGATTTGTCCCTCATTTTTGAATGAATTTTCGAATTTTTATATGATGTTTTTACCTATGAATGAATCCATTATTCAAACAGCAGAGACATCAACTTTTAAGAACTGTAACTTCCTTGCATCAGAAAATATCTATTTCAATGAAATTGATAATAAATTTTTCACAAACTTTGAAAATTGTGTCTTTCAAAGTCTGATTTACAAAAGAGATGATTTCAATCCAAATTTCAATCAATTTTTCAATTGTCAGTTTGATATCGCAAAATCAGATCGAAAATATTTAAATCAGAGTTGTAATATAAACTTCACAACCCTCACTGATATAATCATTCATCATCATAATAGATTAAACTCAATTCCTCTTAAAATCATCAAAATTGAAACTGAAAAATCAATAAATTCAAAAGAATTAGGAAGAAACAGTTATCAGATACATGATTGTTACTTCCATGACCTGTTCAGTGATACAGCTGCTTCAGCAATATCAATACAATGTTATCATGCTTATATTGATTGCAAATCTACTTACTTTTATCATTGTTGTGCTGAATCTTATGAATATGAATTACCAAGTGGCACTTTTTACTTTTGTATTGAAGATGGAAATTCATCAATTAGAAAAACATGTGTAATGAACTGTTCATCGATTGATATTCCACAGTTTGCGCAAATAAGAGGTCAGTTGGCTTCAACATCGGCTGAGATTTCTCATTTCGCAATGATAAAATCATCATCAAATGATTTTATTAAGGGTCCACTGTAAGGCCAAATAAGGCCTATCGTCGTCCCAAAAATATTGCTCAAGATGGTGTTTTACTAAGGCCCAAAACTTAAAAAAACACAAAAAAATTAACTTTACTCTTTTGAGATCCTTATCAGATGTGCAACAATTTGATGCAGTATCGCAATTCGAATCCGATTTTTTAATGTAGATGTACTCTAACATTCTTGAAAAAATGCAAAATGATATTAATCAAGCTTTTCATTTCTGTATCATACACGAAACAAAATCATTCATTATACTAAAATTTATCAAAGTTTGAATAATGAAAAAAATAATATCTAAATTTTTACATTGAGTCGGCTATTGATATGGTCAATATTAAATCGTTTAAAAATGGGCATTGGCCAGAATAATACCCACTAAAATACACATTTTTTTAAATTTTATCAATTTGTTTTGGTATATCTTTATGATAATGAATAAAATGCTTATCTTTCATAAGTCAATACATAATTTATGCTGAAACACAAAAAATAACACGAAAATTTTTGGCCAACATTTCAAAACGAAGGATAATGCTTTGAATATATAAACAATAATACTTTGTCTAGAGAATTAAATTTGTGCTATCCAATTGTCAATTCTTTGAATTTTTTATAAAATGCACGATATTCCGGCATTAGCCTCAATAAATATAAACTACATGCATCACAATATTAGGATGTAATGGCATTAAAGCGAATTTCCTAATTTCTTCTCAATTAAATTCCTAGAAAAACTTAGGAATTAATGATTGGAAATAGGTCAAAAAAATTCCTAATATAAAATTTATACATAAATTAAAATCAAAATTCGAAAATATCTATTTTTCAAAACACGCATCCAAAAGCGAAAAAATTCGAAAAAATCATGTTCTTATAAAACTCGCTGATTTTGCAATTTTTATGTGATTTGAAGTGATAGAATGTATTATCATCTTACTAAAACATATACTTTATTGTTACATTCACAAAATATTAATCAGAACACTAGGAAAAGTGGATTTTCGAAAAAAGACGATAACGATTATTTGCAAATCGCCTCTCAATTTTGAGAGACTTTCAATTTTTACAGTGGACCCTTAATTAAAAATCAATTTATAATATCAAATAACTCAATTTATACTTATAATTCTATGATAGTTGTTTCTAAAGAAATTAAAATGGAATTTACAGCTTCATCAGTTGTAACTTTAAATGAAAGTCTATTATTAATAAATTCTTATAGAAGTGATGTTCATTTCTGTACTAGAAATTCTCCAAATTCATGGATAAAAGCTGATCTCAAAGGATATAAATTAAAACCAACATCTTATATTTTACAATCAAGTATCAAACATGGTTGCAATTTATTGAGAAGATGGAAGCTAGAAGGAATCAAAGAAGATGGAACAATTGTTGTATTAGATAATGATAAATATTATGAATTTAAACAAGGAGAAATCAAAGAATTTCCACTTCAAACAAACAACTATTTTGTATCTTTCAAAATAACTCAAACAGGAAAGACTTCAAGCAATGAAGATTGGTTAATAATTAATATTTTTGATTTCAAAGGTGAATTAAAAATATAAAAATAGACTTTATCACATTATAATTAATGTTCTTATTCGATTAATTTAAATATTCAAAACATCTTTTAACGATTTTTAAAGAGATATTGTATTCTGAAAAGACAATTAAACTTTTGAAATAATTTTGACAAATTTATTACATGTCTGAATTGTTATAGACCGAAAATAGATTTTTTCGGTTTTCTCTTCAAATAATTGAAAGAATGATACTATTATAGGTTTATTATATTATATAGCATATAATCATGCTATAGCCGAAAATTATAAGTTTTGAGAAGATTGAATATAACACAAATAAATTTGAATGTAAGTTAAATTGCTTGTTGTTTTTAATAGCTATTTAATGAGAAATCCAATATTGCAAAATTCAAATTGAATGATTGAAAGAACAGAAAAAGTCATTCTTTTCAATTTCGAATATGTTTCATTGTATTTATAATTATATGGCAAATAAGATATTTAAACTTGATTTTTGAAGGAAAATTCACAAAATTGAATAAATTCAAATAATTTTTATTCAAAAATAAACTAGTTATTTGAGTTTAATACTAATTATCTATTCAAACTACAAAGTTTGTAATTTAAAATATTTTGTGAGATCAGATTGAATTAATTCAAGGTTCTTTTCAATTAATATTAATGACCATATTACGCATTTTCGAACATTCTAAACCAAATATATAAAAATGGGAGACGAATGTTAAATTTGCTAGACATGGGGGAGTTGTCTGCAAAGTTTTAACTCTTATCTCTAACAAAAAATTAATTTTTAAAAAAATGACCGAATACGTTTCACAGCGAGAAAAAAATAAAAGGCAAGATAGAATTTTCTAGACATAAAGAAGTTGTTTACCGAGTTTTAGCTCTTATCTCTAACAAAAAATTAATTTTTAAAAAAATGACCGAATACGTTTCACAGCGAGAAAAAAATAAAACTGTACACTGATTTTCATTTTCATTTCCAGTTACTTTACTTATTATTTTTTCTTTTTTTCATTTTAATTATAAATTATTTCATAATACGTTTATTTACGTTACCATTTTCTTTATTCTTTTGAATTCCATACTAGACACTTATATAATATTTTGATTGTTAACGTACTTCATTAGAATGAATCCTTACAAAGGGTATGTCGATCGAATTTACCTAATTGGTATTTCCAATCAGATTGAAGAAGGTAAAATGACATGGGAAGAAGCTTGCACCCATGTTCCCATAGCCCCAACCCTTCAATCAAATGATTTCAAATATTTAGATGTTTCAAAATCTTTTTTACAAAATCAATTTAGCTTACAGAATATCCCATTGCCTAAAGGCAAGAAAGGTCGTAGGGTCAATCCCTACGACCAAATCAAAGCTCTTGCTGTGATACATGACCACTGGGCCTTTCCATCTGGTCAAACAAAACAATGGAAACGTTTGAAATTACAACAAATTGATGTATCTTATAGAGAAGTACGCAGATACTTCAAAGAAAATCATTTCACCAAGACGCGATTAGAGCATGCCGGGCCAGAAACAGCAGTAAGATATTGGGCGCTTTCACCCAATCTTATCTGGCACGAAGATGTTCATTATTTTAGGGGTGTTCGTGGCCAGTATATTTATGGCATAATCGACGATTTTAGCCGCAAAGTCCTAGCGTGTATACAAATACCAGATATGCTGGCAGCGACGACAGCGAACGTTGCGGCTTCCGCCTTCATTGAATTTGGCGCCCCTTATTGTTTCTGGACCGACAACGGTTCAGAAAATAGGGGCGCCTTTCAAGATCTACTTGATCTTTGGGGCGTCCAATGGCGGCATACAGACTCTCATTCTCCCTACCAAAATGGGAAGATTGAGAGATTCTGGCCGACATTGGAGCGCTGCCAAAGCATTCAGGCTATTCCTGCCTTTATTTGGGAGTACAATAATAACACACCGCATGAAGATCTCCCAATTAATCCATTAACTGGAACAAATTACACGCCAAATCAAATGTATCAGCTGAAACCGAAATACACAAATGCAGATACAGAAAGGTTGTGGCAAATATGGGATACAGATACAGGCATGACCGCTGTTGACACATTCACAGCGTAATAATAAACATAATTTTTTAATTTCATTTTTAACAAGTTTTTTTAAATGTATGTAATGAATAATTCATTAGAATATGATAATGCACATTGTAACAGAATAGAATAATCACCAAATTTTTTTTGAAATTAAAAAATAAAAGTAAAAAGTATAAAGTAATCTAACCAAAAAAGATATTTAAAAGAATTTTGGAAAAAACAGAATAAGGATAATGATATTATTTTAGATACACAATCGATGTACTGAAGAATAATCCGGTAAAATGATGATATAAAATTAGATTATTTTACAAGTAGCTAAAAGAATAAAACTATAATATAAAATAAATGAAGTTTAATGAAACAATAAAGGTTAAATAAATAATAAAGATTTTTATTTTATATCAGTATTGAGAAGAAGTAACAGCTGACACTAGGTAGACAACTTCTTTATGTCTAGAAAATTCTATCTTGTCTTTTATTTTTTTCTCGCTGTGAAACGTATTCGGTCATTTTTTTAAAAATTAATTTTTTGTTAGAGATAAGAGCTAAAACTCGGTAAACAACTTCTTTATGTCTAGAAAATTCTATCTTGCCTTTTATTTTTTTCTCGCTGTGAAACGTATTCGGTCATTTTTTTAAAAATTAATTTTTTGTTAGAGATAAGAGTTAAAACTTTGCAGACAACTCCCCCATGTCTAGCAAATTTAACATTCGTCTCCCATTTTTATATATTTGGTTTAGAATGTTCGAAAATGCGTAATATGGTCATTAATATTAATTGAAAAGAACCTTGAATTAATTCAATCTGATCTCACAAAATATTTTAAATTACAAACTTTGTAGTTTGAATAGATAATTAGTATTAAACTCAAATAACTAGTTTATTTTTGAATAAAAATTATTTGAATTTATTCAATTTTGTGAATTTTCCTTCAAAAATCAAGTTTAAATATCTTATTTGCCATATAATTATAAATACAATGAAACATATTCGAAATTGAAAAGAATGACTTTTTCTGTTCTTTCAATCATTCAATTTGAATTTTGCAATATTGGATTTCTCATTAAATAGCTATTAAAAACAACAAGCAATTTAACTTACATTCAAATTTATTTGTGTTATATTCAATCTTCTCAAAACTTATAATTTTCGGCTATAGCATGATTATATGCTATATAATATAATAAACCTATAATAGTATCATTCTTTCAATTATTTGAAGAGAAAACCGAAAAAATCTATTTTCGGTCTATAACAATTACATGTCTGAATATACAATATATGTAGAGCAAATATAGTTTAAACAATGCAACTTACATGTTTAAAAATCAAAAATAAAAAAACAAAATAATATATCATAATAAAGGTATATAAATTACATTAAGTAAGTTATGGCTTGCTGATTGTATATATATGTCTATAATTATTTGGCGCAACTTCTCTTGGCAGCTTGATATATCCTTCGTATTTCCATGTAGCATTTGCTGCTTTGAAGTAGTCTTCTCTATCAGGAGCTTGACCAAATGAGATAATATATGCATGACCACCTTTCTTCAAAACTCGAGTGTATTCTGAAAGAGTTTCGAAAACTGCGGCTTCATCATCGTCTCGTGTAACAAGAGCATCAATAACACTTTTCTCTAGAACAACATCATATGTGTTATCCGGAATGTTCATTTTTCTACAATTGTCTACAAACCAGTTTTGATCTGGATGAATTTTCTTCATATGGTCAATAACAACTTGTGAAAAGTCTGTATTATCGATCGTTGTATATCCATCCTTTATCATTTCTGGTCCAAGTTCAGAATTTCCACAACCTGGAATCAAAATTTTGTCGGATTTATTGACATGCGAAGTGATAAAGTCCTTTAATGTGTCATAGTTCTCAACCCATTCAAAATTCTCTGGTTTCTTCTCATATATTTCATCCCAATATGATTTTTCTCCGTAAGGGTTAACTGAAAGCGTCATCAAAATGGCTGGCCATTTATCTTTTTTATGGATATTCTTCCTGCATATTGGCCTATTCTTACTATAAAATTGTTTTTATTGGAAAATTCCTCACTTTAACCCAAATTCATACCCAATTTGATGCATTGAAAATCAGAATAGCAATAATGCTTTTAAATATCTTTCGCATAAAATATTATACATTTTTCTCATAAAATACAAAGTTATGAATTTGAGATTCATGAATAAATTAAAATACAAAATAATTTAACAATTTATGATAAAACAACTACAAAAATAAGCCAACAAAAGCCAAACATAAGGGTTATAAATTAGAAATTAATATGAAATGTGTTTCAAATATGATATATGAAGAAAATCTAAATCAATGGTGAATGTAAGGCCAATCAAGAGCTAAAATTGATTTAGATAGCTCTGAATATGCTCCCTTTGCGTTTTTGGAGTTACTAATAATTTTGCCGCTATATTTAAGTGGATTTTGTGCATAATCGTAAGCACTTGTTATATTTAGACTACATTTCTGCAATGCTGTTTCGTATGCTTTGTCTTGCTCTATTTGTACCTTTTTAAGTTTTCTGACAAAATTTACGTTGTGTTTTGTAGATTTTCCAGTAAAATAATGATTTTGTGTCTTCTTTTCTGGCGCTTTTTCTTCAGGTGGTGGATTTTCCACTGGCGGAACAGCATTTTCGATTTGCTTTTCTTCTGAAACTGGCTCTGAAACAGGATTTTCCTGTTCGATTTCTTCTTCTTCCTCTTCCTCTTCTTCGAGGACACCTGCTTGCGAAGCCATTTTATCAAGCCAACTCATTTTTTTTTTCGAAAAATAATATGTCAGAAAATCAAATTTACATGTCAAAAATTTCTAAATTACAGAATAATAAAACATACAAAATAGTTTATTTCCTCAATCAAACATAAGTTATTATACCTGATCAGCATTATCAACAAGAGGTTCTGAATATTTCTCTTGGCTAGATTCACCATTTGTTGTTGGTTGTGTTGGCTCTTCTTTATCTTCATGTCGGGAATGAGCTGGGCGACGTTTTCTGAGGAAAACATAAAGAACAACAACACCAACAATACATAAAATAACAACAACAATCATACAGCTCATCCAAATGATTGTGCTCATTTCTATATCAGTGTTATCTTCGCCAGTCCTTAGTTTCTTGAAGGACTTTTCTGTGAGGTAATATGCCTTATAATCTGAGTCATCTTCTATTGTATACTTCAATGAACGATCTTCATTCGTAGTTTTGATTTCGTATTTTAGAGAAACATTCTCATTTGGATATAATGGAGTGAAGTTTGTATATTGAGCAGAGAAGAAAAATATTTTGAAGAATGTGTATTGATCAATACCATCAGCTCCGTAATATGAAGAATTCATTGCTCCAAATTCTATTGTTTGAATATAACCAAGTGAAAATGCTGTTACAAGGCAACTGTTTTCACCATATTTACCATCCATTATATATGTTCTTGGTCCGGAAATTGTAATGATTTTAGTGCAATTTGGTGAAAAATCTCTATAATGAACGAGCTTACATGCTTGTGGAGATGATTCTTCTGTATATAATGATATATTTCCTGTGGAATTGAAATAAATAGCAACAATATTTGTTGAACCAAGAATTTCAAATTTTTTACCTTTTGAAGTCACTACATTACCTTTGATATTTTGAAATTCAGTAAAAACTATGTACGATGACTTTGGAATACTATAAACACTCATTTTTTGATCAACTAATATTGTATTTAACCCTAAAACAATGGCTTCGGATAAATCCACAACAGAAACTCCATCAGAAGCTATGTAATGCTTTCCTGATTTATCATAGACTGATGTTGTTGAAGGTGATTCGACAAGTTGTTAAACTTTTGTAACTTTAATACTTAAAGTTGAAGGCGTTGAACTTGAAGGTTTGTAGCATAGACAAATACCATATGTTGAGCTTATTGATTTAGATTCTCCAGCTGAAATTGAAGAACTATTATGGAGATCGTATTGACTGTATGAAATGATATTACTGTTTGATGCACTCTTTACTATATCTACATCGATGAGATTATCAGAAGCAATAGCAAGGCAATATTGAACATTAGTTTCTAAATTTTTTGAAGAATCATATGTATAAGTATCTCCTTCTCTAGGATTATTAATAAATTCGCGCGCTTGACAGCTAGTTGGAAGAAGAAATACAACAAAATTGAGAAGAAAAGAATTTTGGCATTTGAAAAGAATTGAATTTGATTTAATTTTGATTAGGCGAGTGGAATAGGGTTCACCATTTATGTATAAATCTGATCTCGGGTTTGATAAAGCTATAAAATATTCATATTCCGGAATTGTTTCAAGGTTAATTTCCATTTGTGCTCCATAAAACGTTGTATAGACACTGTAATTTCCAAGAGCATCAATATTACATTGGATCAGAATAAAGAATAGAGCATTTTATCAAAATGAGGATCGTAAAATTGAAAGGATTATTAATTTTATCAATTTTGATCAAAAGGCTTATTATATGCTGACGATATTGAAGTCAGTTATTGACAACGTTGAAAATAAAAATCGATCATCGAATTCAATTGAATGATAGTAAAAATTTAAATTACATCTGTATTATAAGAATCATATATGGACTAAAAGTTCGCTCCGGTTTGATTCAATTTTCACAAAATTTGAGAGCCCATTACGAGCCTTATTAATTTATTACAGAACGAAAGCAAATATTTCATTCGATAAAATACACATCAAATAATAATCAATGAAGCTATCTATAACATACAACGATTGTATTTTTTAATAAATTATATTTTTTAAAAAATGAATTAATTTCTTTCATGAATCAATGAACTAACAATAAATATTTGGTCTTCTAGACAGTTATTATTTATTATTCTATGAAATATTTCACAATATTATAATTAATTATAAAATTGCATTTTTTGATACAAGGTAATTATAAACGTTACTGTCTTTGGTGGCAAAATAGAGTGGAGTGAATCCATTAAGATTTCTTGTATTTATCTCAGCTCCATTTTCTACTAATATTCTGGCAACTTCAAGAGAATCATATTTTGCTGCAATATGAAGTGGAGTATAACTTAAGCGATTTTTTGCATGGACATTTGCTCCATGGGAAATTAATAATTTAACAAAGTTACTATGGCCATTCGAGGCTGCAATATGAAGTGGTGTATCTTGATAGCCTGTCGAGCAATTAACATCAACTTGATGATCAAGAAGTAATTTAATAAAATCTTCTGGTGTTTTATTATTAGATACTGCTGTATGAATTATATTCCATTCATTTCTATCTTTGCGATGAACATCCGCTCCATTATTTATTAAACAACTTGCAATTTCATAATGACTATAAGAGACAGTAATTTGAAGAGGTGTTTGATTATAAATGGATACAGGATCAATTTCAACTCTGTGCTCTAAAAGAACTTGGACAGCTTTAATTATACCTGATGATACAGCCTTGTGAAGAGGAGTTTCATCAGTTTTATTACGTGTATTAGCATCGCTTCCATTTTCAATAAGATATTTTATGATATTTTCATTGCCTATTCCCGCAGCTATATATAAAGGAGTTTGTCCAGTATTATCTTTAGCATTTACATCTGCGCCATTTTCAACTAAATATTTTATAACTTCAAAGTTTGAATTTTCAACTGCATAATGAAGAACAGTTGCACCATTCATCCCACTTCTGTTTACATCAATTCCATTATTAAGAAGTATCTGAATAGACTTTACACTAATACATTTGGTGGCGAAGTAAAGAGTTATATTAACATTTTCATTGAAATCATTAACTTCAAGTCTTTCAATTATATACTTACAAAAAGACTGAATAAGACACCATGGAGAGAACTGGAAAGCAGAAACAATATCTTTATTTTTGTCAAGAAATAATAGAAGAGCTTGAAAATTGTAGTAATAAGTACAGATCCAATAATTAACTTTGAAATTATAATTATTCATCAAAAATATGACAAAATCAAAATTATGAGAAATAATTGCATTCGTCAAAGAACCAATGGTAGCATTGTGACATGATTGACATTCTTTTAATATAAATGGGTCTCCTCCCAAAAATGAAAGCTCATAACATAATATTGAAATTTGAAAAGAATACATTGACCTTAGATATTTGAATATCTTCTGAGATCCATTCATCGAACAATATTCTAGTAAATTAAGAGAATTAAAGAAATAATGTCGAAAAATATCTTTTGAACCTGGATTAATTTTAATGTTTATATCAAAATTTGAACTTTCACTAAATTCTATGAATCTTTCTAAGTCATCTGTCATTATTATCTCTTCAATAGGGTCAATTATGAAATCAGACAAATCAAATGATTTCCCATCTATTTTACTTTTGAGAAAGAACTTATAAAATAGGCAATTGTTCTCATTTTTGATTTGGTGTGAAAGCATTTCTGAATATTCATTATATATCAATTCCAAGAGGTTCCAATATGAATAAACATACTTTTTTCTATATATACAAGCTTTGTCAATAGAGTCCAAGATTTCTATGAGCATTATTTCATACTTTTCGATTAAAATTGTTTTTATCTTTTGAAAAACGTTGTATATATCATTCTTATCATTGCTTGTGATCTGAAAAATGCTATTAAATGCATCAATATAGTCCGAATACCTTTCATAAAGTTCAGAGTAAAAATTATTCTGCGACATTATGAAATTTTGATTCATATAAGAAAGGAAGTGAATTACATGTATGCTTATTAGATTCCTCTCATGTTTTTGAACAATTTTGAAGAAGAATTTTTCTCAAATTTTTAAATTTAATGAAAAAATGTACTGTTAATAAAAAGTTTTTATAGTCTTTAATGTATACATGCAATTTTTTATTATAAGCTTTATTTTGAAGCTCTGATAGAAGAAGATATACTAATAAGTTGGAATTGAGGATCGGCTCTATTAATAATTGCTCCATCAGCTTGTGCAATCTTAAGAATGAGCTCTGGCTTCTTTGCTTCTGGAATTTCGTTTGTTTTTACAATTAAATTGATCAAAATTTCGAAAATCTGACCAATATCGTATCCAGCGTAAACAAGGTCGATCGTAGCGTTCTCAATTGTGTCCCAATCGGCAGATAAACATGTTTTAAAATAATTTTCGACATCAGCTGGATTTGGAGCTCCGCTGATGCTTGTAATTATTTCTGACGTTATCTTCCTTGTCAGGGAACATGTAGATGCCGCTGATTGAGCAAATGTAATTGCTTTACGTAAATCTCCACCAGAAATGTTAACTAATGTCTCATAAGTATCTTCGCTATCTACTGATAAGTTTTGGTCTTCAAATATCTTGTGAAGTCTCTCTATAATGGCTGGGCGATCTAATGGTTTAAATCTGAATTTTGCGCAACGAGATAAGATTGGGTCAATGATCTTAGAAACGTAGTTGCATATTATAATGAAACGAGTAACCGATGAGTATGTTTCTATGATTCTTCGGAGTGCATTTTGAGCTGCAGAAGTCATTGAATCTGCTTCATCCAAAATAACAATCTTAAATGGGATTTTACCGTTAGGAACTGCTAATGATGCAAATTCTTTGATAGAGGAACGAACTGCATCGATACCACGTTCATCTGAAGCATTAAGCTCCTTTACACGTAACCTAAAGTCATCCCCGAATAGAGATCTGCATAATGCAAGTGCTAATGATGTTTTTCCTGTACCAGGTGGACCGTGGAAAATTAAATGTGGTAAATCTCCTGTTTCAAGTGTTGTTTTTAATGCTTTAACAGCTTCTTCCTGTTGAACAATATCATCAAGGTTCTTTGGACGGTATTTTTCAACCCATGGGAGATTGTCGGCTGTTTTACTCATAATTTTTTTTAGAAGAAAAAAAAAATGAAATTCCTCTTTGATTTCATTTGACTAATTGCTTTAAAAGAGAGAGAAAAATATATTTGAAATGTTCCACAGATAGCAAATTTGTTCTTAAAATTGTAATATAATCTAGAATATATTTAAATTATTTTATGAGAGGATGCTAGAGAGTGGTTTGTATACCCTTAAGTCTCCAGATCCATATTGGTAAATATTTCTAATGGACATTTCCTCTTAAATCACTTATGGATCTAGAAAGATATACACTTCTAATTGTTTAGTGTTATTTTTTGTTTTCTCAATAGAATACTGAACAAAAATCATATGCATTATTCAATTTTTATAGTCATTAAGTAACAAATATTTTTTGTTGAAGCAATATCAGTCCAGATTCTAATTCTGTATTATGGATTTTCCTTTAACTGTGACTTATTTAATGAGTTAAGAAATTGAAAGATTTCAAGGTGACCATGTTCTGATGCTAAAATGAGTGAAGTCTTTCCGTATTTATCTTTCATATTTATATTAGCTCCAGCAGAAATTAGGCATTTAACGATTTCAAGGTGACCGTGTTCTGATGCTAAAATGAGAGAAGTCTGTCCTTCATTAGTAGTTGCATTTACATCAACTCCGGAACGGATAAGGCATTCAACAATTTCGAGATGACCATTAGATGATGCATAATTAAGTGGATTCAATCCAAATTTATCGTTTGCATTCATTTCCGCCCGGGCAATGATAAGGCGCATAACAATTTCAATTTGACCATGTTGTGACGCATAACAGAGAATATTTATGCCATTGTGCTTTTCTTCAGTATTGGCTCCAGCAGATAGAAGATATTTGACAATTTCAATATGATTATTTAATAATGCCAAAGTCAGTGGAGTAAATCCTCCATCATCCTTTGAATTTATGTTGGCTCCAGCAGAAACAATATATTTAACAATTTCAAAATAACCCCATTGTGAGGCATAAATGATAAGATTTATGCCACCATTATTTTTTGGATCGATATCAGCTCCAATAGAAAGAAGATATCTAGCAATTTCAAAATTGTTTCTAAATATTGCCCAAGTGAGTGAAGTATATCCTGTATTATCTTTTGCATCCTTATCAACTCCTGCTGATATTAAATATTTAACAATATCAAGGTGATTAAATTGTGATGCATAAATGAGTGGAGTGCATCCTTTTTTAGTCTTTGTTTCTTTGTCACAACCACAATCGATGAGCATTTTAACAATATTTATATTTCCTTTTTCGCATGCAACATGAAATATATTTCTTTCTTCATTGTTATTTGTTTGGTACGTCTTTTCCCAAAGTCCTTCGTTGCAAGCCTTTAGCTTCAAAATTTGGTTTCTTGTGATTGAAAGTCTATCATGGAAATCGTAAATGCTTTCAAAATCATGTGAATCCTTAACATTATCATTTTGTGAAAGAAAATCTCCCAATATACTAAATGCCTCATTTGCCTTGCGAATTTGAGATCTAAGTGATTGTATTTCTTTTTCTGTTTGATTTAAAATATCAATGATTCCATCTATTACACTGAATTTCAGATATTTTCTTATCGATTTCAAAGTTGAGACGACCTCATTAATATTTTGAATAGAAACATTTGCACTTCTAGAACAAAAATACAAATCTTTTGTATCAATAGTAGTAGGGCACTGCATTAGAAGAGAATTGAATTCATCCGGTGTTAATATGGAGTGTTTCAAGATTTTTTTTATATCTTGTATTTTAAATATATCAAAAAAGGTCCATCCTTCGATAAAATCTTTAACATGAGACGTGAGATATTGAAAATTAGGCTCCATAACTAAAAGAATAATGAAAAAGTCGGAACTTTACAAATTAATTTGTATAAAAAATAATTTGTGAAAAAAATTTGAGTTCAAAATTTAATTTGTGAAATTAATTTTAGTGTGCATACACAATTTTCTAACACTAACGGCAATTTCCTGTTTAATGTTTTAAGGGATCATTACAAAAATTGTGAAACTCAGAAAAATTGTGAGACAATTTGTGATTTATCGTTTTAACCTCAATTTGGAATACATGTTTTAATTCTCACCTCATTGATATTTTTAAATTGTAGCCGAAACCAATATATTACTTAGGTAAGGATGTCAATTTGGAAGAAAAGTGAGAAAATTCCTAAAATGCTAAAAATGAATTTTCCAAACGTACTTTTTTATCTCATTTTTTTGATTTTGAAAAAAATTTGGAGAGAAGAACTCTTCGTTTTTGAATTTTGTCACGATGGTTTTAAAGTATATTAGATACATGTATTGATATTACTATTTTTGTATATTTTGAGAGAAAATCCCTAAAAAGTGAGAAAATCTGAGACGGTTTGAGAAATATATAAACTATTGAAAATTTGAATTAAACTTCTAATTTGGAAAAAAGAAATTTGGAAAGAAGAAAATTCAAAAATCGAGATTTAGACTCAGTATCAAATGGAGAACAAAATGTTTCTTCATATGAAGGAAAAATTTTCTTGAGAAGAAATAGAGTTTTTTAAAATTTTATTGTATGTAATGAAATAAACAAATATTAAAATTATTTTTTGATAACAAGAAAATTCCCAACAGAAAATATTTGAGACAAAGAAAAAAAGAAAATTGAAAAATATTACTCTCCTTTACATTTCATGAGATTTTCAATTTATTTTCATAAAAATTGACAATTTTATACGTTTAGATGAAAATAAGTGATTTTGCTTGAAATAAAAATTATTGTTTGTTTACAGCTATCAAATAGATTTTTGCTATTTTGATTAAAATTTGTTAATCAAATTAATAATTTTTTTCTAAATATCTTAAATATCTGGATCACTCACTGATACGATGAATTAAACGATAAAAATAATACAAACTCAACTAAGTTTCCTGTCTTTCAACCAAAAAATATTATGCAATTTAAATTAAATTGTTTATTCAAAGATAAAACAAAGATAAAGTAATTATAATTATCATATACTTTATGAATAACTCTCTAATTGGATAAGATTTTCGTACAAATATTTTTATTAATATCGATAAGAATATGTTTACCTACTATCACCATATGTCGATAAACGAGAGTAGAGTGATTTTTATCATCGAAACTTTTTAAAAGCTGTAAGCAGGAAGTAATAATCTTGTTTTTTCTGAGTTAGTTGTAGAACTATTGATGCCCGAGTTATCATTGTGATGTAGAAGGATATCAATGTACTGACTGAAGGATATGAATTGAATTGAATTTTATTGAATTTCAATTTGATCAAAATTTGTTGAAATGATATGAATGTGTCAACTTCTGTATCATTCTCCTTCACTCCTTCCTTATTCTTTCGAGAACGAAGCTAGCTCAGCTTTCGCTGAGCGAATTGGCACTTTTCATGCCCTAAACGTACATACTCTCAAATTTATCGAAAAAAATAAAACTACCTAAACTCGTATATTCTTATTTTAAATATGATATTATCCTTATATTCCACACTAAAATTCATTTAAATCAACTTTTAAAAAAAGTTCGAATCCTGCGCGTCTCACTTTTTAAATTTTCCAAATGGAAAATTATATTCTCCTAAAGTGAAAACAATTTTCCAAATTGACTTCCTTAACTTAGGACATTAAGGAAAAATTCCCAAACCAACTAAGGTTGGGTTGAAAAATGGGGGCTTCAAAAAAACTCGTACATGCCTCAAAAATTGAGAGGAATGACAGATTTTCGACGATAGGTTGTGTAAAGTGAACGATAGTTTTTGTAAAGTGAACGATAGGATGATAGATTTTTGACGATAGGATTGAGAAAGTCTATTGAAAAGTATTCAATTTTTGAGGCATGTACGAGTTTTTTTTTAATGTACGAGTTTTCAACCCGACCTTAGTTTCAGGGTAATTCAGATTTTTTTTCCCTCTCTCTCTCTTAGTGCATTTTGAAAATTTGAAATTTACTCATTTTAAATATGGGGCGAACAAAGATTTTACCTACCTTAAAAATCTTATAAAATATCTGCGAATTTTCTTATATATTAAATTGAAAGACAAGTCCTTAACTTCCACCCTTTTATAATAGGATACCCCAAAACTTATCTAATTCTATTAAGTTACTTGCTCATATAACAAAATTCAAAGAACTACAGTTTTTAAAACAATTAAAGAATTATTTGAAATACTTTAAGGGTGCACCCGTATGTACGTTTATTTGAGAGGAGGAGGATTACCCTCTCAATTTTGAGGGATTCGTTAGTTTATTTTCTCGATGAATATGAAATAAAATTTGATTTTTACCTTATCAATATACTTCATATAATATACACATGTTTATGTAAAAACTTTTTTCCAAAATCCTCAGGAATTAAGGGATTTTTGAATTTTAAGAATTTTTTTCGAATTTTTTCGAAAAAAAAATATTTTCAGAACAGCCTTAACGGCTAAGATTTAGGAACAATGTTAAGTATCAAAAAGAAAGGAGGTCTGATATAGACAACATATATCGTTGAAGGTTGAAAAAATCTCTAATATTTGAGCCCAAAATTTCAAATTTTAATTTTTTGAAAAAAGAGGCCACCCGTATGTACGTTTATTTGAGAGGAGGAGGATTATATTTTTGAAAGGGTGAAACATTATGAATATGTTAATTATATAATAATATGTATTATTATAAAAAAGAAAAAATAAAGCACGTTAAAATTTTTCTTTCTTGATTTTTTACAAAATCTACTTAGAATTATGCAAAATATGACTAAATAATTATAAATTTCAAGTTAAATTTTAATTTTGATAAATAATTTAAATTTCAAAATATCAAGTTCAGTTCGACTATGTATGTAGTAATTCCTCAATAAAGTGCCAAAACCCTATTAAAATATATGAACATTTTCAACATTTTAATGTTTTTATTTAAAAATTTGATGGAATATGAGCTTCAAACAATTATTATGTAAATAAAAATAATTAAATATATGTATTTATTCGTATTACAACCGTAATAAGTCGATTCTTCCTTTCTTCTACTGAGATTTGAATTTGATTTCGAATTGTAAAGAGATTCAAAGGGAAAATACTAGCGGATAAAAACTACCTCCATGAAAGGGTCATAATGGAGTCAAGTTGTATTTTTTGATATTTTTTGCTTTTCGAGCCTAAATAGGTAGCCAAGATAATGCCTAAAAATAAGGTTCTAAATTCTGAAGTTTACATGATCCTCTCGTGTGCACCCTTAATTGTTTGTTCGTGTAAATTATATTGAAAGTAGATAATCTCTTACGTTGCCTTTTGCAACAGCAAGTGGAGTATATCCATCATTATTCTTGCCTTCTTTCGCACCAGCAGAGATAAGATATTTAACAACTTCAAAATGGCCTTAAGCTGATGTCCAAATGAGTGGATTATCTCCATTATTATTATTTGCTTCATTATCAGCTCCAACAGAAACAAAGTATTTAACAACTTCAAGATGACCGCTCCATGATGCACTAATAAGGGAAGTAGATCCTGCATAATTCTTTGCTTCTTTATTAGTACCAGCAGAAACCAGGTATTTCACAACTTCAAGATGACCATTTTATGCTGCCCAAAGGAGTGGAGTAAATTTGTGCTCACTTCTTGATTCTTTATGCGAATTACATTCAATTAGAATTTTAACAAGTCTGAGACTTCCTCTCTGTAGACTCAGACATCTCTTTCGCTTTGCTATCTAAAAAGACAACAATACCATTAAGTAATTCTAGTTTCATGTTCTTTTTGATTGGTTTCAGTGTTGAAATGACATCTTCCAAGCTTTGAATATGAATATTGGAATTTCGAGTGCAGGAATATAATTTATCTGCGTTAGTAGTATGATGTGACTGTTCAAGAAGAGTAATGAATTCGTGTGCTGCTAGATTTGAATTTTTCATTTCCTTCAATCTCAAATACATCAAATAAATTTCCTTGTTTAATGTAATCATTGATATGAGCAGCAATGTGTTCGTAATCCTGGAAAATATCTTGGCTCATCGAGAATAGAAGCCTAAACTTTACAAAGAGTCAACCAAAATTTATTATAATGATATTTAAGTCAATTTCAATCAAAAAGATTAAAAGTTTACTAAAGATAGTCCTAAGTAATTAAAATTTTTCTTTACAAATGAGAATTTTTGAGAAATTTATCAAGAATCATTGTATCCTACACAATGTTCCTCTGAGATGATTAAATTTAAATTGTATCTCGAAAATTTATATAAACATAGTTAAAATTAATTCAAATATACGTTTTAATTTTGATTCACAAAATAATTTAATGAATTTTTAAACTGATCGAGAGCTAGACTAAATATCATAGCTTTGTATTGCTTAACCAATTTGATTTACTTGCCAGTAGCCTTCTTAAAGTCCATCTCACATTTCTTTTCGAAAGCATCTGTCATAACAAATGCACGTTGGTGCTTAGCTGTTCCAACGAGGCCTGTTTCATCGAAAACTTCGATTTCAAAGTCAAGCTTCTTTGGTGTAATTTCTTTCAATTTAGCGATAGCTGTTACATTAGCGCCTAAAGCAGATGGCTTCTTATGACGTAAGTCGAGGTGGATACCAACAGATGTTTGGCCTGGCTTGTATGTACCGGCTGGAATTGCATTGCAAGATGCTTCTTCCATTAAAGCGCCCATTATAGCTGTTGACATAACATTAGCAGTACCTGTTTTCATTGCTGGTGCAAGGTGCTCCTTTGCGACACGAAGAGTTGCTTTGCCTGTGTACATAATGACAAAAATGAAATTGAATGTTGTTTATTTTTCTAGCGTTTCTGAAGTAATCGGTATGGTTTCAGAGCAAAAGAAATGAATTGTTTTGATATGCTTCTAAAAAGAATGTTATACACGAAGAAAATCTTTAATGTAAGATTATTAATTATTCCGCGTATATTCAATTTTCAATGCACAATTCTAAAGTTCGCGGAAATAAAAATAAATCATTTCACTTCAAAATTGTTCGTATCTAAAAAACTAAAAAATTAGAATAATTGGTAGATTGATTTCGATTTATAATTCATGTTCCCACTTGTTACAGGGATTCCCTCGATTGAAATGCATAATTATTTAGCATTTGGAAAGAATCTCAAGGAGAGCAGTGCAAGCAGCCTTCTCCATAGCCATCTTGCGAGCATTGTCAAGGAAATTGCCGGATGTTCTCTGAGCAAGTGTAAGGCAGACAGCGGCTGTCTTCATCTGAGCCTCTGGGAACTTGTGGGCGAGGAAAGCGAGGAGGTAAGACTCCATTTCGAATGAAAGGGCATCCTTATCCTGAGCAAGAAGTGTTGGGATGACCTTTTCGTTCTCCATGACGAAATTGTCGTCGAGACGGCCCTGGGATGGGTAGAATGTATCAGCAGATGTATCTGGGCCGACGACTGTGCGGTAGTCTGTTAACTTCTTGAATTCTTCAAGAACCTTAAGATGGAGTTCGTGGTTGAATGGAATAGATTCCTTGGCAAACTCGAATGGGAAGCCCTCCTTCTCGAAATCTTGGCGAACGAAGTATGCGCGGTCAGCAATTGCGAAGCAGCCGATTGGAACATCAGCGTGGAGAGAGCCGCATGTTCCGAAACGGACGATTGTCATTGGGCCTTCAACAACGGCGCGTGCCTGAACAACCATGAGCTCGGCCATAGCGAAGCCCATACCAGTTGCGATGATGGAGACTGGTGTGCCTTTGTACTTGCCTGTGTATGTGCAGAAAATCATGTTGGACTGGCGGACGATGACTGGTGTGTCCTTATCGAGGGACTCGGACATTAACTTGGCTCTGTTTGGATCACCAACGGAGATGATGTGGTTAGCGACTTCGCCCTTCTTGCAGTTGAGTGGTTGGATACGGTCTTCAGCATCGAAGACGCCTTTACCAAGTGGATCCCAGTTAAATCCCTGTGACATTTAAAATGAAAAAAGCTTTTTTATTTTTTCAATTAACCGATGAAAACGATGAAAATCAGAAAGATTTTTTCATCGCTCTCCATCAGAATTTTTTTGGTCAATTAAACTCATAATTTAAATGTTTTGTACTTAAGATAGTATTGAAAATTAATTGTTTGATGAGAGGTAGGGCAACGATAGGTCAAAAAGGCTTCTCTGATAGATTTCCTTGCCTTTTGGGTATGCTATAATATATAGCCTAGCATGATAGGATATGATGTCAAAAGTTAGAACATAACTTAGGATCTTGAGAAAAATGAAAAACAAAAATTACATAAAAAAAGAAAAATTTTATCTAATTTGTTTTTTTGGACCGAATAAGTAATTTTATTGAATTTCAATATGACACATAGATTTTATTATTAGTAATAAATATAATGGTTTACTATTAACAAGGAACCTAAACTAATGAAAATTTGATTTCAAATATTGTATATGATTATCATAGATTACCAAAATATATTGCTATTTATGAGGATATAATATTGATTATTAGTAAATTGTATAAATTTAATAAATATACCATGAATATTGAATGAATTTCTTGATTCATAGGGGTAAAACGCGCTTTTATATGATTTAGACAGAGAATTTATGAGATATAAATAACACAATAAAGGTTTATATTGAATATTTTCTAAAAATAAATCGAAATTATAAAAAACAATACATTTATTCATTGAAACTACTTGGACAAATATGAAACAAGCATTCAGGCAATACTTTTGAGACTTCAACGCATCTGATAATTTTTATATAACTTCACCTCTTATGCTTAGAGTGGAGGTATTGAGATCGTATAAGTATAGATGAGCTCACATTCAGATATGATGTGTGAACTTCTGTTTTCACTGCAATTTTGAATCAGAATAAACTCAAAACAAGAATAAAATGATATACTCACTCTCTAAATGTGTTCGAGATTTAAAGTTGTATGAATAAAACGATTCATCTTTCGAAGCCTCCCATTTAATGAGAGACTTCGAAAGATGAATGTATTCATGTAGATGAAATACTATATATGACCATGTGTGATACTAAAGATATCAAAATGTTCATTTTTAAGTGCAATAGAAGGGTTATCTCTCGTAAAATCTCAATTTAAGGAAGATTTAGAAAGAACTCCTTTCCTAAGTAGATAGTGTGTGGTTTCTGTCTTTTGGTTGATCAGGAACTATGAAATTAAGTCGGACAGAAAGAAGCTCTTTCCAAAACAGACTCCAAATGAGTTGTTCGAAAAGAACTTCCTTCTGTATATGGATAATTGTAGTTACCGCACTGAAGTATGTGATTGTGATGATGGAGTTCTCGATAAATCTAAAATCGGATTAAGATTAATTGAAAACTCAAGTAATTCTTTGAAATCTTGTGTTGTCTGGCACTATAATAACCAAAGAATGAGAATATTATGTTGAATGATGAGTACGTGTGCTCGGCATTCGCCGAGCGAATTGAGTTTAACGTACGATGAAAAGTGACAAATTTGGGCTTTTTTTCCTAGGGTTATGATCTCTTCCTTTCTGCTCAATATGACAGAAATGAAAGAATGAATTTGTACTCCCTAATTGATTACTACAATCTGTATCTATCTTTAACATAGAATTGGCTGCATTGTGATTTATACTCCAGAATTATTCAATTTAAGATCAACCTCGTAAATTTTAATCATATTGCACCAATACTCCTACGTTGAGATAAGAACATGATTATACATACCAAAGCCCCATATTAAAAATCAAAATTTAGCACCTCCATTATGCAACCACATTATTCGTCGCAAATAAGTATATTTACGCATATTATGATGCATATTCACACAACTCGTATACATGAAAAGTTATTAAAATCAGACAAAATTATTGCAATAAGGAAAAAAAAACAACTTTATTATATATGTTAGTAATGAATTACAAATATTTCTACAAAGAATGCTCAATACTTCATATAATCTTCGAATATTTCTTATTACAAGTTAATACATTTTGACTCGAACATGATAAACAAAAGCTGACACGCTGATTACTACATTTATGAAAATATAGTACGTTTCCATTCATCTGTTTACTTGTTTTTGTTGGAATAAAATCATTTTTTTTTTCTTTCATGAAATAAGAATTTTGCTGCGAAAGCAATATCTCTAACAATAATTAATACATTACGTCAACTCTGGAATGAGTATTTATCAAATATGATATCAAAATCAAAAATTAGTTGTTTTTTATGAGTAAAAACGATGTAAATTGATTATTTGACTAATTATCAAATACTTTGATTTTCCAAATTTTTTTCGAAATTGATTTTTTCATGTGAAAATTCAAATTGTTTAATTTCATTTTTGAAATTTTGAATTTTTTTTGGAATTTTGAGTTGATCAATTCAGCAGAATTGATAATGCTATTGCTTTAGGGCATACCACAAGGTGATGAATAAAAGGTGAACATTAACAAATTATTTTAAATCACAAATATCATCCTCATCAACTTTAATTCTAAAAAGAACTGTACTGAATTATGAAAATGCATGATTTACATTATTAAAATCTTTGAATGAAAATAGTACAAGATAAGTTTTTATTCATTTTTAATTAGATTTAAACGAAAAACTACTCCATATTAAAATTTAAGTCGAGAAATCGTATTTTGTTCTTATTTGTTAGCATTTTGTAGACATTCTAATCTTGAATTAATTTGTTACATGATATTATTAACAAATTTAACTGAAAAAATATGTTAATATGGAATAAACCATGATTATATAAGCTATCAATGCTATATATACATATGTAAAAGATTCATATTAACTCAATTAACAAAAATGATAGATTTTCATAAAGGTTCAATCTAGGTTCGTCCGAAAATTTTGATTTTTATATAGAAGACATAGTTTCATATACATAATTAAATTTTCAAACAAATTTGATCATACCATTTATTAAGCAGGATAGTATATTAATTACTATCAGTATAAAAATATAAAAATGATTATATTTAATTATTGCATAATTTAGTCAAAGAGTTATAAGCCTCAAGTGATCGTTATCACCTTCAATGCACGTATACTTTATTGATTCATAGATATTTAATCTATGTTTGACATGTTGTTGTCGTCATTCGTTTTGTTCCCATTCTTCCTAAGTTAGAATTAGAGAATACACCATCCACATCATCTAATTTGGTCCTCAGCGATAGATTGGTTCATTTTGGAGGAGTCCCATCAGACAGTTTTCGAGCACCAAATATCAAATTTTAATGTATACAAATCTTTAGTGATTTATCTCTTTTATGATGAGTAAAAGGTTTCTGCTCATCAACATTTGATTTCCGACATATATGATTTCTAATTGCAATTATTTACTTTCTTTTTATAATCTAACTCTGTGACTCATACCATAAATTAATTATTGGAAAGTGTCAATATGTTTGGCACAACGCATGGCGGAAGATACCAAACCATGCAGGGAATATGATACGTTTAAGATCTCCGAACTTTTTTTCCAAAAATTTTCTATCGTTGCCCTACCTCTGTTTGATGTAAACAATTGTATAGAGATTCACCATCACAATTTGAAGCGTTTGTTTATGTTCATCTGACTAGGTATCGTCTGTACTTGTATAATTATTAGACTGATGATTGAATCGTCACATCAGAAAATTATTGCATTACAGCATTTATCTTAATAAGTAAATTCTGTCTGTTTTAAGAATATACTAGGCCAACACTATCTATTTGTACTGTTTATATAGTAATTTATTCTAATAAATTTTTTTCACAATATTTTTTTTAGATAAATGGATTATTTCCTGATTTATAATCATCACTTTTTATAGTGTTTTGGATTATGTCACTTACAAGGTTTTATTATAAAATTTGAAATCCCAAATCAATATCATCAGGTTTTCAATCCTTTTATTGTTGACCACTAACTTTTGTGTACATTTAAATAATGAAATCATTTACATTCAAATTATGATATAAATTATTAAAATAATTATTTCTATAGTATAATTAAACTGCAATGGTATGTTATTAAGTTATATATTAGATATATTTATTAGACAATCCTTCTTGTTATGGATATTTCTATTTCAAAGTAGAATTTGATAAAAATTCTTTCATTTGTATTAAAATCTAATTATTTTGGTAGCTAAATTATATAAACAAGTTATTCTACTGCATAATTTCATGATTGTATTAATTCTATTTTTTAAATCTTTTATTTAAAATTCAATTGTTTCACCATCTGCTGGAATTGAAACAAATTCTTTAATATTGTTTTGATTCACAGCTTCTGAAATATCAATACGTGTTTGTGTTGCATGAGGAACATTATCCATGTGAGAAACAACAATATGAATATTTGGAAAATCTTTGTGCATCTGGACAACATCATCTTTACCCATCAAAATTGGGCCAAGAGGCGTTACTGGGCGGCAAGCATTAACAACGACCACATCCGGTTTCAGCTTCTTAATTGGATCAATAAGCAACCAAATAAATTTTCTTGGATTCTGATGGAGATGAGAGAACAAAACCAGCGACAGCTCTTTTCATGTGAAAGGCATCATAGATCTTTTCTTCTCCATGATTTGTATTGGTTCTATAAATAGAAATATTTCCAAAAGTTGTCACATCCTTCGAAAGAACCTCTGCATGCTTGAATCCCAATTTGTCAAGAATTTCTTTTTCTTCTTCATCTTGTGCAAAGATTGGAATCTCTTTATTCAACAAATTAGCAGAGTACTCAGAAAAATGATCGACGTGCATATGAGTGACAATGATTGCATCAACATCTATGATTTTTTCGATCGGAAGAGGTAAGGGGAAAATTGGAAATCTTTGTGTTGGGTCTCTAGCAAAAGGAATTGGATCACAAGCATCTTTTGGATCAAGCCATGGATCTACAAGAAATCTCTTTCCGGCAAATGTGATGATCACTGTTGCATTTCTAATTTGTTGGAACTTCATTCCAAAAAAATGAATTGTATATGGCCTTCAAAAAAAAGTTGATGAAAATTCAGACGAATCATTGAAGAGTAGGGGTAATTTTAGCTAAAAGTGACATATTTGTAAAAAGTGACACGCCCGTGAAGGGTGTGATTACCGATCGCTAATTTCGACAGTTTAGAATTTAAAATTTTTTATGGAACTGTTGCGAGTTTCATAAAGAATTTAAGGAATATAAGCAAAGATTTGAATCAAAATCTTAGACCTAAGCCGCTCGATTCGCTCGCGGCTTCCGCGAATTACAGATCAGCAAAGATTTGAATCAAAATCTTCGAACTAAGCCGATCGCTTCGCTCGCGGCTTTCTTTATTATTTTAAATTTGCATATTTCCATCAAAAGTTCATAAGGTAAAAAATTTCGTTTATTTTTACTAAGAAAAAAAAGGTTTTTGATAATAAATTTATTTTATTTCGAAAAAGTAGCAATAATCGTAAAAGGGTATTGATAGGCTTGCTAAAGTAACTAATTTTAGCTGTCAAATACTTTTGTATTTTGAAGTAAATTAATATAAATTTGTTTTTACTTTTATTTCGAAAAAGTAGCAATAATCGTAAAAGGGTATTGATAGGCTTGCTAAAGTAACTAATTTTAGCTGTCAAATACTTTTGTATTTTGAAGTAAATTAGTATAAATTTGTTTTTACTTTTATTTCGAAAAAGGAACAATAATCGTAAAAGGGTATTGATAGGCTTGCTAAAGTAACTAATTTTAGCTGTCAAATACTTTTATATTTTGAAGTAAATTAGTATAAATTTGATATTATTTTAACTCCCTTTGAAAACCTCAATTTTCCATACAGAGGGAACGGGAATAGCATCCAATATTCCCTGAGAATGGTTGCGCATTCTCAGTTCCCTCTATATTTCGAACGAAGCTCTCATCGGTCTTTTTTTTAATACTAAACGTTTTTTTTTCCCTGTCACTTTTAGCTAAAATTTGGGTTTGCCAATTTGCTATTCCATTGAAGTATCACAAGGAAACTGTATCAGCTATATGATTAGTGCCAATAAAAAGAATGAAAATGTGAAAAGAATTAGTTTTATAAACAGCAAAAATATTAATATTAATTATATCAGCTATTGTTCCACAATTTGTAAATGTATAGTGCTGGTATTGTTTTTCGAAGCTTGTGACCCTATTCCAATTTTTTATTGATATTTTTGTTCAAATGTCGATATAAAACTTTATTCCCTACATAATATTATCTGAATTAGATGGTTCATTATGGTACTACATAAATCTTTACAATAGAAGTAAATTTATGTCTGATTATTTATTTCATTAGCAAATAAAATCAAAAACACAAGTTTCTATGCTCTAGAAATCGATATAAATAATGAATCTCTTGATATTTTTGTATGACACCAAATGCGCATTTTTGATCACAAAGTCAACTTAACATAACATCAACACTCAAGCATATTCTCTATATCTAATCAAATATCATTCAAAAAGTTCATTTATACTCAAAATTTTAATGTTTCCCGCGCGACCGATTGTCAAACTGGATTCTCATCCCGCAATTGAACGCTTGAAAGGTATGAATGAGGAGCAAAAGCTTGATTGTATTCCAAGAATTCGAACAATTGGTTTACTCAGGCAATCCGAATGTATCACGGCATACGCCATGGAAATCTTCGTAGATATCTCTCATGGTGTCAACAATATTCTCTCAAGAATCAAAAATTTGCAACAGCGCCTTCAGAATATTGAGCAGATCGAACCTCAAGGAATTAGTGCTTTATCTGAGATCAATAAAAAGTATTGGCAGGGAAATTGCCCAGATTATTATCCTATTATGGGATACGGTGATGATGCTGCAAACAAAGAATTTGAATTCGAAGAACCTTCATTAGTTTCCAAAGTCATCAAGAGAGCAAATCCTATGCCTAACTTTGAATGCTTTTCAGATATTACAGTCGGTTATGATCCAGAAGATCCAGAAAGAGCTGTTGATTTTGATGAACTTTACTCAAATCCAAACTTCGTCAAGATTCAATATAAGCATGAACTCATCGAAAACATCAAGGCAGAGCAGGAAAGAAAGAAGAATGAAGCAAGAGAAAGAAGAGAGAGGGCAAAGGCTGAGAAAGCAGAAATGAGATCTCGTAATGAGGGAGAAAAGGCAGAAAATGCAGCTGGACAAGATGACATGATCAGTGCTCTTGCATCTCCACCACCACGCCCAGTGTTCTTATGCTGTCCTGGTCCAAAAGGTACTGCATCTCATGGTGCAGTTCCAGCTTCTCTCAAAGCTGTCAAAGGTATCTCATACAGCGCATCATCTCCAACACGCAGCATCAGGTTTGCTTCTCCAGGTGCCGCTCCTGCTGCAGCAGCACCACCACCACCGCCTCCACCGCCTCCTCCTCCACCACCAGGTGGCCTTCCTCCACCACCAAAGACTGATGGTCCAGGTTCCAAGGCTCCATCTCAGCCGAATTCTGCAATCAGTGGACAATCAACGGCTGATTTGCTCAAAGCAGGCGTCAAACTCAAGAAGGTTGATGCTGGTCCAGCTACTGTTTCTCATCTTGATCTCATTAAGCAAGGTGTTAAGCTCAAGAAGGTTGACAATTCCAAACCGCTTCCACCTGTTCCAAAACAAAGTGTCGAGAACGTGGATCCAACAGCTCTTTCATTGCAAGAAATTCTTGCACGCGCTGCTTCTATCAGAGATGCAGTTGCTGACTCGGATGAAGACGATGATGTGGATGAGAGTGAGTCTTCATCAACCACATGGTAATCGAAATGATTAAATAGCATCATTTTATCACATTTAAACTTAATTTTTACTAATTTTGAGATATTTGTTGAAATTATATTTGGTATATGTTTCTCAAGTATGAAAATATAGTTTGTATGGGGCTAATTAGTTTCACTTGCAATTTTACGATTAGTTCTCATTGAATTTGAAAATATTTTCAAAATATAGATATGACGGCAAAGATTCTGTGTGGGCAAGTGTTGTTGTCGGATTATTTATGCATATTCGAATGAAAATTCACTAAAAATTGATTTGTAAAAAATTCAGAATTATTCAATGGATTAGAACATGAACTTCAATATATTGATGTTATGCATATCCTATTATATTCGATAAATAGCATAAATTTATATTTTATCCAAAAATTAGATAAGATTTATCAGCTTTCTTCAAATTGTACAGTAAAGAAGCATGGTTTCATAATATTTTATGCTTGTGTTTACCGTAGTTAAAAATCATGCTATATCTATGATTTATTAAGCCAAAATTGAATGAACTAATTTTATCAAGCAAATATGAAGTAGAATTATTATGAAATGATCGACATTCTTTGCTAAAAATAGTGATACAGTTCCGAAAGCGGATCAGAGTCAATGTAGCCTTCGAAAATTCGAAAAGAAAGAAAAATGAAAAGATGCAAAATTCTAAGTTTTTGAAAGAAGAGTAATGGTTTTTGAAATCCATGATACATAAAAATATGAAAAACTTATATGAATCAAATTGGTCGAGAATTTGGATCGTTAGATCGTTCAATTTATCTATCGGTTTTAGATTGAACTAGGCATGCTTCTTGCAGCGGGAAGTAACTTGAAAGAAGCTAAAGTAGTCATGCTTGGCTCAACAACTGTTGGTAAATCATCTATTGTGACAATGCTCACGCGCGGATCTTTCTCGGAAAGCTGTGCTTCAACAATTGGAGCAGCATTTCTCTCAAAAACAATTAATTTAGGCGATCAAGAGTTGAAATTGCAGATTTGGGATACTGGAGGTTCAGAAAGATATAGAGCAATGGCACCAATGTATTTCCAAAATGCAAATGCTGCAATTATTGTTTATGATATTACTTCTTCCACTTCATATAATGATGTAGAAAGTTGGCTTAAAGAATTACGCGAAAAAGGCCCAGCTTCAATTATAATAGCGTTAGCAGGAAATAAATCTGACCTCGATCAGCAGAGATGCGTTGCTACCGAGGATGCACAGAGCTTCGCTCAAAAGCATGGAATCCCAATTTTCAAAGAAACATCTGCTCTCAAAGGTATAAATATTCAAGAAATTTTCACAGATGTTGCTGTAGCCATAGCTAGAGGTGCTGTTTCAACAGCTCCAGCTGAGCAAGTAACCCTTACTGAAAGCAATCCTAAAGACAAAAAGAAGAAGTGCTGTTAAATATTTTATTCTTTCGAACTATATTCTATTTTTATATGCTTCCATATTCATTATATACTACATGATATAATACTGTTATCTCGGATTTTGAGCAAATTTTGCCGACTTTTCGGTAATATCTCTGACATCTAATTTTCCAATAGATATCGCAATTAGTTTTGGTATCTCAGAATATATAGTAGTTTGCAGCTGATATTCAAAATCTGTCTAAGCCGAAAAAAATCGCAATCTTGAAAAAGTTGTAAAAAGGGCTATGATGCTGCTCTTAAGCTCTTATATCATGTTGTGATGTATTTAATGGCACTGAATGACTATGTTCAAATGATCGGGAATCTCAGAATTCAAATTGCCAGCCCTCATATCAAAATAATTATTAGATTTATGAGTGAACGTAGAATACATAGAATTATTGTTTGTTTTTAAACTTGATATTTTGAAATTTTGAAAAAGGCTGTGTATTTGCATCTGAGCTTAGCAATGTAGAATACAAAAGCAAAGTAAATAGATTTTATGTGTTGTGATTGAAAATGCATGAGCAATATTGCAATTGATAATAATAGTAGTCCAAGCTATACCACGTCCTATCAATCGACTCTAATTACGCTAGTTCTAGTAGTATCAACTGTATTTATAATGTGATTAATATTTCAATAAATATTGAATTTCAAAGCCAAAAACTATGTATTTGACTACAAAAATATAATTCACCTATTAATGTAAGAAGCAGATCCTTGTTTGTTCAATGCATATTCCACAATTGTATTGGGAATCATAAAGTGAATACAATTTTCGAAAAAAATACGTGTGACATTAAATATATTCAATGAGTGCGTTTATGATTTGTGTTAATTGAACAATATCACACAAATTTATTCCCGGATTAAAATATTCTTAACTTTTTCACATTGGAAAAAGGATATCCGATACTACCAGGCAAGCCCCAACATTATCAATATCGACATAAGCCCAAATAATTCTTTTCTGAAATAAAAACTGACAGATAAAATTTTATGGCGGAAGAATCACAGAGCCCGCCTGTTGAAGAGAAATCTTCAATTATTCATACAATCCTCCTTGCAATATTCAGCATCGTGGTTGTATTAATTTTCAGTTTCGTTATAGCATTCTCCAAAGATGAAGAAGAATATGACAAGGTTACGGTGTTAATCCAGCTCATTCTTGCTGGAAGCCTAATGTTGTCTGGCTTGTTCATGCTTTTTATCAACGTTATGGGCTCAGGTCCATTCTCAATGAGATTTTTAAGACCAGTCTTCATGAGATCATCTGCATCTGTTTTCCTTTCATTTTTAAAGGAACAAGAAATGAAAGTCAGAAATTTAGGTGCACTTGCTCGCATTAACAATTCAAAAACAATTACATTCGATGAATCAATTGCATTACAGGCATCAGCAATTACCTCAGTTGGAATTGTCAACGATGACTTCGCAATTGATCTCTATGAAATCAAAGAAAAGAAACTTTTCATTGATGATACCAAATGTGATGTTCCAGATCAGTTACGTCTCATTGCTGATGCACTATATGCCAGCAAGAAGGAATTCGTATCATTTTCAAAGCCAATCGATGATTTTTACGCAATTTTCGGAGATAAGCAAAAACCAGCTCAATTAAAATGCCGTTCCGCAAAAGACGTCATTGCTGATGGAAAATTGCTCTCATCCGAGCTTGACAAATTACGTTTTGCAGAGAAAACTGCCACAGATCGTTGCCGTTATTTGATTGCAATCCTTCGCGACGAAACTCGTCTCATCGGTCTCGCTGAGATACAGCTCATTGCAGATGGGTTAGTTATCGACAGCAACAAAGTACATCTCAGAACTCATCTTAATAAAGAAACAGAAACGATGATTGCAAAGAGATTACGCATTTCAGAAGAACCACCAAAATTTCCAACCCTTTCCGTCGATAATGGCCAAGTTTACTACGAAAATAATAATAATTCCAAAGAAAGAGTTGCTACAATCTCCAGTCCAAAGCTTGCCCTTCAGCTCAAGCCAAAGGGCCTTTCAGAATCACGTTACTGCTACCTCATTCTCATTCCTTACATCATTTGCTGCTTAATTGCTCCTTTCGGACTTTACAGCGTCATTGTCGAAGACAACAAGCGCTTATTCTCCCTTATTTTCATCGCTCCAGCATTTTACGCAGCAGTTCGTGGTGGTTTCCTCTCATGTTTGCGTTTATCCATCATTTCAACAATAATTGTCATCGCCGTAGGTACTCCAATTTGCTACTTCTTCACTACCTACCTCGCGGATAACGCAATCATCGGGTCCGAAAAGTCCATCTACATCATCATCGCTGCTGCCGGAATTATTGACGTTCCAATCTTCAATCTCTTCATCGGCATCCTCTGCTTCTGCACGAATGCCGTCAACTTCGTCAACGAGGATGGCTTTGAGCACGCTTCCTGCTTGCTTGCTTCAGTTGCCGCCTACATTGTTTTGATATTTGCTCTTACTATTGTCGCCAGATCAAAGATAGATACATCTAAGAAATAAATTTGATTTATCTTTATTTAATAATTCTTTCATCTTGAATTTTTTGATTATTCTTTCATCTTGACAAGGAAACAGGTCGCGGAACAAGAAATGAAACAGAAAGGAATATCAGCACTAATATGAACAACAACTGCTCTTTCCATCAGCTGATAAAGATATTTTTAAAAAAAAAATCGCATTCTTCAAAATCTGAATCAGTAATTATTTTCTATGCATACAAAAGATGTTAAACCTCGGTAGGTTAATGTCTTTTCTGAAGAATTTCTTTTATCGAGAAACAAAAATCCTTGAATTCAGCAATTCTTTGCTACAAAAACGATAATACATAATATGAATATTTTAAAAATAATAATTCGAATCCAAAATCTTAATTTCAATCAATAAAAATGAGGTGATTTTATATAAATTTTTATCATAAATCGAAAATGGCAGTAACTGCAGAATCACTACAGAGTGGATTCGCATCCAACCAGCCTTTTGATACAGACAAGGTCGGCTCATTCATTACTGACCGCCTTTCAAAGTTTGAAAATGTTATTTTACAAAATTCGAAAAGATATGTCGAACTCTTAAACGCATGGTCCCAGCAAATAAATTCAATTGACTCAGAAATCAACGAAATATCGGGCTCTTTTGCTAAAATCAAGTCGGATGCAGGTATGAGAGTCATGGGACCCTATTTAACAACCGGATCAAAGCCTGATCAGAAGGCAAGTGAATCAGATATCATTGATGATTCGATTATTGATTTTCCGAACTACCCAGTTGAAATCAATATGTCAGCACTTGATCAAGTTGGACATAACTACAACGATGTTATTAGCGGACAGCAACTTCCAGCTTTAATCACTGTAATTCCACCAGGACAACCAATGCCACGCTTCTGGAACTGCTCACAAGATTATTTCAGCCCAGAAACCTCCACAGCAGCTCGTGCATCCGACGATCAATTCGAAACTTCATTCTCACTCTACTTCAACTTCAATCCAATTCCTCTTGCAGTTCTTGAGATGCGCAAAGCAGGAAAATAAGCAATTTTACTATCTTAGTTGTAAAATCATTTTCATTTGGCGAACTTATTATGTTTTACATGAGAATTTTCACTTATAACATTAATTTGAGATAAATTTTTTATATTTTTGATTCGAAATCTACTTTTTATCACCATCTATGTTAATTTGAACATCTAATACATATGACTTATGTCATCAATTCATAGTGAGCTAACTCAAATGAATATACAATATAGAAATTGTTACATTTGAAATACAACTTCATATATCAAGCGGATAATATTCAAAACCGAATAATACGCTTGCACATTATTCTCATATAATAAAATATTCCAGCGACCATGGATAGTTCTCATATTTTGCCTTCTTGCACGAGAAATAATGAGAAAAATGGCAATTACTTATGTGTTTATTTAGTATGAACCCATACACTAAAATGACAGCCATATAAAAGCAGGCTTTGAAGTGGTCTCATATTCATAGGTCAAAGGAAATATCCAATCAAAAAATACGAACATAATCAAGGTTTCTTCTTTAGAGAGAAATGCCAAATTATTGATATTACATCACATTTCTAATGTGGGTGTCTCGTGATTTTCAATTCGATCAAAATGTCAAGAAAATACTGAAAAGTTGAATTGTGTAAAGAAATTAATTATGCGCAAAATTCTTAATGATCATAATATACGTAGAAATCAGAAAACATAAATAAAAAAACTATGGTCACTTTTATTGAAATCAAAGGTAGTCTCACGAGAAAACTGACGGTAAAAATTCGATGAAACCAGGTGCATTGTATAGTACACATATGTGGTAAATAAATGTCGATTAGCTTTGTAAAAAATATCACACAGTTTTTGAGAGTAGGGGTAATTTTAGATAAAAGTGACACACCCGTGAAGGGTGTGATTACCGATCGGTAATTTCGACAGTTTAGAATTTAAAATTTTTTATGGAACTGTTGCGAGTTTCATAAAGAATTTAAGGAATATAAGCAAAGATTTGAATCAAAATCTTAGACCTAAGCCGCTCGATTCGCTCGCGGCTTCCGCGAATTACAGATCAGCAAAGATTTGAATCAAAATCTTCGAACTAAGCCGATCGCTTCGCTCGCGGCTTTCTTTATTATTTTAAATTTGCATATTTCCATCAAAAGTTCATAAGGTAAAAAATTTCGTTTATTTTTACTAAGAAAAAAAAGGTTTTTGATAATAAATTTATTTTATTTCGAAAAAGTAGCAATAATCGTAAAAGGGTATTGATAGGCTTGCTAAAGTAACTAATTTTAGCTGTCAAATACTTTTGTATTTTGAAGTAAATTAGTATAAATTTGATATTATTTTAACTCCCTTTGAAAACCTCAATTTTCCATACAGAGGGAACGGGAATAGCATCCAATATTCCCTGAGAATGGTTGCGCATTCTCAGTTCCCTCTATATTTCGAACAAAGCTCTCATCGGTCTTTTTTTTAATACTAAACGTTTTTTTTCCTGTCACTTTTAGCTAAAATTTGGGTTTGCCCAGTTTTTGAGATCTTGAAAACGGCCATTCAAAAAGTCGAAAATTTTTCCGAGATGTTAATGGGCAAGACAGTTTTTCGACAAATAAATCGTAAACATGGGAATTAAAATAAGGCGTTATATTACATATATGGTAAAGGATATGGATGTGAAGAGCGTTAGTAGAATGGAAAAACTTTGAAATTTTAAAAAATTTATCTGGACTAAAAAATTATTTGATTATAAAAAACATATTATATATCAATTGCTATATAGAACTATCATAACAGATTTTGGAAAAGCCGCAAATCCCCAAGCTGGAGAATTCATTAAATACTAATTATTCAGCTTTTTATCAGAAAGGAAGGTAGTGTAGTTGTTGGAAACACTATGCTCTTTTTGAATCTAAAAGGCAACTGTTCAAATCATAACATCTTTGTTTTTTTTTCTTATTCTGCCATTATTGTTTTTCCTTGTTATGATTCAAATTAAAAATATTTTAGTAAAGGTATTTTGGACATCATTTTTTCACATTGTCTCAATGCAAATGTTTGAAAATTTTGTAGGCAATATGACAACTCTTTCAACATTTGTTCTCTTTTATTAACTCAAACAGATTTAGGATCTAATTTCATGCCTTCGAAGACATTTAAACCATCTTCAACATAATTTATTGACAAATTGATAACAATTACTCATGAATGTCGTAGATTTAATATCCTGTCACTCAGCAACAAATTCGGGTTCAATAACAAAGCTCAGTAAAAACTTTACAGAAATTCTCCAATTTATTTTAGTGTCTTTTTGCGTCATTACGGCTGCATTTTCTTCTGCATCTGAACGCTGTGTTTGGAAGAAGACGAAATACAGAAACTTTCAACACAAGTAATCAGATTTTCTTGTCTTTCATGTTAAAATGCTTCATCTCGCTAGGTATACGTCATTTATTGGATGGATTGTTAGCTTTGTGTCCAAATAGCAAAAAAAAGTATTAATTTAAATTTTCGCATTTTGCATAAGTATACGCTTTAATTTATATCAAAACAGATTTAGATAGCTTAAAACAATATAGTTTACTCATAAATACATCTTGATAATTCACTTCTTCAATTTTCATAATCTTATATCCTGACCTATATCCTCTTATAAACCATATTTCTACTGAGATCTTCTTAAAGCATCTTTTTATCCCTATCTACGCCTCGAAACCCTATTTTTCCGGCGGAATATGAATCTTCGGTCTCGCTGATTCGATTTCTGCAGTCAGATCGTAAAAATACCACTACATAGCCTGATAATCTCAATTTAAGTTCCTTAATTTTTTTGAAAAAAAATTAAAACACCCTTATCAAACATCATGCTCATTTTTACGAATTTCATTTTTCCTTTAAGTTTAAAATATACGCTTTTTAGCATGTTTATAATACATTTTCAATTTACATTTACATTTTTATTTTTGAATTGTTTATTTATATTTCCGTTTGAACAATAATATTTATTGAAAATTGTGAGAGAAACGGATATAATAAAAAACACCATACAACAAAATTCACTTTTTTCATACTTACGCGGATCACTCCTTTTCGGCCCAATATGCCGGAAATGATAAAACTCTCAGATCTAGTTGCTAAGATCCAAACTCTCGACTCTCAAATCTACTTCCTCAGATCTTGTTGCTAAGATCCAAACTCTCGACTCTCAAATCTACTTCCTCAGATCTTGTTGCTAAGATCCAAACTCTCGACTCTCAAATCTACTTCCTCAGATCTTGTTGCTAAGATCCAAACTCTCGACTCTCAAATCTACTTCCTCAGATCTTGTTGCTAAGATCCAAACTCTCGACTCTCAAATCTACTTCCTCAGATCTTGTTGCTAAGATCCAAACTCTCGACTCTCAAATCTACTTCCTCAGATCTTGTTGCTAAGATCTACTTCCTCAGATCTTTTTGATAAGATCTACTTTTAATGTTTAAGCACTCAGATCTCATTTTTAAAATATCTGAACCAAATTCTTACATCTGATAATTTTCATGTGTAACCAATGTTTCCCAATCCATTTGCCATACCCTACTAATCGCAAATTCATTCCCTTTAATTTTGTATTAAATTTAAATTCCAATCTTAATTTCTACATTATTTATGCTAACCCTTTAAATTTTGTTCTTATTTATTCACCCTCAGATACAAATTTATTTAGAATGTATTCCTCTGAGGTCTATATTTGTATTCGAAAATAAAATCTTTAAAACTCTCTAAGTTATCATTTTCTCTTCAGATATCTAATATTTTTCTAATGACATAACTACTTTTGTTGCATGCTAAGATCAGTCATAATGTAAACCTCTCAATTTTATTGTCGTGGGAAGTATCTCAATTCCTTCAAAAAAATTGAAAAACTATTTAATTTTAAAAATATAATACTTTTAATTAGTTAATTAATTGGAGATATTTTTAAAAAATCACTTTTGATAATACTTTTGAGAACTTTAATTAAAAAAATATATTCAAAAATATCCAGGATATCAAGAGGGAATTGTTCCTTATGAGGTATATAGTTATGATGTATACCTCATAAGGAACAATTCCCTCCTTAAAACGAGAAAACTTGTTCGAAATTGTTTATCATTTCGAACAAGTTTTCTCGTTTTTAATAACAAACTAAAGGCTATGAGGCACTGATTATATATTAGTGCCTCACAGCCTTTAGTTTCTAATAGATAGCTGGGAAACTTTCTCCAAATGATAAGTTATTCAGAGAAAGTTTCCCAGCTATCAAGAGGGAATTGTTCCTTATGAGGTATATAGTTATGATGTATACCTCATAAGGAGCTTAAAATTTGGAAAATTCCCAAAATGCAGAATCAACTGATGATTTTCAATCATTAATAACGCCAATACAAGAAGATCATTTTCCTTCTGCCAACGAACTAAAACAAGGGTTTGATATTGCCCATGATGTTTTAATTAGTCCGCCACCTGAGAATCAACATCCAGAAATTGATGAAGAAGAGACACAAAAAGCAATTTATCTATTACAAAACTTAGACTTTCCTAAGAAATAAAATTATTTAATTTATTCTTGTTTGTTTTTTAATTAAACATGTATATTTATTAACATTTCCTTTTTTAATACCTTTCCAACTTCTATTAGTAACAAACACATAACTAATTTGAAGATTTAGCGTTATGAAGAAGTATCCAAGTAATAACGTCAATAATGCATTTGCGATAGGATATAATTGCACCAAAGGTTAAAACTTGTATAAAGAATGAAAAATGAAATTTAATATAATTTTTTTTTCGAAAAAAATCCATGCTTGGCTAGATTTTCATAGTTATTGAATATGCATTACTGACATCTTGTAAAAGATGCCGATCAAGGCTTTCAAGATTGCTAAATTTCTCGATTAAAATTTACATTTTTTTTTATTTGTGTTTAATTACATTTTACAGTTTGCAGACTTACATAAAATCCGCAACATAGTGGTTATTTAATATTTGCCCCACAGTATTGTAGTTTGAAATTTACGATAAGATTATAATTGATAAAGTAAGGTTTTGTCATTAATGCATCTTATAAACTTTCATTGATAAATATGGATAGATAAGTTCTGTGTTCAAAAGTAAGCATTTTTTAAAACGCGCAATTATATCAAGAACGACTATCATAAATTCATGAGTATCGATGATTTTCGTTTAGGATGGACTTAATCGGCTTGATTGATATACATATTTTAAAATGGCATAGCTTTGTGCATGTTATGTCAAGCATTGTGCCAAACCAATTTAAAATGAAACAAATTATTTTAAAGAAACTATATATGAACTATTCGAACACTTTATATTAATGTAGGGAGCTATAAATTTAAATATTCTAAAAATTTATTTATTTGTTAAGAGTTCGGAACAAATTTATTATTGAATATATAGGAAATCAAATAATTATGCATAATCGCATAAAAAAATGCTGAAACAATGAAAAGAAAAAAATAGTTGCCCAATAGAAAAAGTCGAACCCATACCCCTACCCATTGAGTTATCCTCACTTTCAAGTTTCGATCGAGAAAAAGGTATTTAATCGCGTAACTCGCACCGTTTAGTCGTATTTCGAAGTTCTATATAGTATTAAAGATTAAGTTACATTATGTACAAAATAACTTTTTATTGTTATTTGATTTTGATAGCATTATTAGCTGAATATGAAAAATCTCGTAGAAATAATCATTTCATTCAGACATAAGTATTGGATTGTTTCCCAACAAGCATAATAACACACGTTTCATATTATAATTTATTTCATTTCTGTACAAAATTTAGATAACGATATCAAATAAAAAAAACTGTGGCCTTTTTTTACTTCAAACTATCATGAAGTGTAACCAAATTGGGTGAGTATTCTTGCTATCAGTATGACATGAAAAAATGAACGACAAAAATTGAAGATATTGTAGTTAACTCGGATTTTTTTAATTGCAAACACATCTATAATTTGTTTAAATATCATTTATTATATCAAAATCGAAAAATTCGTTTTTGGAAATCTTTGAATTTATGAGAAGTTCTACAAAGACACTTACAAATATAGCGTTTGCAATAAAAAGGCTCTTTAATCTTCTTCATCCTTGCTCAGAAACTTCTACTGGTTACCTTACGGGTAACCTGCAAAGCTGCTTCCAAGGCATCGGGAAAATAACGTATTTTCGTGAGACTACCTTTTTGAAATCAAATAATTTTTTTTTAGGATGTCATCTACAAGGAATGCTGACGCCATTGCAGAGGTCTTCTACCGCTACGATACAAACCACACTGGTAAACTCGAGCGTGAGAAGCTCAGATCTGCTATTTTAGACCTTAACGGCCGCCAAATTGATGATGATGAATTAAATCACATTTATGAACTCTTGGAAGGCAAGGATGGTTATATTACCCTTGACAATTTTGTTAAAGTTAACGAGCAATTCTTCAAATATTGCTAAATTTATTATTTACCATTGTAACCACGCTTATTCATTTATTTTAATAAAAACTAATACATGTGGTGTTTTTGCATAATTGTTATTCTTACATTTTAATTCTTTTCCCTATATTGACAGATTTCTATTATTTTTTCACCTTTGATAGAATTTCAGCTGATACTACCGAACATATTGATGTAATTTGTTATTATGTGTTACTATTATCGGATTTATTATCCGAAATACGCCCATCTGTAGCCCATCATATACCGGTATATTAGTTGATGTTAGAATATTGTATTTTCGTATGATAATATGCCTTCTAAGTAGATATTTGATATGAAATTGATGTAATTCCCTGATAAATTGATTGATCTTTGATGATTTTTTGCTGGTTTCAAAATATCTGTTTAAGTAGATGTGAAACAGCTAACTGTGTCATATTTTAGTTAAACATGAGTATTCTCTATGAAAATATATAACAATTAGAAATGAAAATAAACAAAAGAACATATTTCGGCAATTATTTGATAAATCCTAAAATAATATATAAAATTAAAACGATTAATAGATTTAGAATTTTCCAAAATTTTTTCATTTTATAATTTTTCATGAAAATTTCTTTGAAATTGAAGTTTGTTTTCTAAAATATGAAAAAAATTTGGAAAATTCAACAATTAAATCATCTTTATTTAGGGCCAAAAAATGAGAAATCTAAAATAAGGTCCTTTCTATATCAAAAACAAAAAATTTAATCTGATCAAGGGAAAAATTCAAATTTTTTAAGGAAAGAAGATACCAAAAAACATCAGTTAACTGTAAATAATAAATTTTTTATACAAATTGGTATGTAGCAGCGAATCTTATAGCGCCTGCCTCCAATACATTTTCATCAACTCCTTCAATAACAAAATTCTCATACTTATCTATCTCTGTTTCAATTGCCTTTATTTGCATTGTCTCTGCTGATATGATCGAAATCTTGATCATATTAGACGCGAGAGTGCACTTCTCGTTAATTGATAGTATTAATTGTTCGAATTTCTTCCATTTGAATCTCTCAGCTTTAACAAGTTTGACTGCATCTTCGAAGATCTGATTAACTTCAGTGACAAAGTCTTGAAGTCCGTTCTTATCTCCTGCAGCAATCATCTGCTGAATAACAGGAAGTTCTGGTAATTTGAATGCTTCTTGAAGTTTTGTTTGTAATTCGACAGCTTCTGGATCTGGTTCTCCGACTTCTTCTTCTTCCTTCGGTGGTTCCTCAGGTTTTGGCTCTTCTGTTTTATTCTCTTCCTCTTCGCCGTTCTCTGCTTTAGGTTGCTCATCTGGTTTTGGCTCTTCTGGGTTTTCTTGGTTTTCTGCATTTTCTGGATTTTCTTGTGGTTGTTCTTCTGGCTTTGGCTCTTCAGCTGGAGGTTGCTCTTCTCCTGCCTTTTCCCCTTCTTCTATTGGCTTTGGTGCGTCTTCTGCTTGTTCGCCGGCATTTTCTTCATTTCCTTCGGCATTTGAGCTTTCACCCTTCTCTTCCTCTTCAGGACTCTTTTCTTCTGGTACTGGGTAGTGGTGGAGTGCGTAGCATGCATCTGTCGTTGGTTTTAAGTAAGCAACAATGGATTGAATTTCATGATCAGCTTTTTCTGCTGTAGCAACAGTTTCTTTGTGGCCTTCAAGAATGGATTGCATTTTTTCAAGGGAATCTTGTCTCTGTTTAAGAAAAGCATCGACTTTTTCGTTGAAATCGTTTGTTTCTTTATCAGCAATTGCAAGTTTTGCAGTTCTTTCGTGCATTTCTTTAAGCTCTTCGAGCCATTCGTTCGAACATGTTACAGATACGTTGTATTTTGTTTTCATAAGCTTTTCAAATTGTGATACATCACCAATAAGTCTACCTTCTCTAGAATAAATTGTAACTTGACCTTCTTTGATAGCATCGGATGTTATCTCAAGAGGTACAAGTACTTTTTCGTAATATTCTTGCCATTGTTCTGGTAATTTGCCATGTCTTTCGATATGAAAGCTTAAATGTTGCTCAAGATGCATTGCGAGGTAATCTGCACGTGCATAATCAATGTGCGTAAGAATACCAGCAATAATGAGGTGATTAGCTCCGATTTTTCCCTCCTCCATTTTTAACAAAAATACGTTTCTATAATCAAAAAGTGACGAATCTTGCATCTAAAAAAGTTTTCTTCAAGGGGAATTCCATTAAATAATAAGAGTCATGCTCGCACTTTCGAAAGACAAACTTCTGGTTATGTTGATTTTTCATATTCTCAGTGTATTTAAGCAAAATCCTCAAAATATTGATTTGATATTGAAGAAAAAGTCATATTTCATTATTCGAAAATAGATCTTACAACCAGATATAATCACTTTCCAATTGTTTTATGAGCCAAATACTAAAGCTATTCATAGTTTTCAAACTCACAAAAAGTGACATTCCTAGAGAATGGATGCTGAAATTGAGGCTGAATTAAAGAAGATGCAGGCTGAAATGGATGAAATGAACAAAAAAGCCCAAAATCTCAAGAAAAAAGACGACACACCAGAAATCCAACTTGTTGATGGTGAAAGATTATTCGTTCAGGCTCCAAATGAGAAAGAAAAGCGTACAGGACGTGTTGTTACATATAATACAAGAGTTGTTGATTATCCATTACCTCCAGGCTGGGAAAAAACTGATAAACCAATCCCAACAACGCTCACAACAATTCAATTGGACGGCACAGGAACTGTTTGCACAGCAAACTTTCAGAAACGCGAATAATTTGTTTTTTTATACATAGATAATAAAATGTACATTTTTACATTCAATAACTCACGTTTTTAATATAATTACAGCTCAAATTTCTATGTTCATACATTCTACTATATACTATGCAATTGCTGAGTCATTTTATCGCAAAAGAAAGATGAGAATTACCAAATCATGAATCCAGCTAGAATTGAGCTCAAAAACAATAGTACTGATTGTGTTGAGAAAATATAGAATCTCATATAAAAGAATATGCTCAATTTTCATAAAAAATAGTAATAATTTCGTAAAATACGTAGACAGTCAATCCTATATAGCAAACATATTTAAAACAAAACAAATACAAAACTAAAATCTTGTGGAATAAGTCTGAGTAGGCCCATTATTGTAATTATTTCCAGTGTGAGCTTTTTCTCGAGCAATAGCTTCATCATATGTTTTCTTGAGTTCGCGGAGATTATGCTGTTGTCTTTTTAGATTTAAATATTTTTGATAAAGTTCTTCATTGTCTGAAGGTAATTTTTCTAGAAGGTCAGATACTTGATCTTCACCATCCATAAACATTGAATCCCAACCATCTTTTAATCCTTTTAATTCTTCTAATGCTTGAAGATATCGCTTTTCTTGATCTGTCCATTCTGTGTTTTTTAATTCCCAGTATTCACTGGCTAATTCGTCATATCTGTCCTTTGAATTTTGTGTTACAGGCCTTCTATGTGTTCTGAACGACATTTTTTTATATTTTTAAACGTTCACTAACATTACTGAAATTATATAATATCATTTTAGGACTTCTTTATATCACTTGACAAGTGTATTAAATAAATGCTTTATCATCACAGTTTCAAAGTCATATATTTAATTTTGAAATTTTATTGGAATGCAATTATATAGTAATTCATATGATTATGAGAAAACATGAGTTAATGTGAACGATATATGAATAGTTTACTAAACAAAACAATATAAAAATAAATCATTGTGGAGTTAAATAAAATCTGTTGCATGTGACAGTGAGCACGAAATCTGTGAAAACTGAAGATGCTTCATTCTTACTTGTTGCATTGAGGTTATTGATCAAAGCGTTCACAGATTTCTTAAATCTCTGGAATTGCAAAAGAACTGGATCTGAAAGTTTCTGACGTTGCTCTTCTGTTGTTATGTCATTATCAATAGATTTGAAGAAAGATCTAACTTCACTTGCGAATTTTTCACAAACAGCAGCAATATACATCACGTCTTTGAAGACATCTTTGTTCAAGAAGAAAAGTCCTTTAAGGATCGACTGTTGAAGCATATTATGATGGTCAATAATTTCTTCAACAGTTGTTGATTGTTGTATTGCAGATTTGAATTTGGAGAATGATGGATGAATGACTGAAGTACTGATAAAGTTTATCAAAGATGATATAAAGGTGTGAATCGAAAACCTAATTGCAGAAACCTTTAAAATCGTCATTGATGATGTCTTTGAGTGTTTCCTCATAAATGTATTTACAAAACTGTACAAATTGGAGAACTTTCTTTCAATTCTCTTCCAAAGGAGAATGAATCTGAAGAATAAAGCATACTTCTCTTGGAATTCCTTGCTTATTACAATACTTATTGGCCAAGAAACCTTTGGAGCAAGTGTGAAGAACTCCCATTGTGTTGTTCCTGATGTAATTCTAATATTCTTCTGTTTGGTTGCTCCTTTAATAGTAACAGATTGGATTGTTGTGTAAACTGATAAAAGCTGTTGCTTTTCCAGTTTGACTGATATGAATTCGAAAGGTTTATAAACAATGCTCATTAAGTCTTCTAAATCAGCAGGAGAGATCTCACTTTTATCTCTTCTCATCTTATTACCTGCAACTCTGTAGAAAATATTAAATAAATCTGTTCTTCTGAAAAGAATCACATTCCAAATCGTGTTAAATATATCCATCAAACGATATTGGCTAAACATTTCTGATATGAGAATATTAGAAGCAGACTTATATATCTCTTGGAGCTCGCCTTCGTATTGGATTGAAGAAATAGTGATTTTATTTGTTTGTTTAAGCTGCTGTTTGTTGCAATCTGCTATAATAGATTGGACTTTTCCTGTAGCAATAATCAGATTTATGATGGCACTTGGGATAAACATTGGAGCATTTTCTTCGTTGCAAGTGAAATGATCATTCCAATATGTACGATGTGGATCTGGGATGTCTGGACTGATATCATTAGTTTGAATAAAGAATTCGTTGTAAGGATCATCTATTTTTCCTTCATAAATCCATTTTTCAATGTATTCTAAAATTGGTTGAACAGATTGGTTGAAAAGAGCAGTTAAGGGCTCTCTGATGTAAGGTAAACCTCTATTTGTAGATATAGCTTGATGAATTATCGTGCAAATCTTTGGTCCTTTGAGATTTTCGATTTTTGTTACAATTTCGCTTAAAACATCTAAAAATTCAGCAGATTTCGAGATGTTAATGCATATTACAGGTAATGATTTAACAGGAAGAGCTTCAATTTCGGAAACTTGTTCCATAAATTGTAATAAGTATTTTCGAATAGCATTGCATACCGTATGAACGATTTTCCCATATTTTAAGTAATAATGTGTTTCTGAAAACTTTTGGCAGTAATAAAACTTATCGCAAATAGGAATCAATTGATCTATGAAACTTTGAGTTGAATCTCTGAGAATTGCTTGAACTAGATACTTATTTTGTTTAGTTCTTCTGATATATGTTCCATCACCACCCAATAAACAAGAAAATAAATCTTTCATTAAGGCAGATTCTTCATCTTTTTGAGGTATTTCACGTAAATCAACTTGATCTTCCGAATAGTCAGGAGGATTTAAAAACGGAAGCTCATCATTCGTTAGAAAAGAAGGAATATCAAGCTCCATTTTTGAATAAATAAACGTGCACTTTCTAATTTTTTTATTTACTCTCTTCTCTCATTAACTAATACAACACACAATTGAATTTTCTATTTTCCACTTAATTTCAGCCAGATTCACATAATATTAAATTTGAATCATTATTATCAACTTCATAAGAAACGTTTCGAGAGAACAATTGCATTTACTCGATCAATTTATTACGATGGTTCATTTAAATTAAACTATTTCCTATAAGAAAATCGATTTTGATCAAAGATATTTATTATATATTCTATTTTTCAGAAATCCAATATACAATTCATAAATGTAAGGTGAAACAGTGTTATATTAACAAAACAGATAAAGATAAATCTTTATAAATAAATTAAAATTTCTATATACTCTATATAAAGTTATAAATATTTCTTAACATTCTTCAAAGCAACTCTTCTTTCTTCGACTCTCTTCTTTCCTTCTTCGAAATAAGGCGTAGAAACTTCAGATTGTCCTTCTCTCAGTGCCTTAAGAGCTGCAAACCTAAAGAATGACTGTATCTCACTACATGTCATTCCATTGCATGATTTAGCAAGAGAAACAATGTCTACATCCTCTTTAACAGGAGTTTTATTTTTGAGAGTTGTAAACATCTCAATTCTATCATCTTCTGATGGGTTTGGAATTTCGATCAATCTGTCGAATCTTCCAGGTCTTGTCAGAGCCGAATCCACCAAATTCAAGGCGTTAGTTGTAGCAATGACTACGACCTTAGATTTAGCAGAAACACCATCAATTTCATTCAACAAAGCCGACAAAACTCTTCCGCCAACTCCGCTTTCATCTGATCGCTTTCCGCCGAGTGCATCTATGTCTTCTATCACTACAACACTTGGTGCGAAGAATCTGGCTGCAGAGAAAACATCTCTGATGGCTTTTTCACTGTCTCCTAAGTATTTCGAGAAAATTTTGTCGAATTCTACAACAAAAAAGGGAACTTCGAACTCAGCGGCCATCTTCTTCACAATTAGGGACTTTCCGTTACCTGAAGGACCATGTAACAATATACCGTTGTACTGAAGCATCCGATGCTTGTTTTCATCACCATTAAAAGTGACATCTAAAATTAATTTTATTTCTTTTTGTTCTGTTTTGTATCCGCAGACTAAAGGGACTTCTGATGATGATTGTCTGAGCATCATTGGCTTCTCGCTGGTGGCTATTGTTCGCATCAAATTGATGAATTTTTCTTCTGAAAAATCTGAATTCGAAATTACTCGGACAGCAGTGTTGAATTCGCCTCTGCTTGAGCCTGCTGTTTCTTTGGCAATGAACTCCTTCTGTTTGTCAGAGAGATTAACGTTTTGGAGTGAATTTAATCTCTCATGATAAGATAATGCACCAAAAGTGACAGATGTCTCAAAAACAGATGCTAATTCTGATTGTAAAGCATATGGAGAACTTCTGGATGTAGCAATAATGACGATTGGCTTGTTTTGAGATTTTTGAATTTTTTCTACAACATTTGACGTTGCGCGGGGATGAGCGTTTAATATATCGATATCGTCAATGACAATGACACCATCCTCGAGTGAAAATATGTCGTCAATATGCTCAGATGAATCAAATTCTAATTGTGATGAAAATAAAACTAAATCAAGCTGTTTAACTTGCTTAACATTCTTGATTAAGTATTTTAGGAATGTTGTCTTTCCACAGCCTGGTCCACCAACGACTAATGCGGTTTTGCTCTTAATTGTAAATCTATTTTGTATCATTTTGACAATACGTGAGGAAATTTGTGGTTCAGTTGGTATAGATTGCAATTGGTTTAACTCAATTGATGGTATTTTTGCAAAAACTGTTGAAGAACTAATAAATCCTGGTTGTTCACAAGGCATTTTGATATATTTGAGTCTGTTGTGATATGAAAAGAATGTGTATGAATTTGGAATGACTGGTAATCCAAGCATTGAAGATTTATATTTTGGATTTAATCTAATTTCAGGAATTGGCTTTAGTTCATCGAGATCTATGAATTTAATTTCTGCATTTGGTGATTCTCCAACTGTGGATGGATTCAAAACTATCATTGTTTCATCCATTTCAGCAAATAAAGCATAAAAAGCAAATGAATTTTGGTCTACTGTTATTTTTACTAAAGGATATCCGGACTTCTTGTATTTCACACTTAATATAGCTGTATAAAGTGGAATAGAGTCTTGATGAACAATAGACAAAATCATTTCTAAAATTTTCTATCGTTCTCAAAATAATTCTTCAAAAAATATGATAGCTTAAGGATACCCTTACGTGTCAGATTTTTTGCGCATACGAAGAAGTCATGCTAGACATGAGCTATAAACCTGAAATTTTAGCAACATATTTAAAACTTTTTAAACTACAATACACTTTAATATTCAAGAACAAAAATATTCTTTTTAGAAATTACATAATTATTTTATGTGAAATCTATATAAAAACATATTTTGCGAGCGTAACTTTTTTCTTTATAAGCACCTTATATGACTGATAAACTGTGAAGGCACATAATTGTTAATTCATAGAGTTGATATGTTTCCAAAATTGAGAGGAAATTTGAAAATTGAATACCCTTTCAATTCAATTTTCAAAAGATATCAGCTCCTTCAATAATTGAAGGACGATTTTGATCATTTGCTCTTAAAACAAGTATGCCATGGAGAAAAAAGTTACGCTCGCAAATCTGAAATATAACTATCATATAAAAAAATTAAATTTCTAATTTTTTACTCTATAGATATTATTGGCCACTTGTGTAATGCATAAAAGTTTATGTCATATGCATACATTTGGAAGTATGGGAGACGAGGGAAATTACTTCTATGAGGCACTAGGATTTTTAAAAATTTCTCTATCGGACTCACCATTCAATTTCTCGAAAATTAAAAAAAATCAATAATAGCTAAAATGTATTATGCATAACAAATTTTAATGTTACACGGTATTTTTTGAACTTCATGACATGAATTTTCTTTATATTATTTTTTTTTTTGGATTTTCTATGATTTATGCGATAGGCTGGAACAACATTGTAAGTGCAATGATATCATTTATAGAGAAATCTAAAACTTCAGCATTCAGAACTCGCAACCACAAAAATATTCATTTGCTAAGTAAGTAAAGTTGATTAAGTTCGACACTTAGCTTTTATACGTAAAACCAAGTGTGTATTGTTATTTCTTGTTAAATTATTGAGAAAAAAATAAATTGTAAGAGAAACGATACTGATTATTGAAATAATATTGAGGGTAGCTGCAGATTTCTTCATTAACATGCCGGAAATTTGTTAATCTTGGTTTTCTATCATAAAATCTGTCGAAGAATCTAAAAACGGAGATATGAAATAGAGATCATGTAAATCTAGAGTATCCTGTCAGAAAAATAGACTAAGCATGTAACCCTTTTTTGGTCATAAACACTTTTTACCACTTAGTCATACAGATGATCATTAAATTTAAACGAGCACTTTTTGTCAGAATTTATTCTTTTACAAAGACAGAAGATTTTAGTATTATTTAATATTAGTGCTGTAGCAAAATTCAAAAAACGGTGAAAATTCAGTGAATTTGTGAATTCACATTTTTTTTCGACATTTTTCTTGATATATCCATGCACATTAAGAACACAGCTTTGATACGCTTAAAAAAGCATATTTCATATGAAATTGTTAAAGAAATAAACAATTTATATAAAAATTGCACTTATGGGCAGTTTAGATATATAATTTATATATAACATATATACAAATCCATAGACAAAGTGCAATAACTACAATGTTGTAGAAAATTACAGCAGAAATACTGACTTTTTGAAGGATAATAAGAATTCTTCTAAAAATACTGAAAATTAACATATTTCTGTACTCAATTTAGTATATGCACAGAAGTTATGATTTGGTGTTAGGTTTTTATGCCCCAAAATCTAGATTTTTGTGACATCAAATCTTATTAGTGGATAAATCAAAGACTGTCATTTTGAAATAAGCTCATATCAATAAATATCCATTTAAAAGCCTTATTGTAATATGTAACTAGCAAAAAGCCTAATATTTATCAAAATTAATCAAATCAAATGATCAATATTCATGATATGTCATCAGCAATAGCTAATTGATATTTTATTTTGTATTGATATTCATTTTTCTCATATTATACACGATTATATCTCTTTTTTTAAAAAAAGTTTTTATATTAGACATGAAAGTTGAATTAATACAATTTTGTACTAGAGTTTGTTTGTATATTAAATAATAATGATATATACTTCAACATATTGCGTCTCACCATTACCAAAATGTAATTTTGCATACAATTTTCTTTCATTTAACAATGATGTTATTTGAAAAGTGATACTTCCATGATTATTGATTAATGTTCCATCATATATAGGAATGAATGTTAAACAAGACACGCCTGCAGCTGGGTGCATTCGTGGCATTGTGATAAGGCTTATATATAAAGACTTCTCTCGATCAGCATTACGTCAAATGAATATTGACCCATTATTTTGGCGATGCGCTAGTTCCAAGTAGAAATGCTTTGGTATATTTAGGTTATGTCTATATGTTATGAATCATGGTATTATTGATAAAAACGTTCTTAGTCATTAAATCAATCCTAGTATCTAAAGATATAATTTAGATTTTTTTGTTTATTGCTAAAATTAAATACAGTATAACTTTCTTTCATATTGTCGGTACTAACAATACAAGATTGTGTTGAAAAAAACTTAAATATGCATGAAAATTAAATTTAATGTGTAAATATGATAAAAATTTCAACTTTACTAATAACATACATAAGTTTCTGATAGTTTAATATAGTTCATATTGATGTGACTGTAAACTATATCAAAAAAATATTTTTAAATATTGTTATGCAAATAATGGGATTTCTAAGGAAAAAATGATTATATTTGTTATATAAAGCAATCTTTTTAATTATTCACTACGTTTATTACATTTTTTGCCGACCATTTACGTAATATGCCTCCACCAAGCAGACGCAAACAACAAAGTCGTGAAGCTAACGAAAAATCAATTGAAGCAAAAAAAACTCCCAAGAAAAGAATGCGCCAAAGGAAGTCGATCCAAAACACTGGACTGCTTCTGTAATTGTTAATGGTGACTCTTATACTCGAGCAAGGAATTTATTTCAAGATAACAATATTAAAGTGCCGAGTGAAAAAGAGTTTTACCGTCATCAAAAAGAAATAGGTAAGGTAATACTAGAATATAAAGAGCAATCTATTAAAAATGCTCAACAAACAATGAAGAAAGATACATTTTTAAGCACTGATTCGCATTATAATGTTGGCAGAAATGCTACAGCGTGCCAAAGTTTAATGATGGACAACCGTGGAAAAGTTGTTGGTGAAACAACTGTTATAAAAAAGAGCTCTGGAGGAGACTTTGAAGGCCATCCAACATGATGGAAACAGAATGTACAAAGAGGATGATGTCAAATTTTGACTTTACAAATGTTTCCACAGTGGTTCATGACAATGACAATAAAACGAAAGCCATCATCCAGCAATATGCTCCGAATGCTAAAATTACACTTGATCCTCGTCATTGTGTACGTGCAGTTGGCAGAGCTTTCGAAAAGCTTGAAAATGGTGGATATAAAGAAGCAGCAGGAAAAGAAACTGTTAATCAACAGAAAGAAAGTGAATCACAGCCAGCATTCCCAATCAAATCTAAAGCAGAAGAGCCGAAGAAACGTGGAAGACCATTAAAACACCAAGAAAAAGTATTTCATCAGATATATTCGAAAGTTATTAAGTGGTTCACTTTTATTATCATGCTTCCAATTGAAACAACGAAAAAAATTTTCCTATGGAAGAATACATTAAATCATTTTATCGGAAGGCATGAAAATTGCCTTCACGAAAAAGACAAAGAATATCCTGTGTTTCAGCCACTTACAAAACCTGATTTAGCGAAGCAATTTCAACGTTTTACAGATGATGCCGCAAAGTTGATTCCAGAAATTGATCCTAATGCTCAAACACAACAAAATGAATCGATACATCACTCAATGCTTACTCAGTGTCCCAAAGGAAACAACGCAAAATCGTTTGAAATGCGTACGGCTGTTACAATTTTACAAAAAAACGAAGGAGAGAAATGCAAACAAGAAATATACAATCGTGTCAATAATTACCAAATATCTCCTTCAATCCGCGAACTCCAAAAACTTGAATATGAGAAAAATAAATCCAGAAATCAAAAGAAAGCTACACCAGAAACAAGAAAAGAGATCAACAAGGCAAGAAATGCAAAAAGATTTCCTAAGGATAACCCTACAGGTGATTACAGAGGAGGAAAGTGGACCCCACAAGATATCTAATTTTCAAATTTGAAATAAACACATATTTTCTTTGTATTTGAAAATATTTTTATATTATAAGATTTTTGAACCTATAAGTAGCATGACAAAAATTATATAATTTGCTCCTTTTTTATTTTAGTATACAAATATCCCATTTGTTATATGTTCGGTATATATATGATGATATTGTAATCAATTATGCTTAATGAAGCTTTATCCCGTGAACCCCTCATATTATTGGAAAATAAATAGCGAAAACATGTAGAGCTGCTATGTTCTCAAGTGTATGCTGATTTTTGGATTATTTCATGAAAACTAATGGCGGGATATCTTGCATTATTTAAAAAAATTGAACTATGCAAAAATAAATAGTATTATATTTTTTCTCATGAAATGCTATTATGAGACAACCATAAAAAACCACATGTTGTATTTTTATAATTTGATTGATTTTTTTTACTATTTCATTAATCTTTTATGAATAATAATTATTTTTAATATATGTGCTATTAAAATTTCAAATTTTGACTAATATATCTAAGTTATCTGAACGAAACATTTAGAAAATATCATACTTACATTGAAATAGCAAGTAGAGCATATTAATAGCAAGTTTCTTGGCTTTATATCTATCATCTATTGTTGTTTGATCAAACAAAATTCACTCTATTATATGGTGTCAATTAATTAAAACAATTTTTAATAGTTATTTATTTAGTGCGAATAAGTGCAAACTCATAAATGAATAACTTAATAGTAGAAATGAATTATCTGATATAAATCTCACATTTTGTCCATCAGAAATACTTTAATTGCATACGCATAACTATTAGTAATACGTCTGGAGTGTCAATTAATAACAATCCCACAACAAGTAAAATTCAGATTTTTATTAAACTTATTTTTTCCTAAAAGTTTTCTCAAATTACTATATATACATATGTGGATAAAATAATAGTAATATTGTAAAAAATTAGATAATTTTTTTTATTTGAGAACCTCTCAAAAGTTCATTCAATTTATCAATTGTTTCAGTTTGATGTATATTCATTTCTGGAGCCTAAAACTTTAGCAATCATGACAATATCATATTCTCTTTCTAACTACGCAATGTAAGGGTATCCTTAAATATGATATTTGATTAGACTAATTTTACAAGAAAGGTGACAATTTTAATATTTTTTTATAAAAAAATGCAAGAATATGGACGATATCTGAATCTTTTTAGGGATACGAAGCGAATTCCACAATTTGCTGTTCTCAAAAAAGAAATGCCTTCACATGAAAGAGCTCCAATTCAAACTACTTCTTCTTATACTTTTTTTAAATCGACTTCTGAAGCATCTAAATTCAATATCGAGCAAGAAATCAAAATACCAATAGAAGGAACAGACAAACAACCAAGTTTTGAGAAAGTTGAAGTAGCTATTCATCCATGTATTAAATTACCATTATTATATTCCCAAGAATCACCTGAAAAACCACCAATTATTTATTACAGCATTACAGAAAAAGGAACTCTCCAATCACTTTTTAATTATTATCAGGATTTACACTCAAATCAATGTGCTCGCTTTTGTTGGGACTTCACAACAGTTCAAAACAACGAAGACTCAGTGAAAGATACATCCTTTTCAATATCAGTTGAACAAAAGTACAAAATCTTGCTTGGAATCGCATCAGCCTGTTTACAACTCGAAAAATACGACAATTGCATCAAATGTTTACTTCCTTCTTCGATTCTTCTCGACGAAGACTACAAACCACATCTCATTAATACGTCATTTCCTTTTATTAAATCAAATGGATTTCAAACTGACGAAATCTTCATTTCTCCAACGATAAACAAAGAGAAACCATGCGAAAGTCTTGCATACTCCTTCGGCTACATCGCCTATTTCCTTCTATCTGAGAAACAACCCTTTTATTACGTAGATTTCCAAATTGCTCTCAGTAAAATCTCGATGGGCCAAGTTCCTATGTTCCCAGGCTCTCTACCATCGCCATTATTTACATTACTCACGCAATGCTGTGACATTTCCCCTTTCTTTCGCCCTTCATTTGATTCAATTATTTGTGTTTTGTATAACTTACTACAGACACCGACATACATCTCCTACGCCAACGAGGTAGTTCCCCCTTACATCATAGCTTCCGCCCACGGAGCGAAACTCGGCGAGAATTCCCCAATTTTCAAGAAATTGATGGAAACAACAGACGAAAACGCGGCCGAGAATTTGTTCGAATGCTCGCAGATGGCGGCCGAATTCCCTGTCAATGATAATATACTCTCCATGGAGTTTATGAGGGTGTCGGCGCGTACCGGATACGTTCACGCGAGAAGGAGATATTTCTTGATGTTGATAAATGGTTTCGCAGGAGAAAGTGACAAAAATAAGGCTTTTAAAACGGTCAAAGAATGGAAAGAGGAGAATGACATGGAAGCCGCTGTTCTCCTCGCCCATTGCTTTGAGAAAGGTATCGGTGGTGCCGTAAACCTCGAAAAAGCGAATCAAACCATCAAAAAAGCAAAATCTTCAAAATCATTTAGCGCTACTTACGAATTTGGAAGGTTTACTATCGATGGTATCGGTGCTGAGAAGGAGACAAGCTCTGGAGAAGCCCTCCAGAAGGAAGCTTTCAATGACCACCACTCAGATGATATTTATTCGTACTTAAACTTCTTGCTACATTCACCATTCAAGAACGAAATGAAGATTTACAACTTCCTCACCACGCATCAGCTTACAAAGAACCATCCGGACTTGGTTGACATGTTAATGAGAATCATGATGACAACAACTAAGAGCGATGGGTCTATCCATGCCAATGAAACTATCCATGACTTGGCAGAGAAGGCAACTGTTGAAGGAAAATACTTAAATTACCTTCTAACAATAAGAAATCGAAATTTAAGATGCGAAAAATTGGAAAGTGAACCAGAAAAGATCGACGAAGCTGAAGTACCGCCATCAGAACAAAGAAGGCGAAGGATTAATAAGAACATTTTGGCGAAAATCGTGTCAACAAGAAAATTAAATCAAAATTCAAACAAAAATCTTCAGAAATCTGAAGATCCAGTGATACGAGCTAAAGCTATACTATGTTCTGAGAACCGTGACATCGCTCTGGCTGAGAATATCCTTGAAGATGCAGCTAAAAATAATATTGAGGTGGAGATACTTCTAAACCTTCTTAGACTATCACTAGGACTCATTCCATACTCCCTAGCACTCGAAAAACTCCATGCACTTGGAGATAACCCAGAAGCAAAGAATGCTTTGGCGTATTACTACATGTACATAGAAAACAAGACAGTTAATGAGATAATTGACCTGTTGGAGGAAGCTGCTGATGCTGGATCTATAGTTGCCGGCTTTAATTACGCTTGTATCCTCAAAAATTCGAAGATTTGCTCGCCAGAAAAGATTATGAAATCAAATTTGTACGAAAAGAGATTCTTCGAACAATCTCCTCCTGCTTTCTTCGGAGTTTTCGAATCTTTGTGAAATATTAAAATAAAATTCTGTTTTTTTATTACTTTCACCGATTTTTGTCCATTTGAGAATAACTTACTTTTAAATTTAGCTATTCTTAGCAGATTTGATTTCAATTCTACTTTTGGGTACAAATTTCGTTGCAAAATCGTTTGTATTACAACAGCAAGGTTGTTCTAACATTCTTTGAGTAAAAATATTTAAATTTATCTAAAATTCCTTTTTCCAAGGATATAACAATGGTTTCAATAAATGAAAATATATTCATAACACACATCAGAATATGTGCATACATATTGCTATACACTCATTCCTATTATACTCTTGGAAAAAACAAGTTAGAGATGCACAAAATCACCAGTTTGAGTTTAATCAAATTAATATATGAACATGCTTTCTGAGCCAAAATTCATCATGAACTTGTGCCTTTGTGGACAATTATTTAAGAAATAGCGTATACATACATATTTCAATAAATATATGTCATTTTGTAATAATTCTTTAGATTTGAAATTTTATATATAAAAATAATTCTAGATAATTCATAAAATGACAAATTAGCTGCTCTGCATTATACATTCTTACGTTCTACTTATAAATGACATTATTAAAAAAAAAGATTTTAATTACAACATCTTTTTTATTATGAAATTCCAAGAATATGATGATTCAGGATGTCTATTCATTGTTTTGTCTTTTTAAAATTTAAATAATTTTCCTCTCAAAAACATTCATATTTTTTTATTTAAATTTATCAATGGTTTTGATGGATATTGGTAGGAAATTATGGCAGCTTGGCAGTTCATTTATTCGACTCATTCTTCACACTTATACTTGGTTCAAGAGGAATGCAGGATATGAAGTTTTGGAGAGAAAATATAACTACGCCGAATTCATGGAAGAAAACATAAATTATGTTAATGCATTTGATAAGTTATATAAAATCAATTCCTGGAATGTAGAAGAAATCGACGGAATCTTTCATGATATAAAATCCAACTTGATCGATACAAACAGGTATACTCCATCTCAGATTTTGGATATAATAGCAGAAACATCAAAATATCGCAATCGTTTCATAAAATCATATTGGGTGTTGTTCAAGAAGTTCTTTGATGAATATCGACCAACACAATTATCTTTAACATCTCCAATTTGGTATTACTTTATATATCAAGAATATGGAATTGTTTTCAGTGAATCACATAAAAAGAATTTCAAAGAATATGAAGAGAAAGGATACACATTAGATATTCATGGAGAATTCACAATTTTCAAGGCAATTATGGAACATGATAAAAAATCATTTATTGCATTAACACAGGAAGAAAATTTTGATATAAATTGTAGGCTTACAAGCATTTTTTATCCTGATTCAGAAAAAGGATTTACTTTACTTGAGTTATGCTGCTATCATGGATCAGTCGATTGCTTTAAGTTCTTAAGAACAGAATTCAAGTTTGCAATCACTCCAAAATGCCTGCAATTTTCTTTTCTGGGTGGAAATCCCGATATTATGAGCGAATGTTTGAAATACATCAAACCAGGTCAAGAATGCATGAAATATGCTATCATATCTCATAATATTGATTTTGTCAGCTTTTTAATAAATGAATTTGGCCTGGAGCTCGATTTGCAATCATGTTGTGTATTCAATAATTTGACATGCTATTTAATTTTTTTCGATATTAAGCATGATATCGACAAATGCTTTATTTATTCACCAAGCTTTAAGATCTTTTCAGTATTTCGATTTTTTGATTCATTGAAACGAGATATCAATGCAAAGGAGTTAAATAGCAAAACAGCTCTTTATTTTGCAGCACAGTTCGATTCACATGATATAGCCAAACTTCTTCTTTCTCAACATGCTGATTTTGAGGTAAAAGATAATGAAGGAAAAACACCCCTTCATTATGCATCAAAAAATAATTGTAAAACAACGCTGGAATTACTTATTTCATATGGTGCCTGCATTAATGAAAAAGATTATAATGAAAAAACTCCTCTCCATTATGCAGTAATTGAAAATAGGAAAGACACATCCGATACTCTTATTTTTTATTCGGCAAATGTAAATATCGGAGATAAAGAGGGAATGACTGTTCTTCATTATGCAGTTCAACATGATGATCGAGAAACAGCAGATATACTTTTAAAGCACAGTGCAAATATTAATGCAGTAACTTCTTCAAAAATGACTCCCCTTCTTTTGGCTGCCAAAAATAATTCCAATGAGATGGTAAAATTACTTATTTCTCATCGGGCTGATGTTAATTCACAAAATTCAGATAATGATTCAGCTCTTCATATTGCAGCACAAAATGAAAATATCGATCTTTTGAAGCTTCTTATTTCAAATGGTGCAGATATCAATGCAATAAATAAAAGCGAAAAAACTGTTCTGCATATTGCAGCAAATAAAAATAACAATGATATGGCCGCATATCTTGTTTCAAAGAATATCAATCTTGATCAAAGAGATGAACTTGGTTACACTGCCCTTCACATTGCATCATCTAATAATAATATTGCGCTAGTGGATCTACTTGTATCTCATGGCATTAAATTAAAACTCTATGGAAAAACAGCTCTTCATTATGCAGCAATTTATGGACATTTAGAGAATGCAAAATATCTAATTTCGAAAGGTGTTAATATAGGGTGTCCAAAGGTGCGTTTAGCACAGCGCTCTATATGAGACTATTAAAGGAGATATATGCTGATTATAAATATATAATAAAAAATATGAATATATGTATATGATGAGTATGTTGTATTTTGGCGCCATGCCGGGATATAAAATGAATTTTGAGACAAGAGGCGGTTTCGCGGGAAATTTTGGCGGGATTTTTTTCATTTTTTTAATGAATCATAAAGAAAACATCCTCGCTCTTGCAAAAAAATGCAAAGACTGTAAAAAAATCTACGAGACATTGGTAAAATGCTTCGGTATGGATGCTCCTAGCTATTCCACTGTAACGTATCATGTTAGGATGTATCACTTCATGAACAAAAAGGCGCCCATCATAAAAATTGACAAAAAATCGCCGGATCAAAGAAAAATCAAAGCAATTCTTCAAGCGCTAGATGAAGACCCAAGAGCATCACTCAGAAGGATAGAGGAGATGACAAAGATACCACGTACAACAGTCAGTTATTATATGCACAATTATTTGAACTACAAACTAGCGTATACACGTTGGGTTCCGCACAACCTTAATTCAGTTCAAAAAAAATCTAGAGTCCAATCTTCGAAAGAGCTCCTCTCTATATTGGGTGCGTATCAATCCAAGAAGTTTCGCTTTTTAGTAACAGGGGACGAGTCTTGGTTTCAATATGCAACAGAAGCCAAAACCATGTGGATCCCGAAGGATGAAAATCCGCAAACATTCCCGAAGAAAAAAATTGACACACCAATGATGATGTTGTCGGTTTTTTGGGGCGTGAATGGCATCATCGCAATTGATATTCTTCAAAAACCTAATACGATGAATGCTCAGTATCTAATTGACAATGTTCTTACTCAAATTATCAATTCTGATGAGTTTGAGAAATCCAAACAACAAAAACAAAAGTTTGCAATTCATTTTGATAATTCAAGAGTTCACAAAAGTCATAAGGTAATGAATTACTTGTTGGAAAACAATGTCAAAGTTGTTCCAAACCCAATTTATTCACCTGATATTGCACCCTCTGACTTTTATTTATTCGGCACGCTAAAAAAGAGAGCTGAAGGACGCGAATTCGCGAGTCCAGATGATCTTGAAAATTTTGTAAGAGAGCAATTTGAGCAATTTTCTCATGATGATTTAAAGCGTGTCTTTCAAGCCTGGATCGATCGCTGCGAACGCGTGATTGAATCCAATGGTGATTATATTTAAATAAACTTTATATATATGTAACTTGTTTATTTCTATTCGCAGTATTCAGGTTTGTGCTAAACACACCTTTGGACACCCTATATTAGAGAAAAAGATGACGAAAAAAATACACCACTTGATTATGCATTACAATACAACAACAAAGAAGTTGCAGATCTCCTTATGTCCCATGGTGCTCAACCACTTCCTGTTAATGAATGAAGTGTCTAAATTCAGACTTTCTTCTTTGAAAGAAAATATCAATAATAAAAGTTCATTTTTACAACATTCTAAACTTATTATACACATAAAATAAATAATAACAAATAGTAGAGCTCATGAAAATAAAATATTTATAAAATAAACTTACAAAAAATAAAGATATTTAAATAATTATTTTTGGAATTCAAGAATTTTTGTGGCAAGTTCAGACAATGAACTATCGTCACAAGTATCTGCAATTTCGTCAATGTATTCAAAGAAATCAGTTTTCTTACAAATTTCAAAAATTAAATTTTGAATTTTTTCAGAATTAAGGAAAACAAAGAATAAATGAAGAACATCAACTTTGTTTTCAGTGGCAGGAATGAAATCAATGAATTCTTCTATGATTTCTTCGGAATTATTAGAAAATAAAAGAGATTCAATGTCAGAAGTAGTTATCAGAGGAATAAACAACGAAATGAATATTACTATGGTATTTTTCATGTTGAAATTGCCATTTTTGAATCTGATTAAAAAATTTGTTTTGACAATTTCAGAAATTGACTTTGGAGTTAAAGATTTCGATATTATAGAACTATCATGCCTAATTATATTCGAAACAAACACCATTGAGAGCGAAGAAACATTTGTATTTCCAGATTGAATCATTTTTGAAAAATAATTCAAGAAATCACTAAAATCTATATCATCAAACAAAGACGGAACAAGTTTTTGAGAATGTATCAATATTTGGATGATTTCAGATGTGATATGAAATTCATGATTTTCAAACGAAAGAAAGAGAGAAATGAATATTTCATTCATATGATTCTGGATAAAGTTCATCATAATTTCTACTTTTTGGGCATTTGCAGGTTTTGCATCAAAAATTTTTGAAATTGCTTGGAAAAGAGGGAATTTAATTTGCTGTGACTCACCTTCTTG